TTGATAAGAAGGATTCATTAGTAGTAAATTAGTAATGATTAATTGTTAATTACTCTGTACTGTTATAGAGCTTAAATAGCGCTGTGCTAATTCGGGATGATATGATTTCAAAGTAGAGAACGCGTATACCTTGGTGCCGTTCCCCGACTATACGATGCAAGGCATCCTTATAATGTAACCTAGTACAACACATGCTGCATAGGTACATAACGTTGCATTTGAGACATACATTGGTTTTTTCTCTCTCTTTTTATTTTCTTCGTCATAAGGCTCGTCTTACCTGTCGGTCGCGTTCCTGCATGTACCTATATTCTACTTGCAGCAAACAGGACTTTCGTTGCCTAAATCAGACAAGGCAACTCCTTTTCTATTCCTAATATGCAATCTGCGTATAACCTATAACGGTCTCATGAGTTCCGTGTAACGCCACGTGGTCTTTTAGATGGTAAGATTGCTTTCCGAAAAAAAAAAAAACCCCTTTTACATAGTTTTCGGTTCGTGCCCGCGGGTTGCGTTACCATGACACCCCTCGGGGTGGCTTGCGGGCGTACAGCCATGTTTATAGTGCTCAATGTACAGATTCTTGGAGTTCGCAGTTGAAGTCTCGAGAAGAACCTTTTCTACGAACGAGCTGGAGTTACATGTTACATGTGGCGTCCGGGCTGTGACTGTTTTGTAGCAAATTGGGAACAGTCAGCTCTCGGAATGCGATGGTACAACGTGGAAAACCCGCGACGAAACATAATGATCTCAGTTTTACCCAGCTCTCGTGTTACGGAGGCGTAGAATATCGAAGCTCGGGAAACCTGAGCCGCAGTCCGAGCTCAGGCGGCCGAAACTCCACATTTGCGTTACTCTAGTAGAGTAAGTATCTTTAATACAGCTATGACAATGATACTGAATTAGGGAGATGTGCCTCAGTTTGTTCGTTTATAGTATATTACCCCTTTCGGGAGTGGGATTGGACCCCGGGGACCCTTTGAGACACCGAATGAAAAGAATACCAGGGGGTTTCCGAATTTGCTATCCATGGGGCTATCTATACCTGAGAAAACGGAGAAATTCTCTTAGGGCCCAATTGAGGGGTTCGCCAATAGATTTTCGAGTCGTTGTGGAACAATGCATATCTTTAGATGTAGGATGTAGGCTGTAAGGTGTTGGCTGTTGAAGATTTGAGATGTTAAAATCCCTACGTTTATGTAGTGACACCTGAGACCTCGTGGGGGATGACATGAATCTACGGTTGCCTGATATCTCGAATAATAAGTCCCAACTTGACCCGAGAACCAGAAACTTGTCAATTGTGGTGCTACGGCGTGGTAAGGCGGATGGAGATAGTAAATTCTTATCGCTGTTGGTAAATATTTGAAGACAATTTCCGAGACCCAGACGATAGAATAGCGGTTTCTCCACTAAATTCTCTAATTGTCCTATATTAAACGGTATATGTGGCGATGGGGTCCAATTGCGATTAAGCTGGCCTTACGAAAGAAATCTCAAGCCTTGCGGCGACATGTGGCAACGACATGAAACAGCCACCAACCTACATAGACATACCGAGCTTTGACAACTGTGGGGGCGGTAACCATATTAGAATAATGAGTACAGAATAGACATGATAAATGATGAGATTATAAGCTTCTTAATTGGATATGAAGACATAAAAGTTGGCACTGCCTACAATATTGGCGGATAGTCCGGGCCTTGACTCACTTGTTAGTCTAAAATTACTATTACTAGAATTGAGTCATGATGAGTCGCAATGAGTCGCAATGATTTGAAATTTTATGTCTATTGTTGTTTACCTATCCGAGTAAATACCTAAACCGCCGATGAGCTCCGGAGTATAGAGGGGAATTGAAGCAATGTAACAACGGTGGCCCCGAATTGGCGGTAGCTGTAATGATCAGAGCAGTGCCCCTCCTGCTGTCAGGCTGCAGAAATATTACTTACCATAAGGCTATGCTGGAGAAGAATCTACCCGTCGGGGATGGTGACGAAATAATGCTTATCGAAATATCCTATAACTAATAGGTATACGGTGCCAAAAAAGAGTCAAATGTGAGAAGTGGGGATATAGTAAGGCGAGTGAGATGATGAAAATCGATATAATTTTTTTGCTGTTAAATGTAGGTAAGCACTGTAAACAATGTAGTCAGGTAGCTAAGATAAGTAAGCGAGGTAAGTAAATAACTATTGGAAATGAATAAAGTAAAACGTCGAAGTGGTGGAAAAATCTCCGGTAGGTTTAAAATTCGTGTGGCAGTGCGTTGCGATTATCAAGAATTAGTATTATTCTTAATTATGGACTACCTATGATTCTATATCTAGTGCATCTCTTTTTACTTTACTACTTCATACTGCTTAGGTAGGTAGTGATGAAGGTATGTAAAGAGAATTATAATAAATCGTCTATAAATAGGAGGTACTTAACCTAAGCCTAAGATTTCATCCCACCTTTAGTGTTTTCTTATAAGCACTAATTTAGTGCCCCACCATCGTTAACCCATTCTTGACAGTGTGTATGGCTCTTGCAGCGGTTTCGAACTCACGCCTCGTGGCAGATCCCTGTCCCCTCCCTGTCCCTCCCTGTCTCCTCCCCTGTCCCTTGTGCAACTTAGAACATGCGAACAACAGATGAAGAGATAAGATTGGTTCTTACAAAAATTTACTGTGTGCTGGGTTTTTCAGCTCTACCATAATAAACCGTTGGGTTGCCTTCGGATCTCAAGTTCGCTTGCATCGTGCGTTCCGTTGCTGCGATACCAGATCTTGTCTCATTTCGCTAACTGATACAGCATATACAGCATCGATGCAAAAGTGCAAATGCCCCGAGATTTCCCATTAATCATCCATGTATCATATGTAGTAGCTCTGTGTACCTGCATCTACCCATACTATACCTAACCTACCTTGTGCCTGGTCTGGTGCGGATAGGCGGATAGGCGGGTAGGTTTATTTGATTGCTGATGAAGGCACAGCTGCACAGTGCTTCTCTGTTATCTGCTTTGCGGAGACGGGACTAACCTCCGCGGGAAGCCCATTCTTACCTATAGTAGGTTGTACATATATGTCTGGCTTGACGAGTAGGGATTGGTTCGGATCCGTCCTGTTGTCTGGGATATCAAGACGGGCTGAGTCACCGGGCAATGACAAACCTCGATTAGGTAAGAGTATAAGATATAGGAAATAGGTATAATAGGAAATAGAATACAATTACCATAGTATGATTATTATTCGAATATCTTGAAACAAGTGGAGAATAAAGAGCATGCGAGCACTATGATTATATTGTACGAATGTTTTTTAACACGGGTCGGGAGAGGCCGAGTAAAAATGATGACTATAGATTACTATCGTTTCCTAACCGAGTATGGTGAATCCATGTTTTGTAGATTCCACAAGTCTCGAAAAAGAAAGTCCCCTGTCGCCCAAACTGGGAGAAGGGCCGTTCTGGAATACTAAATCTGGTACCTTACATACATGAACGAACGCACTTACAAGGTATGAAAGCATGCGAATGGTGCAATGTAAGTACAATGACATATGTAATACCACGCGGAACAATTAAAAAATTCGATGATGGGATCACAGGTTAAGGGTATGGTATTTCAGGGAGGGAGAATGCTACGTCGCTAATAAGGGGACCTCGCGTGATAGCAGGCATGGTAACTTGGCCTTACCATGGATGATTACCCGCTTGATTGGTTACGATGCATGGAGAACCGAATAGCAAAAAAACCTCAGATGATATAATTATTCGTCAGAAGCACCAATAGGCAGTAAGCCTCTTATGGTGGCCCTCAGATACGGGGAACGAGATGGGAAGGAAGTTATTAGTCTCATTGGTTGTAGTTAGTTATTGGAAGAAAGTCCCCAAAAAAAAAATAAAACAAGGGTCTTTGAAATTCAGATAGTTACAAAAATACAAGACAGGCATACAACACCCTCAGCCCTACCGCTGACTTCAGATTTCCGAAAGCGGATTAGAGTGGCCCCCAAAATAGAAGACCTTGTGCCTTCTATGCAATTTTGTAAAGATTCTTTGCGCCTTCTCTGCAGGACCCGATACCAACAGCTTGGTGACATGCTGTAACCTTCTGCAGTGCGCGGCCAAAACGATGGACATTACGACCCTGCAACCTTGCAACTTTAGATATGAACCTTTTACCTTTTACCTTTTACCTTTACCTACCTAAGGTACCTGACATATGTACCCTCCATTACCCTCCATTTCAGCACCACATGCACGCATCTACACTAAGCGTCATGTCGCCAAATCTAGAAATTTGGACCCTTGTTTCATGAAACAAAAAAAGATGCCTTTAAAGTGGTTCTTTCAGAAGCATGTCATACCTACCTACCTTACCTACATATATACATGTACCTATTTTATGTACTATGTATCCCTGTACCCCCGTTGGCTTACGCTACGAACTTTTCTGACAAGGCTCCAAGGCTGGCTCTCGTACCTTTTCTTTCCCACCCCCCTCCTCCCCCTACCCCCCCCCAAAATTCCACCACACGCCTTAGGATTCGCTGGGTCTGAACGGGATCCTCCTATGACTATTATTTCGAGGCTCAAGCATACCTAGGTAGGCAGTAGAGATTCCCGCCGCAGCACATCGGCAGTCTGGGTCTCTCAGCCCGGGGCCCCCTGCTCTTACCAACATGGTCCGGTCAGCTAGGAAACGTGCGCCAGTTATTCTGATAATGACGGGCTGTGTTTCGTATACTTCAGATATATAAGATGTTGAACTCCCTGGTTTTGAGGCATCTTTTATTTCTCATCACAACAGCAAGAACTACAAGAACAATAACAATATCAAAAGAATAATATAAATCCTCATCCCTCAACAGATATATCACTGAACAACACTAGATCTTGCTTCACATACAGATAACACAGCTTTCCTTAACTGTCGCTTTCATTACTGTACTCACCAATATTTCATCTCTATCTATCTCTATATATATATACCAATCCTTACACAATAGCAATGGCTGCCTTCACTTTCACCACTGTCTCTGCCCCTACCAACTTTGGCCGAAGCGGCTACAACAAGGATGGCGACTCTGAGGACGACAAGCGAAACTTTGGACGCAGTGGCTACAACAAAGACGGTGACGACGATGACAAGAAGAACTTTGGACGAAGCGGCTATAACAAGGATGGTGACGAGGAAGACAGCCGGCTAAGCAACTTCGGCCGGAGCGGTTACAACTAAAGAGTCCCAACACTATGGACACTCACTTCTCTTTCATTTCATCCCGGCTACCTGCCGACTTTAATATCTCATCTTCTCGCCACGGCCGGTCCAGCCCAGCAGCGCTCGACTGGGCCGGCCTTGTATTAACACTCGATTCTCATTGTTTCTGTATCAACAGCATTTAGAGAGCATTCGGCATTGATATCATTATATTATTAGGACTGGACGATACCACGAAAAAAGATTCATACCATAGAAAGATAGACGCGCAAGCAACACCTGTACTATTTGTACTATTTTAGCATGAGATAGGATTCAGGATAGACATCGGACGATTTGGGAAAACGCATTGCATGAGGGTTAGGGCATGGGACGGCGCAACTAGGGGCATATCTCTTCATCTGTATATTATTATTTATTTTGAGAATTCAATCACTTTCCTACACAGAACCTGTCTCAAATATCAGTTGAATCCTCCGGTGTAGTAATGCGCCGGTACTTACTTTTCGAATATTACGCCTAGGATTTCCTCCACATCGCCTACATCTCCGCGGCCCGTGATCCGTCCTAGGTAGTTTGCGGCGTAACGAAGATGTTCAGCCGCCATGGTAATATCAGCGTCTTCGCCTCTGTCGAGCTCGTCGTGGGGGCCCTTTTCACCCGCCAAGCTGGTATATCCCACGGCTTCAAGGTAATTCTCTAAATGTCGTCTACATTTTACGAGAAGCTGTCGCTGACGTTCGGTAACGCCATGGAGGTCTTGTAGAGCAGCGGGAAGCGATGTCATCGTAGTAAACGATGTAACTAACGCATCTACGACCCCCCGGAGCCCCCCTGGGTCGATCTGGTCAGAACCTAGATCTTGCGCCTCCTTGCAAGAAATGGGTATCGGCCGAATTCCCTCAAGCCCATTGACTTTGCCAAGCACCTCCTTACCGAGCCACCGAAGAAGGGTACGTAACTCATCGTTAGAAACGGCATCTCGCTTGTTAACAATTACTAACCGTTCTTTACTGTCTGCCGCGAGTTTTAGAGTTTCCATATCGAAGCGAATCTGGGGGTTTCCAAGCGTATTCGTTTCGATAGAAGTTAGTACGATGATGACATCAGATTGCGTGGCTTTGACCCTTGCCCTGCGGATTCCCTCTTCTTCAACTGCCCCTATAATATCTGTAGAATCACGAGAACTTGTTGGATCTAGTGGAGTTGAGCTTCTGAACCCTGCGGTATCCGCAAATGTACACAAATACCCGCGAATGTCGAGATTGGCTTCGATAATGTCCCGAGTAGTGCCAGACTCACCGGATACGATAGATGCCTCCCTACCGACGACCTGATTCATAAACGAGCTTTTGCCGACATTCGGCGGACCCACAAGCGCGATTTTGATCCCATTCCGAAGAAGTTCGCTTCGCTCGCTTGCTCCTTCGTGGATGTGTATGCTCTGAAGGATCTGCCTAACCTGTTTCGTCACATTGACGACTAGGGAAGCGGGCGACTCGTCGAAATGCTGATCTTCGGAGAAGTCAATAAGAGCCTCCATCTCGGCCCGAGCATGTAAAAGATTCTGGCGCCAGTCTTCGTATGTTCGACCCAACGAGCCGCTGCTACCTCGAACCGCCGCGCGTCGCTGCTGTTCCGTTTCAGCGGCGAGGGTCTCGCTTAGGGCCTCGACCTGGGCTAAATCAAGCCGGTCATTGAGGAAAGCTCGCTTAGTGAATTCACCGGGCTCGGCGTAACGGATTGGGCTTTCTGCGGCACATTTAGGAATCGCGGCGAGAACAGCTTTCACAGTTGCACTGCCTCCATGCACATGCAGTTCTAGGACATCATCGCCAGTGACTGTTTTGGGATTCGGAAAGAAAAGTACTAATGCTTCTGAATCGAGAATTTCTGATTCGCTCGAATCCGGATGATACAGTGACCTGATGGTGGCATGGCGAGGTTTCAAGAAGGGTTTGTTTGGGCAGAGACCGTGGTAAATCTTATAATCCATCAGCCATGGTCGTTGGTTGGAAGCGAACAATTCCTACAGATCTGCATGCGGGGCCCGATATCCGGATCACCGCGATCCCAGCCTTGCCTTCGGCTGTTGATAATGCATATATTGTATCATCGCGCAGCTGAAAAGAAGAGTAACGCTGAACGAATTGATCATTACCAATCAGATTGCCATGATTAAAACCTAAAGGAGTCCCCGAAGATGCGAGAGACTGTCGAGTCGGATAAAGGGAGCTGAACTGTATATTATTTCGAGGCCACCTTAAACAGGTGAACACGCACCTCCTAGCAGCGCGATACATGAGCTATACTCCGCCTAAACCCCCAATAAGGAGCTTCAATTATATGATTAAACCCATATGAAAGTGATGGATATATTTGAAGACTGGATCTGATAATCAGAAATATTGATCGTTCAAAAAATGCATGTTTTAAGAATGATGTATAAATATTCGAGTATTCAGATGCGTAGCACTAAGATTCAAGATTGAAGATTAAAGCTTGAGGTTAGTGAAGGTACACAGGTACCTAGATAGTGCCAGTGCGCGAGTAGACTATTCATTATGCGCCTTATGATTGGTTGAAGAGGCTAGTGGCTAGCTAATCCTGCTACCGCCTTTCTTAGCCCAAGTCCAAAAACCCCACCCGCAACGGCAGAACTTTTTTTTTTTCCCATTCGGAAGTTCTCAAGCGCAGGAGTTTAGTTAAAGCTGTTTACTGCTTTACTAGAACACCACTTCTCACCCTCTACTTGCCCGACTACCTTGATTCTATTTAATATTCAGGCGCAATGTCGGACGAAATTATTTGGCAGGTCATCGACAAGCAGTTTTGTAGCTTCAAACTAAAGTGAGATTCATATTTTCGATCGTCGACTACAAGTGCTAACTTATTACTAGAACTACAAAAGAGAAGACTTTCTGCCGTAACGAGTAAGAAGAAGGATTTCAGTTGTCCAGTATCGCGTTTCTAACATAAGCATAGGTATAATGTCACAGGTCTTTGCAATAGACAGTCATGTCCTCTTGCCAATTCTCGTTATGCCACTGTGCGAGCGCACCCAACTAAGGGCACCTTGTACCTATATATGAAGACTATTGTTAGTTCCTCTATGCACTTTACTTCTGCCTGCTTGTTGACCAGACGTAGGAACGAGCCCACATGCCATCAAAACTATGGCAGAGGATCAAGTTGTCACAGAATTATGCCACCGCCCTGAAACAGATCGATGATCAACTCATCTACTGGCCTAAGTTCCTGGTCCATAAAGCGAAACAGCGAATAACTAGGCTTACGCAAGTGGCGATACGGATGAGAAGGCTAGCTAAGGAAGAGGCACGATTAGGCGAGAAAGTTGTACCCAAGATGGCACCTAAGATTAGACGCCGAGAAGAGACAAGAGAACGTAAGGCAGAGGCAGCCGCTAAGTTAGAACGAACAATCGAACGGGAGCTTATGCAGAGGCTGCGCACGGGTGCATACGGCGATCAGCCACTCAACGTCAGCGAGACGATCTGGAAGAAGGTCCTTAATGCTATGGAGCGCGAGGGCGAAGGAAAGAGGGACAAAGATCTCGATAAGGGTATTGAAGATGAGGAAGAAGAGGAAGAAGAAAACGAAGTCGAATACGAGGAAGAAGACGACGAGCCTGACGGAGCAGTCGAATATGTTAGTGATTTCGAAGAAAGCGATGACGACCTTGAAGATATCGAGGATTGGTTAGGAAGCGACGAGTCCGATAAGGAAGAGGATTCACAAAGCGAAGACAGCGAGGAGGAATCAGCCAAGAAGGCTGTAGGCGACAAGAGGAAGAGAGCACGTGTTATCAGCTCGAAGCCGAAGAAGGCGGCTCGACGTGGAAAGGAGATTGAGCACGAGCATGAGTTCGAACGGCATAGGGAAGAACTTGCTTTCTAAAAGACACTACTATGACCGGAATTCAAGCTCTAGCATCTTATATTACGTTAAATGTCTTGATACCCTTTTTGATACCTACGGGTATCTTTATAAATATAAAGGCGCAATTGTCTCTTTTCTCGCGTATGGTATTGGCTAAAATTTAAGGATGCTTAAAAATATAGGTGGCTAACTAATGATGTATTATTGCCTATGCGCAAGGCATCTTATTTGTCAATTGATATTCCGAGGCACTGGTGAACAAATCATCATTGCACTTAAGCGTACATATATGTATTTAAGGCTGTGATTCAGGGGCGGACCTGTTAGCTTGGCGGGGTATTTATCGTATTTGTCCACTCCGTTTTCTTGTTACATCCATAGCGCTATCCACCAGTTTGGTCGGCATTGACATTAATCAATCATTCTCACCGATCCAATTCTTTTTGAAACGGATTCCTGAACACCCTTTTTTTTTTCCTTCTCTTCTCCATAACGACCGCGAAGTCATATTTAAACTTTGCTCGTCTTGTAACTATTTAAAATCAACTCTACAAAAACTCCAACACGTGTTCATATAATTCTATACAATTTGTAATTTAGTTAAACTCTCTACAAGAATCAGACGAACATACCCGCTTAGACGCATTTATCCAAGAACTAGATCCCCTTAGCTCATCTAGGGCCACAAGACAAGATGTCGGCCTGGTATAGCAACCTTGTTGGCGCGACAACTTCGAAAATATCCAATCTCCAACGAACGTTCCTTAGTAGCGAAGCCGACGGCGATACCGAGGACGACACTCACGTGTGCAGAGTCCTCCGGTCTTATTACACCGAGAAAGGCAAGCCGTTTCCTTCGTGGCTACCACCCGACCCTAAAGCGCCTCCTCCAGTTGCCGCAGTATACGCGCAACCGTCACAAGTCGGTTCGAGATATGGTGGTCTTACCCAGCAACCCCAAGGCGGCTTAAGTTCGCTTTGGGATAACAATCCAGTATCGCAACCGCAAGATGCACAAAGTCTAAGGAGAGGCAGGGGCGCGCCGCCTGGTATACGAAATAATGACCCTAGGAACAGTCCGTTCCGTAATTCGGACCCCATGGCTGGACGGGAAGAGGTATCTGCAAGACCGTTGCCTAGCCAAAGAGCGGGAAGCTACCAGACTGCTGGAACAGCACCGCCTACCACCTCGTCCGGAGGTTCGGCACAGGATAGACTGAAACAGCGACTGTTTGGTGGCTCGAGGACAACAAGTCCTGCAGCAACTGGACCTTTTCAACCCCCACCGCAGAATAACTCTAGAGCAAACAATAATTACGGAAGTGGAGATTACGAAGATAGGTTTGCGCCTGGGGGTATGTACGATGGAGGTGCTAGGGGAGGTGGTCCTCCATATGACTCGGGATCGGGAAGTGGAGGGAGACCCGGGGGCAGGCGGGTAGGAGGCCTACCGAGCGGGCCTAAGATGAGATGAGGCCGTTGACAGATGGACGGAACTGTAAGACGCTTCCGTTTGGTTGCGCTGTCCTAGGATCTTGAAATTTGGAATTAGGAATCGAGACAGGGAATGGGGATGGGGATGAGGCTATATCGGACGCCAAGCTGCGGGAGGCAGGGCGCGGATCCTGATATGATCATGGCGCTCTGTGACTACTTATAACTGCGCCTCAGTCTCCTCGGACTACGTCCACCTTATCTGTCTAATTTATGGCGAGCTAGTAAATACCCACGAAGTTGAAATTGTTATACATAGAAAGGGATAGAAGAGATCCTAGATGGCATCGGCTGTTGGTTACTACATCAAGCCTAAACCTGCGAGGAAGGATGAAAGCGGCACGGAAACATCTAGATCATAGAAGTGTTACGATTTTTGCCTCCTAGTCTAGGTAGCGAGGAAATAATAATGTTGTTGCCTACTCGGATACATATCCACCTTTCTTCGTATTGCGTGTTCGATACGTATGTAGGACCTACATTAGGTAGGTTAGATGATTTGGTTCGTGCTTGTCTCCTCCCCCACGCCTTATTCATATCATGTTTATTTTCGTCATATTTAATAGTGTGCATCCAATATTAGGAATTTGTTGACTTGGCTATTTTTGTTGCGAGTTCGAAGTGCGTAATAACTGTAGGTAGGTGGTTCAGTTACAAGGTATACATAATAGTAATAACGAATGTCACGAGTTTGATTCGTCACGTAGACTTTCGTGGCCTGCAGATGGAATTAAATGCAGATGACATACTAGACAAGTATACGCTAATGCGGCAGGTTCCTAGTACTAAATCTTAGCCTTATTTTAGCGGTGATTTAACGTATCAATACCAGCAAATAACGTTTTGGGGGCGCAATGGAGGTGCCCCTCTATGCCTCCAGATCAACTTGTCAATTGGCGCGTGGCGGGGCACAACTATGTACATACGCACCTGCTTGTCTTATTTGCTTGTCTTATTCAAGAACCTCCCCCAAGCTCAAATCACTTTTTTTGCTCACATGTTTGTTCCATCACAAAATTAGCCCTATAGGATTACAGAAGAAGAAATCTCAACAGCCAGGGATTTGAATCCAGATATCCTTACTAACTTGAGATACATCTTCTTGTTAATCTACAACATTCCAGCTTATCCGAGCTGGATAGGACTACACCCCGCGATGACATCAGCTCCCCTTCCGGGTAGAGCCAGTTCACCTACAGGCAGCTTTTACGCCATGAGCGACGACGAAGAGGGCGAGTATGATACCATCACCCACACCGAGACCGGAAAGGGTGTCAAACTCCTATTTTCTAAGAGCAAAGTTTATGTTCACCCTACTCCATCCTCAAAGGATAACATCCCCGGCTACATAGCACTATTACAGCAAAAAGGACACCATGATGAACGACCAACATCTTCTTCCTCCAACGCATCCAACTCTTTAGCATCGGCAGACCTTTTACTTGCTTGGTTACCGGAGTCCTCTCTTGGTGATGCCGCCAGCATATACGTGAAAGTAGATCTGACCGATGCCGAGTCCCCGCCGAGGCAAAGCTATCTTGTACCACCACCCCCTACCGTAACTACCCACAAAGGATCAATCGGTCATTACGCTTTCGCTATACCTGTTAGTGCGATATATTCTTTACTGGTGAGGCCACCTAGCTTGGGGTGGTGGTTCGGGTCTCTGGTGATCAATACCAGAGCTGGGGATAGCTTCCCAGCATTGTTCTTTCACGATAGCGAATGCCAGTCAACTATACTCCAGAAGAAGAAGCGGGCTAGGGAGAGCTTTGACCCTTTTGGTGAAAATGGCCAAATGTTTTGGGGAGGCGATGAGGTGCTCCGTTGGTTAAAACGCTACGTCCGGATAGAAAGGAGTGGGGCTGAGCCGAACATCTACTTGGTAGAGCCGACCAAAGAAGATAGCGAGGCTTTCGGCGGAAAGTTAACGTCAAGTACGCCTTCGCAGATTGGCAGGCATGACAGTTCTCAAGGTATATCCTCGCGCAGTCGTGCCGGGCCTTCACGAGCGGGCGCGGGTGATCAGAATGACGCGGGAATGGACCCTGTCATGAAATTTGTGAAGGAGACTGGATGGAATCTCCTAGAAAAATTCAGCAAGGTCACAACGTTCACACGAAGAACCGCCCAGGATATAATTGACAATCCAAAAATGCCACCTCAGGTGCGGAGATTAATGAGAAACCCCGAAGTTCAGACGTTGCAAGACGAATTTGATAGCGCAAGGATATACTTAGCCCGGTGGGCGATGGGAATAGCTGAGCAGAGCGAAAGGGATCGAAGCCAGAGGATATGGACCGCTCGTGACGTCTTGGAATTAGAAGATACTGACGTCGGGGAGTTCGAGTTGCTTGAAACAAGTACTTTATCTCTGGAGGAGCGAAGGAAATCAGTGACTATTAAGGAGTGGAACAGTTTCTTTGATCCTCGAACTGGTCGCCTTGCAGTCACTATTGATGAAGTTAAGGAGCGAATCTTCCATGGTGGTCTCGATCCGGAGGATGGAGTTCGCAAGGAAGCTTGGCTGTTCCTGCTTGGTGTGTATGATTGGTACAGCACAAATGAGGAACGGAAAGCGGCAATCGCATCTTTGAGGGACGAATATGTAAAACTAAAGGCTGCCTGGTGGGAAAGGCTGGTAGACCTTGGTGGCGAAGGAGAGGACGGTGAATGGTGGCGAGAGCAAAGGGGCAGAATCGGTAAGTCTTACTATTTGCATGGGCAATATATTTATACTAACTATTTGGTACAGAAAAAGATGTGCATCGGACCGACCGCACAGTTCCAATTTTCGCAGGAGAAGATCTTCCTCATCCTGATCCCGACTCCCCATTTGCCGAGGCTGGTACCAATGTCCATATGGAGCAGATGAAGGATATGCTACTCACTTATAACGAGTATAACAGGGATCTTGGTTACGTCCAGGGAATGTCTGACCTGCTTGCTCCGATATATGCCGTTATGCAGGACGATGCCATTGCCTTCTGGGGGTTTCAGCGTTTCATGGAGCGAATGGAACGGAATTTCCTACGAGATCAGTCCGGCATGAGAAATCAGCTTCTCACTCTCGATCATCTAGTACAGTTCATGGATCCAAAGCTATATGCTCATCTTCAGTCGGCCGACAGCACCAACTTTTTCTTCTTCTTCCGGATGCTATTGGTCTGGTATAAACGCGAATTCAAGTGGATGGACGTCTTGCACCTATGGGAAGTGCTCTGGACAGACTACTTGAGCAGTAGTTTCCACTTATTCGTAGCCCTTGCTATTCTAGAGAAGCACCGAGATGTGATCATGATTCACCTTAAACATTTTGACGAGGTGCTTAAATATGGTAAGCCCTGCAACACTTTTTTCAGCTTAAATCAGTGCTAATGGTCTCGTATTAGTTAACGAATTATCGAATACGATAGACCTTGAGTCTACATTGATCCGAGCAGAGGCTTTGTTCCGCCGTTTCCAGCGGTTGATTGAAGCCATAGATAAGAAGCAAAACTTTCCAACACCAAGAGTACAGCAAGATTCGTCGTCAAATTCCGCATCCACTTCACCCAAACAGCCAAGTAACAAAAACGGAAAGGCTACAGAAGAGCAGCCGAAAAAGACGATTACGCCTGAGCTGCGGAAGCTACTGAGTAAAAATATAGAAGTGCTTCCACGAAAGGTGGTGCAAAAGAAAGGCGATAGTATTACTACCGATGGTGCCTAGGAGGTAGTCTGTTAGGTGGTTGCTTCAACTTGGCTTTCGATTTGAGCTTTTTATGCCGGGTGTATTTGTATGTTAGGGGATAAGGAATACGGAACGGATAGCATAATGAAGGGGGATTGTACCTAATTTTAAGGGTTTGGTGTTGAGGTTTATGGTTTATATATGTAGTATCGAAAGGAAGGGACACAATACTACCTGAAGCAGCGCTTTCGACAAATATCCTTCACTCTAGCGCTAACAAGGGAAATTCAGTAATTGAGGTTGAAAAGTTAGGAAACAATTCGAATTCACACACGACATTGCCTGGAAATGCCGGCAAAATAGAACTAACGATGTACTTGAAATATATTGATAATAATTCGTTGAAAGATGACAACCTATGCAAACCTAGCAGTCCTTTCCTTCACTCCGTTGAATTCGCACAATACGCCTATATTACAGCAATGCAAACTGCCCCTTTGCTCTCTCTTTCTCTCTTCTTTCTCACACATGTCGTCTTGCGTCATGCTAAGCCTCCTCATTACTACCACTTCAGCATATTAAAACTCCTGCTCCTCTTGGAAGAACATGCCGAATGAGATAATAGTCCCATAGATCAATAGTCCACCGATAATAGACATTATCATCGCCGGGATACCGATTAGAGCGGAGTGCGCGAGGACGGCGGGGAGAGCTATGAGGGAGAGGATATGTTAGTTATAATGTTCTTATCGTATATATATTAGGTATGCCAGGATATAGCGACATATTTTGAGTTCCGCTCCGCGCACGTGCGTGCGTAATACGCGCAAAACCAATATCCTAAGCATAGAAGAGAACAAGAGGGTAGGATTAGAATAGAATTATAGAACCTCTAGAGGTTTCTTACCTATCCCCATAATAACTAAGAACCCGGTGAAGAAGCGCCCGAGGTCCTGGACGCCATTTCCGGAGCTCTCGACGAAGTCTTCCGGGTTGGCGCAGCGCGCGGCAATCCAGTTGGGTATGGGAGCCAGCACGTAGGTGGCAACGACTAGTAGTGGGTAGTACACCTTGTATAGCGCGCAGGACAGGATGACGAGCAGGAAGCCGATGGCGAGCACGAAGGACAGCGCGATGATGGTCTTGAGCCCCGCGGTCGGCATCGTGGGCGGATGGGAGCGCGGATAGTTACGGCTACGGCTACGACGGCGGGAAAGAAAAAAAAAAATAGGGGGGGGGAGGGCGTACTCCTAGAGTGGTGGATGGTGGTTCTATCGAGATTCGAGATTCGGTCGTGGTTCGTATGGGGTTGCTGCGTGGAAGAATGGGAAGACGCGCCGTGTTGGTCGGTATGGTGTAATGGTTGGGACTTGCGATTTGTGTTACAGGATGTTGTCGTCAGACTCAGCCTTGACTTGGTTCGGCTTGCCTACCGCTATGTACCTAATGTACCTAGGTTTACCGGGATTTTGGGGCCGGGGAGCTTAAGCCACTTTAGAGTCCCCCGTAAATCAAATATGTGTGGCTGAAATTCGTCGTACTGAGATTAGGTAAGGTTAGGTAGGTACTTCAGTATCTAAGTACTATGTACCTAGTTATACACTCATGTGCGGGAAGTCCATGTTACCTAAGCCATTGGAGCTAGGGCATCAGTGCTAGACCTAAAAGAGACGAACGACGAAGCTCTTGAGCTGCCTTGCGGTTGCTGAACATTCAAGTCTGTAATTCAGGTAGCTTCAGCCTTGTATTTTCGACTCGAATATCCAACCTGCGAATACCTTCCCAACGCATATACGCCACTATCTACCTCCGCACACCCAATAATAATTACTATTTGAACTACGACATACCGACATAATGTTCAGAAACAACTACGATAACGATTCCGTCACATTGTAAGCTCTTAATTATATTATAAACAACCCTTGTCAATCCCGTACTTCACTAACAACTACGTTCAGCTCCCCGCAAGGGAGAATATTCCAGGTTGAATATGCCGCCGAGGCCGTCAAGCAAGGTTCAGTAGTGGTGGGTTTAGTTAGCAAGACACATGCAGTTCTAGTCGCTATCAAGGTACGATTACCACAAGAAAAAAACCTACCCAGATCCAATCCAGAGCTCCAAGAGCTAACAACTCCACTCGCAGCGAAATGCAGAGGAACTCTCATCGTACCAGAAGAAATTGTTCGCCGTAGACGAGCATGTCGGCCTAGCCATCGCCGGCCTGACCTCAGACGCCCGTGTCCTCTCCAACTTCATGAAGCAGCAGTGCCTGTCGCAGCGGCTAACCTACGACCGCGCGATGCCCCTCGAGACCCTCGTCTCGCTCATCGGCGACAAGGCACAGCTCAACACCCAGCACTACGGTAAGCGGCCATACGGTGTCGGTCTGCTAGTGGCGGGTGTAGACGAGGCCGGACCCCACCTATTTGAGTTCCAGCCCAGCGGTATGACCCAGGAGATGATGGCGTGCGCTATCGGAGCCCGCTCCCAGATGGCACGTACCTATCTCGAGAAGAACCTGGATAGCTTTGCGGCGTGCGGCCGGGAGGAGCTGATCCTCCACGGACTGCGCGCCCTGAAGGAGACGCTGGTCCAGGACCGCGCGCTGACCGTCGAGAACACGAGTGTGGGCGTTGTAGGATTCAAGGAGCCCGGCAAGAAGGGCCTCGAGTTCTTCAAGGTGCACGACGGCGCAGAGGTCAAGGACTGGATCAACAGCGTAGCAAACGACAACGACGCGAGCGAGGAAGCGGCAGAGGGAGGAGACGGCATGCAGGTGGATGAGTAGACGTTTTCGTAAGGGAAAAGGAACAAATCATGCTACGGTAAAAGAAAGGCATAACCATAACATAATTGCGTTTCGCTCGGGCGTATGGACTCGGGAGGTGCCTATGTCGCGGCACCGTCTAGATGTATCAATAGACGACAACAAATCACGAAGCAAGCCAGGAAAAAAAGCCGTGGCATCTTAAAGAATTAAATGCAAAAAAAGTGATGTCATATTTCATCTTCCTCGTCGTCAAAGTCATCTTCCCGCCCCATCTCGTATAGAATCCGACCACCTTCTCCCGCCCCGATGTCCGTCTGGGCGTCGAAGTACGGTAGGACTATGCCCTCTCTATCTCTACGCTGCTTCTCCGTCAACCCTAAGTTAAACGTAGTCTCCATCTCCCCGTCTCCTTCGTCCACCGCACCTCCCTGGTCAGTATCGCTCGGATCCCGAAATGCGGGGTGGTCGGAGAGAAGATATAGTCTTGAAGTCTGGACCTTGTGATCCTGCACTGCTGCTGCTGCTGCTGCCGATTGTGACACGAGGACGAACTTCTCGGCAACGGCGCGGCCGCTGCGCCGCCTCAACTCCATCTCGAGCACAAGCCCCTCGCCCGCCGCAGCCCTCTTCTCCGCACTACCCAACCCGACCAGCACGCCCTCCCGGCCCTCGGCGAGCCCCCACTCGGGCTCCTGCAAGCTGCGGTTGCGCGCGCGCCGGCGCTCCACCGCCTGGTACAGACTGCCGACGCGCAGCACGGCGGTGGCGAGATGGCACAGGGTGGTGAGCGGGTGGGGCTCGTACTCGCCCAAGGACGACGGCGGCAGCACCAGCGGCACGTCGGCGTGGTAGACGGCGACGATGGAGACGGCGGGCGTGACTAGGCCCGATAGGAACATAGATAGGTGGGAGCCGGCGGCGCTGGCGATCCCGTTCACGCCGTCTATCACGACGAGTACTTTGTGCGCGTGCCCCGCGCTGCCGGACGAGTAGTGCGAGGTTATCTCGGCCCGCAGGGCCTCGGGCGTCTTGCCCCAGGCTTTGACGAATACGTCGGCGGCGGGGGGCTTGCGCAGCAGCGAGGAGGATAGGAAGATTGTTTTGCTTTTGGAGATCTGGGGGGGTGGGGGGGTTAGAAATGGTGGTGTGTTTTGTGTCTGAACCTCTGAACGTCTGGAGGAGAAAAGGGGGGGAAGGGGGTGGGGAGGAGAGGGTATGAAGAAGAAGAAAAAAAGTGGGGGGGGGAGAATAGCTTAGGTACTTAGGTACTAACTAACTAAACTAACCTTGGCTCTGCTGAGGAACTCGTGAACTACAGGCGCTGCGCTCTGCTCCAGCGTGTCGAGGACTAGGGTTAGAGGGCTGGCGCTGTCCCGTAGGTTAAGGAGTTTCTGCAGGAGAAGCAGCGAGTGCGAACGGGCGTGGGATTGCGTAGATGATGGCATAGCTGCGTTGGTGTTTGGACTTGGACGTTGAATACTTTTTTTTTTTGCGATGGTGTCTTGCTAGGGCAAGTCAAGAGTTACATGTAGGTAGGTATGTAATTCTGAGGCTAGAGTTTGATGTTGGAGTTGTCTTCTGAATAGGTATTTGAAAGACTCGCATCTGCACCACTCGTATTAGTTTAGGTACCTGTTTTAATTTAGGTAACTAGCAGAGATAAACTTAACGCTATACAAATGATAGAGATGAAGTTTTATAAAGCCTTAACCTAGTAAAATCTACCTACTTTAGGGATTACATAACGTTGGGTATATGTGCCATGTAGAGGCTAGAGCTAGCGCTTCTCCCCGCAGCCCTAATTGAGGAGATTAAGCGGCAACTTATAGCGTGCTCCACTAATTCGTATGCAAGATCTACCGTTGCAATTGCAGGGGCTAATGCTCGCTATCCTTTGCTATTTTATTTCTAATTCAACTTCTTTCCGTCAAATTTCTATATTTATCTTTAATATACGTAAATGCGTGCTATAGCTCTACGTAATATTACGCGACTCTGCTCTTGTGTTATTGCTCGTCTCGTTTTAACTAGACCTTTGTAAAGTTGGAAGAAAAAGGTAGTAGGTAGCGCCTGGGCTAGACACCTTTGCTCCGGCTGCTACGTTCTAGTGGGCTTACTGCGTTCATCATTAGTTTATATACATAACTTTAATAATATATGCTCTTAAATAGATAGCAATAATATACAGCTTACTTTATTCCCTTCTTAGCCCAAGACGCTACCATCGCATCCTCTATCCTTGCCTCGTCGTATTCGAGACGGGAGAATATAAAATGTGTCTACTAATAGAGTAGAGCTCCCTCGGGCTCTAGGGGGATTCTTCTTCGACTCTTAATGCGATTATCTCATCCTTATGGTCTACCCCTGAGCCGACTCATATTAAGAGTGTAACATGGCCAGTTTTATGTTGCGAGTCCCAACGAGCTATTTAGCCCTCGGTCTCGGGGTCGCTGTCCCCATAGGTCATATATTAAAGACCCGTAACTTAGCTGCTCAAGCTAGTCTAGCCATCTAAGTAGAAATTAACATAGAGAGATTTTACCTGGTTCTGGATACTGCCAGCGGCGACACTTGAGTTGCTTCGGGCAGGTTTAAGTGTTTAGCCCCTTTCTCTAGCCTAAAATTTTTCAAAATGATTATACTTTTGGACCTCTCTATAAGGGAGACTTCCCTGACGGCAAAGTAGATGATGTGAGTATATATAAACAACAAGGAGGCCTGGCCCAGAGCGTGTCGTAGAATATTGTGCCGCTTACCCTCAACATCGTGACTGGTGGGAAGGCTATCCGTGCTCACCCGAATAGCATGATTGTAAACCAGCTAGAGTATGAAAGCTTAACTGAGTCCTTCGGTTCTGGGCAGCCTAGTTTGTATATCCTTAGAGATGCATTTATGTAAGAAACTATTGACGTGCTTGATGCTTTAGACAAAAAAAAATAGATGAAGTTTGCTCAACAGTTGGATTAAGTTGGGTTTTTGTAGCCGATATCTCCAGCTTAGATTACCTGGGTATATAAAATGTGTATGTGTATGTCAGGTAGCTGGGCCATTGCTGTTAAAACTTTTTGGTATATCACCTAATGACTCAAGGAAATAGGGGAACTACTGGGTTTTATTTTGTCAGTATACAGTAACTATCTGTTTAATATCTAGTTAAAGGAGTACTGGTCCTGTAAAGGTAAAGTGATCTTGGTTTGGTTGGAGTCATATTATAGAATTTATTCTGTTGCTTACTCACTTTTCACCTTAGTCCTATTGTTTGTGTTTTCCCCAAATATTAAGCTTAAGGAAAAATTTTTATGAAAGCGAATCTAAAGCTTAGACGTGGGAGGTAATCTGGAGGTGACAAGATAAATCATGAGTAAGTTGAATAGGATGTAAAACTTTACCTCTATTTTGCTCGATTGGTCTTACTACTGTAGTATGCCTCTGTATCGGGGTACGAGTGGTCTATCTATTATATAAGGGCATACAGCGCCCTCGTAAGGGAGTAGAAGCCAGGCGTTGCTAGGTCAATATACTATACTACTTGGTCTACCTATTCTAGACACTCACTCTATGTATAACATCAATCACCTAGGTAGGTATCAATCTTCTGACACTCTGCTTAAAAATGGGGGATTGTATATATGTATGTACATACGTGTAGAGTGTTGTGTTAAAACCCCCAACACATTATGTTTCTTACAAAATGTACCATGCCAGAAAGGGTATGGTTAGATACTCTTTAGAGTGTCTAATTAGGATATATTAATGAGTTTGTTATTTGACAGTCCTTCCCAAAGGGTCCACATCATTCGTCAAGCACACATTGGTTGATACTGTGCATAGTTCAAGTTGTAAAACGTCCGTGCTGCAGCAATGTAAGAACAATCCCAAAGACAATAGCAACAAAGCGGTTCCACATAATGGTTTAAAGATACTTTACAATGTGGTCCGGCCTCTTAAGTACATAGCTTTTTTCTACAGTGTCTGTGATTAAGACAACTCAAGGCAAGATATATCAAAGTACCTAGACGCTAAAATGCCATAGCAACTGTGCTCATAATTCCCAACATCACGGTGTTCACACCATTATTTAACAGTTTCTTTTCTATCTTCCCATTGTGAACCTTTCCTACTCTACTACATCCTCGATGAAGAAACTATAAAACCATAGATTCTCATCATTAATAGAGCTCTACTTGATCTATTGTGAAGTACTATCCCACACGATCACCTCTCTTTGAGACCTTGACCCCGAGAATTCAAGAGTTTCTCTATATATACTCAAATTCGCTAATTCTTTGACTTATCTCTGGATACACACCAACTTTGAGATCAAGTCTTTGATTATATCCTGCTCAAAATGTCTCGAAGTTCCACCCCTACACAAGCCGATTTCGATGCCACAAGGGCCGAGGAGGAAGCACGAATTATCCACAAGGCGGGCTCGCGTATTGAGAAGCATGTTGCTGTTCTAGCCGCAACATCCAGGGCTAGGTTCCAACAACATCCGGATGGTAAGTCAAGACACAATCCCTATACCTATTAGATATACCAGGTAACTAACAATCACAAAGATATGGAACATATCATAGCTATTCGCGGAGGCAGGGCAAGCGGTCGAGTCTCGCCGACGGATATGTTTCTAAAAAACAAGGCTCTAAATTCGGAACGAAAGGGTTGCCAAGACCGACAACGCTGCATCAGAGCTGCAGCAAAATCTCTCGCGTCTAAGTATAACGACGACAATGATGATGAGCTGGAAGCTCCTGGTACAGTCCGTCGGAAGATACCAGTTACCGCTCGCAGAGTAGCTCCGCCGGCCCCCTCAACCGACGACGACGACGAGCAACAGGAAATTGCCTCTAGTCGTCGCAAACCAAAGGCTACCAGTATCAAGGATATCACCGGGTTGTTTCGAAAGCTTAAGTTGAGCGTCGGCGATGAACGAAAGGCGGAAAGGAAGAAGCACGGGAAACGGGCATGAGAGCCAATAGTTTTGATTTCTCTTTTATTTCTTTTCAAGATAACAGATCAAATCGATCAGTTTACATATTGGCGTTATACATGGGGATATCTGGGGGGATTTGAGTCGTATATATTTGGGCTTGCTTTGATACCCCTTTTAACGCAAGTTTTAATAATTAATAAGACCGTTTCCTACCTTTACTCATTTCTCGTCATATTTCCGTGTATTATTATTTTACCTTTCAAAATATAGCAACTGGTATTTATTTCATTTCAATTAAAGATATGTCGTGTCTAAACACCTAAAGTAGGGGATGAATGGCTGTATACCCCTTTTCAGATTTAATGTGGGTCTCAGGGGAGACCTCATAGGTGAGGCAGATTTTCAGAAGTGAATCAGTTGGAGATAGATAAGAAGAGTACCTATTTACCTACATATAATATCGTTAGGTTTGATATGTACGAGGCTTGTTGGTTCCGTTAGGAAACATCTGTTGGTAATTTATCTACTTCCTGTTGCAACCCAACTATACAGCCATAGCCACAATCTTCATCTTCTACATGTCACGTCCCACGCCTGTCTAAGCATTACCCATTTCCATTTCCCCGCACTTAAAGGCTGTGTAGGTAGCAAATAGGATATGTATACTTGCGTGTGTCATGCTTTATAGTTGGTTGGGTGGATAAAATTTCTTGATAGGGGTGTATCCTGTTTTCCTAGAAGCCCCTGACAACTTAGTTATTTATACCGAACTAACACATTATTCAAATACATACGACCATAGGATCTGGAAAACTCGGGGTCCCGTCCGCTCCCCCTTAGATAAGCCCGATACCGCCGGATTAGTAGTTGGGTCGGTGACGACCAGCGAATCCCCGGTGTTGTATGTTTTACTCTTTTACTTTTCTTTTTGTCCAGTTAAGTTATTACGATAACTTCTTCGATTTGGTTGGTTAGAGATCATTCTATAAGCTGGGAGGCTGTGCAGATTAGCATGGGAGTATTCAATCTCCTCAATATTTCTTGTCCAGTTTCTTCCTTTCGTTCTAGTTAGTCCCCGATATTCACATCATTCTATAAGCCTTGTCACCCTACTTAGTATTGCACACAAATTGCCCGGGCTATTATGCGATGGCCACATGCACCATTCATTTTAGGGGTACATACTCCTTGGAGGAAATGATACTTAGCGCGTACGGTATGGAAAACAAGCCAAAATGCCCCTGTTGTGGAGTGATTCTAGGCATGGTGTTATGTCATGAATTAGAGATTTTAGAAGAGTATTCTGAAATCTCCTGGGGAGATATCTCGATAGAAATTACAGGATTCAGCGAGATAGAACTACAAAGAGTGAGAATTTCTAGCAGCGCGCCTGTAACGACGGGTAAAGAGAGCCTCAAATCGTTTTTATTCGATATTTTCCAACGACCATCCGGTAGGTTTGACTTACTTTAAGTGTAAAGTGTTGTTATTAAATAGTAACTAACTGGTTATTTTATATAAGGTGTTACGACACACACTCAAAATACCATCGAGCACTCGAGCCTAGATTACTATGGGCAAGAAACAATGTGGATAGACAGAAGCCGGACCTGGGATGTCTTGGAAGACTCTTCAACCCAGGAAGCCTTCGATCGCGCTGCCGGGTGGCTTTCTCACTGTATGAAGTATGATGGGCCCTGCAACCCGCCAAATAAGAACTTCGTACCCCGCCGTCTTCTTAACGTGGGGCGAAAAGGCCAGATAGGCGAGCCATTCCTCTTTGAACCCATAGAGCCAATAGCCTATGCTTGTCTTAGTTACTGTTGGGGGGTAGATGTCGGAGACGTTCTGAAAACGACAACATCCAACATTAACGACCATTACAAAGAAGTCCCTCTGGCTTCTATGCCTAAAAGTCTACAAGATGCTGTCATGGTCTGCAGGGGGCTTAACATCCTATATCTATGGGTGGATTCCATCTGCATCATCCAAGACGATCACGACGCCTGGTACCAAGATGCATCTATAATGGACCAAATCTACCTCAACTCTCAGATCACAATCTCAGCACTAGAGCCGAATAGTTGCAAAACGGGATTCCTAGGTAAACAGAAATTTGGTCTTCCGGGGTGGCAGGGTGAAATTACGGCTCTGGCTACGTCAGAGGAATTTATAGCTCGACCAGGAGTCAACCAAAGCGAAGAATGCTCTCTCGATAAGAGAGGCTGGTGTCTGCAGGAGGCGTTACTTTCTCATCGAAGGCTCTGTTTCAATGGAAATGAAATGAGTTGGGAGTGTTCATGTCGCAAAATTTGCGAGTGTGGGCATTGTGTCTGGCCAAGATACCCGATGATGGTGCAAAAATACGAATTCAATGCCGTTCAGCTGGGAGCGTTGGTAAGGCAAATTTTATCGCAATCTGCACCAACACAAAAGACGAAGGCTTATGGTTTAGGGGTTTCTGAGCGGCATGGGGAATGGCTTGAAGGGAACAAACTGACCGACAATATTGATGGAGCGCCGGAAAGAATTTATGACCTTTGGAGAAGGATAGCATCAAACTATTCACGACGTGCAGTTTCTCTTCAGAGCGATAAATTGGTGGCACTCGCCGGACTAGTGAATATCGTGCGTAAGAGTATCCGGCCTGAAACAAACACCAAGAATGCATATCTTGTTGGGCTCTGGAAGGAGGAGCTTCATTTTGATTTAGCCTGGAGAGTAACTGCGTTCAAACCTACATCAAAGTTATCGACTGATGAAGAATCTGATGTTGTGGATCAAGGACGCCGCTTTCCCTCGTGGTCATGGGCATCTTGCGAGGGAGCCATTAGTTATGATGATTATATAGCACCGTTATTAGATTGGCTCGGGCTCGGGCTCGCGTCCGGAATCGGAATAATCGACAAATGTTCTATTAAGGGTATCGAGGGAGTTACGGAAGATGGAACTCCTACAACTAAAGGCGGCCGTATACGCTTGGAAGGAGCATTAATACCTGTTGAACTAGCAATATTTAACGAGCGTATTCACCCATCTGGAACCTTCGTTCCTCATCGAGAAGCAGACGTTTACCCATTCCCATTAGGATACCCTCGGAGTGATATACCAGCTATATCAGCGTTTATAAGACCACGAAGCTTATGCTCTACAAGAGTGTATCTCGATGAGCCCGCAGACTCAACGATGAGTCGAGATGATGCCCAAGCCTCTTGTTGGACAGATGGACAATGTGAAGATCATTGTTGTTCATGGAGTGAAAGTCAGGATAATACCAAAACTAGGTATTACTGTTTCAGACTCTTTTCGTGGATCATGAACAATGATATGCGAGATTCATTTACTAAATCTAGTTATGAACCGGGAACATTCACGACGGACTCATTTTTCCTTGTATTGAAGCCATCTAAGCGTGTCAATGGTGCGTTTGAAAGAGTTGGCGCTGGTAGTTGGGCTGGGAAACGGAAGTCAGAATGGGATATGGAAAATACCAACCTATTTAAAACGGCCGAGACGCAAATTGTCGATATCGTATAAAACGCCTATCATGGAGCAGTTATGAAAGGCGGTTGACTTTCTATAGTATGTCGAAGCTAAGGTCAAATGATACCTAACGTTCATTATGCCTCTCTTTCTGAGTTTTTAATTTTGGCTAAGTCATTTTTGAGTATATTATAGATGTTGTAGGACAAGTATTATACGGCTAAGGACTATGTAAGCATTAAACAAATGCAACAATGTGAAGTTATCTTCCCATCTTGGAAGCTATCATTGATAACATGTTGCGTTCAACACTTGCTAAAAGTTCACATAATTATGTCTACTTGTCTAATAGCTAATAACCTAGCCGTAGTTAGTCGAGATATTAGATCAATCGATTTAAGAATTTGAGAGTACTGACTGGGGAAATATATAACTTGATCAAAGGGGCTCGCCTTTTTTCAGAAGCTTTCTTTCAAATAAGGTAGATATTCTATCTGGTACAGGAAAGGTAAGCCTGGGGAAAGAAAAGCACCTAGAGATCCTAGAGAAACCCCACCAGCCCCCCCCTTATTATTATCACCCCTGATATTGTCTACGGAACGGTCTCTGAGACGAAAAACAGCTGAAGATTACATCTTAGTTTACAAAACTATTGATATTCCCTATTAATTGTTTTGTCACTATCGATATTTCTAATATAATAATTCTCTCCTTTACCTCTCCAATACTTATTATAACCTATATTCCTCTCCTCTTCGAGGAAGTAAAAGATGCGAAGGACTTCCACTAGATTCTCCCTGTCCTCCATGCCGCCTTCGAAGAGCCCTTTAACTCTTTGCGCAGATGGTTTATCCCAGTCCACATCACGGTTGAAGCAGCAATCGAGGATGTCAAAGCGCGGCACATCAAGTCTTGGAAGTAACACGATAGTATCCACTGGGTAAAGGTCACGGATAATGATTCCGTTAATATTGCTGGAGCGGCTGAGTTGAAGATTCGCTAAAGGGTGAGCCCATCTGATGAGCTACAGAAACCAATTGGTGCATATTGACATATTGGGGGTGCTGAAGAGAATATTTTTCGTTGGAAAACTTGTTATAGTCTTAAAGGGGTTTATGAAAGACAGGATGATTAGACCTCATATTGGTGTATAGCCGCGCAATACATTGTATCCTGTAAAGCGAACATTAGAACTTAGAACTTAGAACTAGAACGGCTAGTTGTGCATTTTGATTTACCGCAAAAGGGGCGCTAGAAGGTTACTTACCGACTGGGGGATCTAGAAAGTAGATGAACTGGGACTGGAATACTGTGTCGAGTCTTTCCCTTTTGTTGTGTCTATATACGAAAGGTACGGGTTTAACAACGTAGACTGCCTCGACCTAGACTTAACTACCTCTAATCCAAGTACGAGATGGAAGGAATACAAAGTAGATGACTTACGTGTCTTCTTGATGTGGCACCTGCTTACCGTGCTAGAGAAAATAGGTTACAACTGTCAACTGTCAACTGTTCACAAGTTAACTTAAGGTATTGAGTCATAGCTAAACTGTGACATAGTTACCTAAAGGTACTACCGTAGGACCGAGACCATAAGATACCTAAGTAAAAGTTTGCTGTCGGGTACAGTAACGGAAGTACCTCTTCGCACAGGTAACTGACTGTACCGATAAACGTTGTTAGAGTGACATAGCATAGCATAGACCACCACCTCCGGTAGAAAGTGAGCAGTTGCTAAGATTGCTTTAACAGCTGGTCGTCGCTAAGACAACTCTTTCTGCCCGAATTTAGTTTACCGCTCTGCTTACCGCCTTCGATGCGCATCTATTCATGCCGCCCTTCTGCGCTCCGTCAAAAAAATTTCTTCTCTTTTCCAACTTCTTTTTCCAAACCTTTAACTTTACAACTTCAATGTTAACAACCACAACACCTTTACATAGAAGTTAAACAAAGCCTACTATTCCTTTAACACTTTAATTTAATTATTACTTCTCTAATAATATTCACCTATTCACTTTCTATAAAGTATAATCCTTTTTCAATCACCATATACTTTATCCTTTCTTAATCAAACCAAACATCTCCCCTGTAAGTATTAACTACCTCTTGTTATCATTTACCAAAGTCTCTTTCGAAACAATCAGCGCTAACAAAATTTCTTAAAGACGCAATTCGAAATGTCAACACAACAAGAGATAAAAGTGGTCAATACTAATGCGACAAATAAGCGCGTCGTGCAACATGGACATACTTCGGTCGCGGTGGCGGCTAAGTCGGCCTCTGAATCGACCGGGCCATCTGACACTTTGGCGTCCAAGCCTCTCAAGAAACACTCCCGCAAAAGGTTCCAGAAAAAGAAGTTCTCGGAAGCGTTCCCCGGGAACAGGATTCTGACCACGAAACTTCAACCCCTTCAGACCTACGGGACAGGCATCAAGGGCACTGGGGCAGCAGTCGAACTCGCCGATGCTGCTCCGGTTCCTGCTGCCCTAGGTGTGGTGTCTGCAAGTTCTCAACATGAGTCGACTCACAAAGTCAATGACGCGTCTCAAGAACTTGTGCTGGAGAAGTTCGACAAGCCTAATCTTAACGTCGACAAGAAAGAATTTCAGGATGACATGAAGAAGTATGGTTTTAAGGGTCTGGCAGCTTCACGCTGGGCTTAAACCTAGGCACTCTTTTATTACAGGTGAGTAGTTGGACTTATGATACCTAAAGGAAAAGAATAGTTTGGCTGACCCGGTATATATAGCAAGTTAATTCACCTTAATACATACAACTTGCTATATCTCGTCTGCCAAGAGCGGGATTTGTGAACCACAAGCGACTTGAGCATTGTCGCGTGAATGTTTCTCACACAACCTACTGCTTATAGAATTTATCAAGAGGGCTACGTATGCCAGAACGCAGCACGTGGTCTGCGCCCTTCCGCAGGATCATCGCATGTATCGCAATAAGACAACTTTATTATTCTGGAACGATTCCTGAATATCCATACTAAGGGTCCATGTCAATACTTAAAAAGCACCACGATTATGGCACACACTCTCGACCTTCTGTAAATACATCAGTAAAAGTGATAATCTGGAGGACACATAAATGGCATAACCTACTTCTGTTGGAACACGGTAAGTTCATATTTCCTGAACGGAGCATAGGATTCCTTAGCTAACAAAACAACAGCTACTGTCGAAGATGAAGATGAAGATGGTGGTTGCGTGGCCCTGTCATGGATTCATCACACTCGGCATTATGTTTGGCGCCGGTGGGCAATAAACTAATAAACTATCAAGCTCAAGTCCTATCAGATGCTATATCCCGGCTCGCATATGGACAACTCTACAGTAATGGGCTATGCTGTTGTCTAAAGGCTTGTCTCTCCTACTGAGGCTCGATCCCACTGGAACATCTCATGCCGACGAATGAAATAAGTGAGGAGGGGGGGGAATTGGTTATTGCGACACCTGTGGCCCCCGACGTGGGCCTTGGAAAAACGTGCCGGGTAGGGATTTTTGCGATTCCGCAGGCGGCGTGTTCCTATTACTACAGCCAAACCCGTGTGTCTGGGACGCTTTCGCAGTTCTTCAATAATGATATGATAGGAGGCGTTTAACTGAGGGGAATGAATTTTAGAGGGGTTCATAAGAAGAATGGTATTAAGCTTGACAATGTTATTATACTTAGATACCTACACACGACGACATCAGCTCCTAAGAAATCTCAGGGAAAGGAATCTCAGGGAAAGGGGTCGCCTAGGTAGTCAAACTTCATATCAAAACAATAGTCTTAATTAGTGACTCCATATGTACATAGGGTATAGCACATCCAAGTCCCACAATATTATTGTATAAAACCAGACTCCTTGGTATAACAACTGTGACCGAGTATCAAATTAAGAGTAAACACATTAACCACCGCTCCTCATAACCTATTCATCTTAATATCAATGACTCCAGTAGCACATTGGCCATGGAATAACCCTCTTCCTCTCCATCTCATGATTTCTCCTATCCTATCCTATCCCTCGTAGACTACCTACCTACCAGGTACCTACGTAAAATAACCTATTGCCGCGTCGGACTTAAAGGACGATTGAAACCGCCGACACGATTCATATACTGGCGGTACTCCGTCTTCTTCTCCTTGCGCACAGCACCTGCATTGTTTCCCAGGACATGCGTGCCCTTCGTCGTGCCGAAGCCGCCAAAGCCCATCATAGCCTGCATCGCGCTTAGGCCGTCGTCCTCTTCCACTACCACATCATCATCGTCCTCCTCCTCCTTGTCCTCGTCCATGGCATCTCCCCTATCCGGCGTCTCGGTTGTTCGCCTTCTATTGTCCTCCTGCTCTTCCTGCACGTCGCGTTTGCTCCCTGTTGCCCTCTTACTACCGCTGCCGCTGCCGCGGTTGGGGGCTTCCTCTTCGTGTGGTTGGTGTTTGGAACCGACTTTGAACTGGAGCGATGATGCGCTGGCCTCGGGTTTGCTGTTATTGGGGCGTGGTCGCGTTGGGAGCGGAGAGTTGCTGTGTGAGTGTGTGTTGCGGTCTAGTTTGCCTGCTGGACTTCGAGCGGGCGATGCAGAGCGCCGTGGGCTTCGGTCCCGACCTGGTCCTAATTTTTAGTTAGCCCTGATCCTAGATGTACCTGGAGCTAGTTGCTCTTTTGGAGCTTCGTCGCGGAACATACCTCTAGTTGCGCCCTCATCCCTACCGCGTCGCCTATCCCTACCCCCTCCCCTCCTATCGTGGTGATCATTCCCTTTAGCCCATGCTCTATCATTATCTCGAGCTCGGTCTCTCTCAGGCTCGCGACGGTCACGGTGCTTTTCGCGGCGGTCTTGCCGAGGCGATCGCGATCTAGACCGGTAGCGACGATCTTTGCCGCGGTGGCTGTCCTCTCGATCCCGACCGCGATCGTCCCTTTTGTCGCGTGCGTCTGGTTCGTGGCGGCTTCGGCGTTCGGACTCATCCCACATCTGCTTGCTGTCTGGGCGATTTCTTCGCCGGCGAGCTTGATCGGCCATGTCTTCTTTCTTGTTGCAGGGTTGATTTGGATAATGCAATTTTAATTATGAATGCTATAAGAGTTTAAAAGCTTGGCCGCCGTTTGTTAATGTATTGCGAAGTGAAGAAGGCTCGGGTTTTATTCGGATTTGTCGTATCGTGTTTTAGGTACCTAAGTTTCTTTAAATAAAGATAAAGAATCAGTTGTCGTCATGATTAGAAGAAATGTAGATGCACTTGATTTATGCATTCTGATTGGGCCATATTATATGGGACTTGGATTACGTAATTAACTGCGTCTATGTACCTAGGTACCTATCTATAAAGCTACTTAGGTACAAAGGTAATCTTCTACCGTCATCCCCACCACCATAAGAACCTACCATCTACAACTTCGATATTGTGTACGCTTACATGCCTCCGCCAATATCATGACGGCAGGCTTATGCCTTGCTGTTGCAAAAGCTGTGCCATAGATTCTAGGCCTATATCTAACGCTAGCTCTAATATCTGCGACCGAGCAGCTGCATCGCCAATGCTCAAGTCCAGTAGCAGTTTCACCATAGCAATATGCTCAAGCTGAACAGCTTCGAAAAGCGGCCACCAGTCGTTATCGATGGACTTGACGCCGTTGTTAATTAACTTGCGCACAATCTTCATACTCTCGCTCATAGCTGTAGCTCTTAGTAGTGAGCCGCGCTGCTGCATAGTTTGATAGTTGGGATCAGCACCGCGCTTTGGCAGTATATCAATTATGTCTTCGTGCTAGTACCGCGCCGCACAGGATAGTGGGTTTCAATTAAGCCTTTCTCCGCCGTTTATATCGGCACCTGCATCAAGGAGATATCTTACCATGTCTACATTACCTCGCTCGGTGCAGCGGACCAAGAGGAACCACTTATCTAACCCCGAATCTTGAAAGAACGCCTGGATGTACTGAAATGTTTCTGGAGTCTTGGTGCATAAAAGGGAAGATCGGAGGTCTCTACCATGCTTAAAGTACGGATCGACTTGACTGAATGGATGACCGGCAAAATCTCTGCTATCAGGCGTCATTGGTGAAGGGTAATATATCGCCAGACGGAACATGTTCATATCTCCGCGCATCAATGCTCCCTTGATAGATCCAAGCTCGATCTTGCTTCACCAGGAATCAGCTTCTAATGGTACATCCTCAAAATCTAGCAAGTATTCCTAAAGAAGCCTTAACATATCGGCATTGCCTGCCCATGTGGCGAGCTGCATAGGCGAAGGGATTACATGATTGTGCACTGTTGGACAGTGGCCATCTAAAAGTAACTGTCTAGCTAGGGGTCATTGCAGCGAGGTATAACACCAAAGTCCTCAAGAATTCGCGACTCAAATAGAGTAGGTTGAAGGCAGTTATAAAATTATTCTGAATTATCAGTTATCATCAACTGGTTTCCAGCCTAGCAAAGATAGGAATCGACCTACTGCAGACAAGCTTCAGTCCGAGGCCTCTTGTGGCCCCACGGGAAATGACAGCCTGGAACAAGACCATGTGCATTATTTCGATTGGAAGGTCAAGTACGTGCATTTCAGTTATTGTCCGTGAATTGTGAAATGGGAGAGTCTGTTTGTATGACAGACTATCTTAGTCTGGATTGTAGGTTGGTATGTGAGATAGCTGACTCGAACACATGTAGCTAGCGATTATTAGCGATTACAAGTGACAAATACTATGGTATTTCAAATAAGACGTGGGGAAACAGGGAAACAGGGAAACTTCTTCGCATGCTAATAGCCACAATCACAGCCCCGATATTGATATCCAGGACGGAAACTTGTACGAAGCTGACTCTTCTCGAGTAGTTCTGCTCTAGTTCATGTCTCGATACGTCATAATCAGTAGGGTTATCACAATATTGATTCCTTAAAGGATAAATAGAAAAATACTTTGATCCTTATAAATCGGTCCATGGATTTCACCGCGAGATTAAGTCACCGTGACGTTGACTTTACGAAGGAAGTTGCTATTTTTTTATTTCATCGGTCTGTCGATCTTTCTAGCGGCCTTGCAATTTACCGCCCTTGGAAGAATGAAGCACTAACGTATAAGATCTTATTAAGTTGCAAAGCCTCATGATCAACTGCATAGCCTCGAAGGTAGCTATTATCTTAGAAAGTTTGACAAAGAGAAACTGGTACTTTGAATCCTCTTGGCGTTGTTTCCGTCTGTAGAGGTGTGATATGATATCAGTTTTCTAAATAAAAACAGTCGCTTACACAGGGCTACTCGGATGGATTGCCGTATGATATTAGCTGTAGCACAAGCGGCCAATTTCTCAGGCAGCCACTTAGATGCTTTTAACAGAGTCAGCTCCAGGGGCGTAAGCCAATACCGCACTAGTTATGATGATCATATTAGATAAGCTCACCACCTACGTGCTGGTATCATCAGATGGGGTAGGCTTACCATTTACATCCTACTACCAGAGCTAGCTCAAGTACCGAAAAGGCACATGGAATGATAATCGGAATACGGCAAGCTCACCATTTACATGCCTATACTAAAATCTACTTGAATATGAAAACAGCTCTGAGAATGATGATCGGGATAGGATAGGACTTGTAAAAATGCATATAAAGGCTCAAAGGGTTCACCTTGTTTTCGGTCTCTCATCTTCATCATCTCCATCACCTTCACAGAACAAGCCTTCTAGCTACTAGCTATTCAATTTCATCAACCAAGTCCCTTTAGTCTTATAACCACTTTCCAACTCACAAGTATACAAAATGCGTACCTCCTTCTTCAAGGCCGCAACCTTTGCCCTTCTCGGGCTTGGTAACGTTTTTCCTGGTGTTCTAGGTGCCCCGACTTCCAATGAGGTCGAAGAGGTAAACTGGCTTCTATCATTTTCTTTTAGGCATTACTAACGACAATTTTACAGCGCTCCGATACACTGATGGCTAGGGCCAAGCAAGTACCTGATATAACCAAGCAGGGATACACGGTCAATGATGGCATGGGTTTACCAAGCAAGAAGCTCTACACGGTCACTACCAAGAACTACAATGGTAATCTCGATCTGATCCGAGTCCAGCCCGCTGATAAGCTGGTTGCCGTCGAGGACGCCAACAACTCGGCTGACAAGACTGAAAACCGAGCCAAGCTCCGCGACATCGTCATGTACGTGTACTCGAAGAAGGGAAACCTAAAGCCAGAGGAGATCCAAAAGGTCCGCTTCGATGTTGTCGTGGAGAAGGCCACCAACGCTGCTATTAAGGCTGCCTACGAGAAGCTGGGCAAGACCACCGGCGACTTCACCGTCAAGAGCAGCGACAGCGGCCATAATAAGGAAGTCTTCACTAGCCTCTCCGGTACCCCCTTCGGCAAGATCGCTAGCAGCTACCACACCGACTATAACGCAGGCCAGATCAAGGAGATCAAGATCGAAGGCAGCCCAACCCGCCCTAACATGGAGGTCCACCTGGGATAAATGGGCTATGTGTGATACGTTTTGATATTATGTATGATATACATATACATGGATTAGGTGTATGGATTACGCTCGGCACATCAGGGCTGGGGTTTTGGCATGGCAAGGTTTTCTTTGGGTTCCATTCTTTCCTATCAGTCAATAGCTTTTTTTAGCTTTGCTCTCGAGAAAGAGTAGCAATTTGTCACTCGTTAGATATTAGAATAAAACGAAGTCGTTTCTGGCTCTATAAATCAAGACGGTGTGGTGGTGTCTACATTAGCTCGTGGCGCATTTAATGCATTCATTTTAGTCAAGCAGCGTAAGCAATCCCCGCAGATCCTGACAGTTAAGCTTTCCGGAAAAGCGGCTGTAAACATGGAGACTCGTTTAATCTGACGTGAGAAACGGCTGTTTGCAATATTACATTTTATATATTAGCTTTGCGAGGCGAGATGCCGTTGTATGTACAGCCACGGGTAAGCTTTAGTCGTTCAAGTAACGATTTACATAAATTAATGGATCCGTCCTAAACCTTTTATTAATAGCTGAAGTGATGAAAAGCGTAGTTGAACGAGTCATGAGATAGCTTCAAGTGAAACTAGTCTCATAACTATGGAAAACAAGATAGTTAGCAAACTATCTTATTAATAGTATGTTCTTACGACTTATGACTTACGTATAAAATTTCCCTTTTTTCTTGGCGTAGATGTGAATAAGGTTATCGGTGAGGCTGCGTGCCAAGATAAATTTAGTGGGGCGTCTTGGCATAGATACCTGTACCTGTGTACCTGTCAGGTACGTACATACTGCGGTACCTGACCTACAAAGGAGCCGGGGTGGACCCTGACGTCAAACCAATTGAAAGCTTCCCGCACCAAAATTCCAAAACTGTGTTCACTTTTGAAGCTTCCAAAAGACTGGGTCGCTAATCGGAAATATCTAGAAAATCGGCATCGAAGCCATTACTTCTTCTAATTAAATTATTCTTAAAGAAGGAGATTCGCCTATTCGATGCCGTCATGACGCTCTCAGGTCAATTGACAGCTATACTGTCATTTCTTGCCGTACCGTTATTTGCCCCGTTGGCAGCTTGTCAAGTTGAGGGTGAAGGCATTCTCAATGCCGAAATTGGCCGCTTAAACAACCAGAGCCTCTTATGGGGTCCTTATCGTCCAAACTTGTATTTTGGAGTCCGCCCTAGGGTACCCAAGAGCTTGGCCACTGGTCTCTTATGGGCAAAGGTTGATAATTATGTCGAGGTCCAAAATAGTAAGCCATATATAACCTACGGCATACCTAAGTCAAAGCTGTGAGCGGGATTATTAATTTTAGCACTTAGGCTTCCGTTATACATGTGAGCAACATGAGGGAATGGCTGGTTATGGATGGGATGAGTATGATACCCGAAGAGGCGGTGTGCAGCATATTCGTGATGCCGGAAACAAAATTGACATAACTACCGAGTTCGTCAAGATCCCGAGTGGCGCTCATGGTGGAAGCTGGGCAGCCCGTATTAAAGGCGAGCCCCGAGATGATGCACCCTCAGACCTTCAGACCACGGTACTGTTTTACGTTGCCTCGGAGTCTCTCGGTGAGACCGTTGATATTGGCAGCGAGGGCGACGAGCACGGATTCGAAGGCGATGTGACTTTTGTTGGCAAGTCCGCGGTTTTAGGAGACTATAAGCTAGTCGTGACTAAGGGCACGGGCGATCATCCCAAAAGCGATCATGCCATATCTAGCAAAAGAGATCTTAGCAAGACGGTAGTGCAGTCATTAACTGTACCCGAAGAGCACTTATGGCAGGCTAAGCAACTCCTATTCCAGCAGCTCAAGGCGGGTGTAGACGAGATCATCCAGGAGTATGGGGCCGAGAACGCACCCCCACCCTGGCAAGTTTACCAACTCTCGAACAAGCCTAAGCCTGGAAACTTTCATCTTGTCCAAAAGGTATTTGAGGGGGCTTTCGAGTTTGATATTCTGTTCTCGAGCGGCTCTGCTGGTAAGGATATTACAAGCGAAGACCTAACTCGGGAGATCAAGTCAACGACTGAGTCTTTCAACGAGCGGTTTGTGGACGTCTTTGCGCCGCAAGCTCCGTTCAACGCCGACAAGTACCGCAAATTCGGGCGAAGTATGCTTTCCAATCTTGCTGGAGGCATAGGATACTTCTATGGACAACATGTGGTAGATCGGTCGTACGCTCCCGAGTATGATGAGGAAAACGAAGGGTTCTGGGAAGAGACCGCAGAAGCTCGCGCACGTAGGCAAGAGCAGCTCGAAGGCCCCTACGAACTATTCTCTAGTATCCCGTCTCGACCCTTTTTCCCTCGCGGGTTTCTATGGGATGAAGGCTTTCACCTCCTCCCCATTGCTGATTGGGATATTGATCTTACCCTTGAGATTGTCAAGAGCTGGTACAACTTGATGGACGAGGATGGTTGGATTGCCCGCGAACAAATCCTGGGCGAAGAAGCTCGAAGTAAGGTGCCTCCTGAGTTTCAAGTCCAATACCCGCACTACGCCAACCCCCCAACGCTATATCTGGTTCTCGAAGCTTTCACCGAGAGGCTGCAGAAGACCAATGGTAGTCAACATGTAGGCGAGAAAGAACATCTCACACCAGACACCGTCTTAGAAAGCGCACACGTCGATAACCCCTCACTGGGTATCGAGTATCTTCGCAGTCTATATCCTCTTCTGCGTCGCCAATTCCAGTGGTTCAAGAAGACCCAGTTCGGCGATATCAAATCGTACGACCGACAGGCCTATTCTACGAAGGAAGCCTACCGTTGGCGCGGACGCTCTATTCAACACGTCCTAACGAGCGGATTGGACGACTACCCCCGACCGCAACCTCCCCATCCTGGTGAGCTACACGTGGACTTGATGTCCTGGATGGGCATGACAGCCAGAGTGCTAGCGAAGATCGCGGACTTCGTCGGTCTCCCTGAAGACGTGCAAGAGTACAACAAGGTATTCGATGGTATATCGCACAACTTGGTTGATCTGCACTGGTCGGAATCCGCAGGCTGCTTCTGCGACGCCACGATCGACGAATTTGAGGAGCACACACTCGTCTGCCACAAGGGCTATATCTCCCTATTTCCGTTCTTACTAGGTCTGCTTCAGCCTGACGACCCCAAGCTCGGTAAACTCCTCGATCTCCTAGGTGACGAGGAGGAACTGTTCAGCCCTCACGGTATCAGGAGCTTAAGCAAGAAATCCGAGTTCTACGGCACGGATGAGAATTACTGGCGTAGCCCTGTATGGATTAACATCAATTACCTTGCCATTGTGCAACTCCGAGTAAGTTCAACTACTACCGAACCTTATCCTTCTCATCCCCTTCCCCCCCATCTCTATTATCCCATATCTACCAAACCTAGGTAGTCTATCCGATCCTTTATAGACGCTCACATAAACCTTAACACACCGCTAACCAACCAACCCATTCTAGAACTACGCCACCCAAGACGGCCCCTTCGCCGCCAAAGCCAAGACCCTATACGCTAAGTTGCGGAACAACATAGTCGAGACCGTCTACCAGAGCTGGGAGGACACGGGCTTCGCCTGGGAACAATATAATCCCGAAACCGGCAACGGTCAGCGCACGCAGCACTTCACGGGCTGGACTAGTCTCGTCGTCAAGATCATGGCTTTCGACGATCTGAGCTCCTGGTCGACGGGCGGGAGCGCGGCGGAAAGGGAGAGGGATGAGCTATAGGGCTTACTTTTTCCCCCCCGTGTGATGGAAAGGTTTTATGAAGATCACGGTGGTGCGTATGGGACGAATTTACGCCTAAGGAGGGGAGTAAGGGGAGGAAATGTCCCATATTTTGCCTACCTACCTAGATAGGATTCTAATGACAATTGAGATGAATGATATGATACGCCAATAATTTCTTAAAACAAACATAAGAATGAGCCTTGAAAATACAATATGACTTTATAATTTGTTTCTAGTTATATGTAGTAACCTAGTTAATTTCAATACACTATCCTATCCTATCCCATCCCATCTAAAAGCGAGCTCCATGATGAATGAGCCGCGATATTCCCCCGTCCCGAATTCTTTTTCCTCATCCCTATAATGCATCGTTGAGTCATTTAGCCCCGCAAATGGGGGCTCTCCCAGTTATACAATAAATAAATAAATAATAACAGATACCTTACTCGCACCTGTATGCGCCTAATATGATCGATACCGGTTAGGTAGGTAGGTAGGTAGGTACCTAGGGTAGTTATATACCTAATAAAACATTGGAACACATGTAACCCGCCCGTAGATTCGTCGGTCGTAATATGTAATGTAATATTCACGCTTCATCATCGAACACGCCCAACGGCCCCTTAAGTTTCGTAAACATCTCGTCGCGCTCGCCCTCGGCGGTGCTCAGAGCGGTAACCGCGCCACCAGCACCGATATGCCAGACCTCGTGCTCCTGCTGCTGCTGCTGGTTATTTCCTTCGACAGTCTCGTCGTCCCAGCGGAACAAGCTCCGGATCGTAACGCTCCAGTCGCCACGGCCCGCGGCGTCCATGTATCCCACGACGCCCGAGTATAAGCTCCGCTCGTGGCGACCTTCGATCTCGTGCAGGATCTCGCAGCTGCGCTTCTTGGGGGCGCCGGTCATGCTTCCGGGGGGCAAGCTCGCGGCCAGGACGTCTAGACCGGTTTTCTTTGGCATCCCGTCGTCGTCGTTCTCCGGTAGCAGGCCTTCCACGACGCTGATCATCTGGAACACGCTGGCGTATTCCTCGACGATGTTGAGCTTAGGGACGGCTACGCGGCCGGGTCCACATACGCCGTGTAGGTCATGTCGCACGAGGTCGACGATCATTAGGTTCTCGGCTTCTTCTTTGGGTACGTGTAAGATGGCTTCGGCCTGTGCGAGGGTCGAGACGGCGCTTGATTTACGCACTGTGCCTTTCATCGGACGCATTGAGCATAGACCATCAGCGCTGAACTCGAGGAACCGTTCTGGTGAGCTGCTGATTAGCGTCGCGCCACCAAGCCGGATATACGAACCAAAGGGGGCTGGCTGGCGGGAACGCAAAGAACGGTATAGCTGCCACGAAGTCTGAGCTGGTTTTCCAGGTTCGAGGGGCATAAGAGGGCAGGATTCTAGCGTTGGGGGTATTTTTGGTCGCGTGATATGCGTCTGATCTGTTAAGCACAACTCATACGAATCGCCCGAGGCAATGAAGTCTTGACATTTTTGGACCTTTGCCTCATATTCGTCGGCGTCCGGCACTTGTATTTGTGCTTTTGCAAATATAGAATCTGGTGTTGACGGTGGTGTAAGCTGGCTCAATTGTGTACGCTTGTTGAAATTCGCACGAAGTCCATCTGACCATACTAGCGAAGTTGAAAGCTTTTCGACGATAGAGTCTGCCCAGTCGTTTCCTTCAGACTCCATTGGCGATAAGTGCTGAACGCGTAAGGTCCCTTCCGTATGGTCTATCACAATACTTTTGGTAACCCAGGCGAAGCAGAGATCTGGTCTGTTGTGACTCCTCTCTTCGTGAGATTTAACATCAATACCCTCTAATCCAAGCTCGTAAGTAGTATAGCCCATGAACCCGCCAAGGAAAGGTGCTGAGCGATCATCGGGTGCCACTCTACGCTTAGTCCAGAACTCGGCTAATAGTTGCCATATCGTTTGCCCAGGGGCGAGATGAACTTTTTCGGACCGGAAAGGCTTTCGAGAACATGAGCAGCGGGCGATGACATGTCTATCCCCGGTTCTATATTCCAACTTCGATGCCTCATCAACATCTAAGGCGATGATACTATAACGCCCTCGCACATCAGCTCCGATTCTATTTGCCTTGGCGCTTGCAGAGTCAAGAATGATGAAATCCCTCCTATCGCCTTGTAGTATCTCAACAATGTCAGGAGCCTCGATATGGATTGGTAGTTTTATAATTCTCGATCCGTAGTGGTGATTTATCCCAAAGGATGCTAGCTCGCTATCGCCATTTGCTAATAAAGAGCGATTATTCAAGCCATGTCCATTTAAATCTAGATTGTCCTTAGCGTTATATGCACTAGATTTTGGTAGTCTAGTAATAGAACCGAGTGAAACAGTAGTGGAATCTGTGATGCGGCCGTTCGTGTAATTCCATCGTATAGCCTCACTAAACCAATTCTTGATTACTTGATGACCTGTTGGTTCCGTACATATGGACTCGGGATGATATTGTAAAGCCCAGAATGGTCTTGTTCTGTGCTTCATACCCATGAGGATTCGTTCTATATAATCACCTCGGTCTTCATATACCCAAGCCAAGGGAACAATGTCAGGCAAATGTACAGGAGATGTCCATTTGGATGCCGTCCAATTGTCTGCAGATATGGCATCTTGTCCGATATCCGCGTATAGACTATGGTATAGTGTAGCTTTAAAAGGTGGAAGACCATAGAAGATATTTCCCTCGTTTAAGCTAGGTTGTTCAGCATCATGATCGATTTCCCGAATCATGCCGTGAAGGCCGGTCTTAAGTTTCTTCACAATACCACCACAGCTGACAACTAAGCTTTGAAACCCCAAGCATATTCCGAGAACCGGGACTAGATGCGCCGGTTCGAGGTCCCAAATATATCTCATAAGCCCCACATCTTGAGGCAAATTGGGTGATCCGGGACCCGGACCACAGACGACAGCATCATAGCGACGCAGCAGAATAGTCAACTCGTGAGTAAAATTTGGGGCTTGCGGGTGGAGCTCAGGAGGATCAATAGGTAAGATGTCAACATGAGCTTGTAACGTCGTTGTCAGAAGAGAAACGATATTGTTACTAAAAGAATCATAAGCATCAATGAAGAGGATCTTAGGTTTGTTCATATTGATGTTTGGGAGAATATGTCAACCTTGGCACAGTTGTACATGATGGACGTTTTGTTCCACGATTACATGTATGTATGTATAGGTATATATAGGTATATATATAATAAGCGCAGGTGTGTCGAGTTATTTATCTCATTCGCCAAGAAAATAGGTAATACATAGTAATAAATAATAATAAGTAAGCCTGACTTAGAAGAATTTTCTTAAGGGATTAGACGTGAGGAAGGCGTATGTTTGCAGCTGACAACGGACACTAAACTCACTAACTCACTAACTCACTAACTTAGTGGACTAATATAAAAAAGGGGCGACACCTTTAGCTACGAATCTTGGACCGAAAGGAAGCGGCTTGAACCGAGCCTCCGGGATCACCATAACTTCTTTAATTTCTTATGTTTATATTTTTGGTTTTATATTAACTACTAGAACATCGTCCAAAAATATAGAAATCTTAATCACAGATAAGCAAGGTAATAAGTAGGTAGTTTTCTCAATTATAATTAACATTAAGATGTGATTCTTTTTCATCTCTATAATTACCTTTTAACTTCCTGTCTATACGGGGGACCAATCGCTATTCGATAGCCTATCAAATTGTTCTAGACGTGAACTCCTGTTGTGCAACTAAGTTGCTAAGCCGAAGACAAACTGAGCATATTGCATGAGTTACACCTGAAATAAACCTGGTTGTGAAGTATCTCACCGCTTGAAATATCTACAATTGTAATATGTCGCTTAGATTCCTAGCTTCTACGGATGCGAATTGGGCATAGAAAGCCGAACCAGCTCGATATCGCAGATCTCGGGGTAATACATAGATAGGATACACCAGTTTCGCATTGTGTGGAATGAGTGTAGCTATATCAGCAAATGCCGGTGAATTCTGCGCTAAGTATTCAATATATACCCAAGGAGGTAGCTTTCGTAATGCTTCTAATGCAACGACTCCTTTATTCGTTACCCCAATTTAATCCATAACGCGCGTCTGAAACTTTGTATTCCCGTAAGGCCTTGAGCGCACCCTCGGCATCGTTTGCCGTAACCAAGATATCGGCATTGCCTGCTTTAACGAACCCCTCGTCGACGGCCGTCTTAATCCATTGCGTTAAGCCGTTATAGAATCCGTTTGTGTTCAGTAAGCAAACACCTTTGTCGTGGATACCCAGTTGGTTCCATGTGGCTGTTTCGAGTAGCTCTTCCATCGTGCCGTAGCCGCCAGGGAGCGCAATAAAGCCACTTCCGGGTCCTCCTTCGATCACTTCTCTTGCCATCATCAGTTTCCTCGTATGCATGTCTTTTACAACCGTCGTTCGGCCGTAGATCTGCTCTTCCGGAACGTGATACCCGTTGGCATCCTTAGTCGACGAATACGTTGCATCTCGCTCCCATTTAACTAGCGCTTCGGGGATGATACCGTGGACGGCATCAGGTCCTGATATCGATACTATTGTCTTCGCTACTTCCCCCATCAACCCTACTGTGCCACCTCCATAAACTAGAGATAGGATATTAGCTATGCTTCAAATAATAAAACTCTTTATATATCCATATGGAAAAAGAGAAAGGTAAGAAAGAACATACCTAAAGAGATATTGTTCTCTGCCATAAGCCTACCCAGCTCTTGGGCTGCTTTAAGATACGCCGGTTTGTTCCCGGGCGACGAGCCGCAGTAGACGCAGATCTTGGCCGGCCGCGGGGTGGCGTTGGAATTCGGACCGGACGTCATGGTATTACGAACCTCAGAATGTCTGATAGAAGTGGGGGTCTATAGAGATGGGTGGGCGAGACTTAGGAATGTGTCGGCGTAAAAATGACCTAGACTATTTTTATAAAGGTAGGTAAAGAGATGTGCTTCCTAGAGCCGGCTACTAAGAGAAGAAGAAAACGGGAAAGTTGGGCATAAGGCGGAATAAGCTCAGACTACTAAGATAGATGGGAGGAAGCAAAGATTTTATGATAAGAGAAGCTAAGCTGGGCTGGGCAAAGGAGCTGGGTACGAAGAGGCGAGTGCTGTTTCGGGAGGAATGTAAGATATCGAGTCACCAACACAAATCAGACCTCGCAAACAACGATAGAAAAGTATAGAAGCGCAACAAGAAAGTGTGAAAGTGTTTGTGTGTGGCGGGAAGCGGCATCTGAATCAAAGTCAAGGTGGGACTTGGGCGTTGAAGCGATGAATCTCCGTTTTGGCTGCCATTTTTTCCTTCTTGCTAGGCCCAAGTCACTAAAGTTCATCTCACCAATGACGTAGCTTATTCGACAATAATGAATTTTGTTGTGGCATACTGCCAGCATTGGTTGAGCTGTAGGCTGTAGGCTGTAACAGCTTTTAGTTAAGGTACATATCTTGATTTGCCGAGGGGCCTATTATAAAATGGGCCGTTGTGTTGCTACAATATATGTATTATGTATGTATGTATGTATGGCATATGTGTATGTGTATAGCATATGTATGAGTAAGAGTGAAGAAAAAAAAATTGTCTTAGGCGCGTCTTGGACTGCATTGGGTATTGTAACACCTAAGAAAAACCCAAGCCTCGAGTCATTCTAACAAATCGCTTCGGGCAATGATAAAGGGGAAGATGAATTATAATTGGTCATTTCTTTGCCAGCTGACATAGAAATGGCTTACGAAAGCTATGAAGTAAGGCAAAGTCGCACTTGACAAGTCAGCCAGGTTGACATACATATTATATTAGGGACATTGGGTACATATTATAGTATAGTATCCAAGTACCTAACCTAATAGTGGTAAGTCGTGACAGACTTTTGAGGGGTCCTGCTAGGTACCTACCTAATTCCTGCGAGTTTCTCTAGGTACAGGCTTATGTCGTGCACCATCATCGGTTTGTGATTCGCCGATCTTACCGCTGTCGGAGGGAGTCCAGGCCAACCAGAGCCGGCTAGAACCTAATCGCCTAGGATTGCGATACCTCCAACTACATACGTCTTATCAGAAAAAAAAGCATGTAACCTACTCTATTCTTTTTTTTTCCTGGCGACGTTCTACAGAGGCATAACAACCTCTGCCTAATTCATCACGATCCCAACCAAGTGTCGATTAAGGTCGCATCTACCTTAAAATACTTCCTAAATAGTGCATATTCCTTAAGTCCGTATTACAGCCTGGGCATCACTACTAGGAGAAATGCCTGAGGCAAACGCCGCCCCTGCCGGGGACGCTCGCGAAGGGCAGGGCGTAAGTTGTTGCGTTACAATCTTTTTTTAATAGCGACTTTAATGCTGAAGCTAACATCATTATCTCTTTAGTCAATAGTCGGAAAAATCGTCCAGGGCTTAGCGATATGGTTTGGCATGCAATTGCTGATGAAGCAGTTGACGGGCGGCAACAAGACACAAACCGCCACCGTTCAAGACGCCTCCGGCAATACTGTACAGGTTCCCGCGAATACCGGCGATATACCTGCTTATCAACTTCGCCCGCAAACTCTCGACGAAGGCGCCGTCTGGAATCCCATTCCACAGCGGCTCGCGCCTATCTGGCCTGATGATAGCCCCGTCGATATTGTCGTTACGCTCTCCCCGTCCTTCATGCCCACCAAGATCTCTGATGTGCCAGAGGAGTATGTTGCCCTTAGCGAAAAGAGTTTTAAGCTGAGCAACTCGAGTGATACACGGGTTGCCGAAGGTAATTTCAATGTACCTTCGGCTGTTCAGAAGAATGGGACGCTCTGGGGACACTTCTATATTGGACTGACAGGAGCCAATCTTGACCCTAAGGAGCCAGGATTCGATCCCGCGAAAGCCTTCCATTTTGTGCACCCCTTGACACAATATATTCCAAAGAAGAAGGAAGCAAAGACCCGCAACTTGCTAGAAGGACGGTCTGAAGCGATGGTAGAGGAAGAGCCCGAAGAACAAATCACCGGCCCGATCATCGCAAGCTACTATCATCCTAATACTAGTCTATCGTTCATTACCGGCATGGGTGTCTTAACCTATCCACAACTGCAGCCAGCTGTAAGACAATTCGTGCATGTAGAGGTAAGGTCCTAGCTTGGCTGAATCTGCCACACTAATGCTAATATCCTACAGCCCTTGGGTGCTCGCGATGGCTCTGGGCAGAATTCTTGGTATTGTAGGTATCCCCCCTCATCTATGGTTTTATTTTCTTCTGCTTAGGTGGACATATAAAAGCTAACATCTGTTGTAGACCCCGTCTTATACGTTAATACGTTCTGGCAACTCAAGAGCCACATGATACTTCTTAATGAAACTGTTAAGACACTGCCTATACGGCTCGACCTCGGTAACCTAAAGGGCTTGTATTTCAACCTTATGGCCACGATGGATTTCAACACTAAGCAGCAGCAACTCCAAGCTGCGTATGGCGCGCCTATGCCAGGTGGAAGCGATGGAAGCGAGATTGACATGATCAAGGAGATGTTATTGGATACGAACCCTTATCTCATTGGCGTAACAGCAGTCGTGAGTATTGCGCACTTGTTACTTGAGATGCTTGCTTTCGGATCCGATATCGCCCATTACCGCAAGAAGAAGGACAACGTCGGTATTTCGGTTCGCTCGATCCTGGCCAACGTCTTTATGCAAGCGGTCATCTTCCTCTACCTAATCGACAATTCTCAGAATACCAGCTGGATGATTCTCGGCACTCAAGGTATTGGTATCTTTATCGAGTTCTGGAAGATTACTACCGTTGTGGATGTCAGAGTGCGGCCAGCTCCGCCAGGATCATTGATACCGTACCGAATCGCGTTTGAGGATAAATATAAGCTTAGCGAGACTGAGGAGAAGACGAAGGAGTATGATGAGATCGCATTCAAGTACATGTACGTTGCTGCGGTCCCTCTACTCATCGGCTATGCTATCTGGTCGCTGGTCTACGAATCACACAAATCGTGGTACTCGTATATCCTCACAACCCTGGTAGGGTCTGTATACGCATATGGTTTCTTGATGATGGTGCCTTCGCTTTACATCAACTACCGGCTTAAGAGCGTTGCTCACATGCCGGGCAAGGCAATGCTTTACAAATTCATAAACACGTTCATCGATGATCTATTCGCCTTTACCATCAAGATGCCGTTCTTGTATCGTCTAGCCACATTCCGAGATGATATCATCTTTTTCATCTACCTGTATCAGCGTTGGGCGTATAGGATTGATTACACCCGAGTCAACGAATTCGGCCAGGGTGGCGATGATGAAGAAACCGAGGAGACTAAGGTTAAGCCTAAGTCGTTACTAAATGCCGAAGCTGTCACGGAGAAAGTCGAGGGCACCGCGAAAACAAGCGGTGCGGATACCGGCGCAGCGAAGAAGAGGAAGTAGAGTAAGATGAACTTTAGAGGATGACATGTTCACATGTATCTTTGACATAAAGTTATGAATACTTAATGTTGGCATATAGAAATAGAGTACTACACCAGGCAGAATTGCCCGGAGGGAAATCCTCTTAATCGGTTATACTCGGTATGGTAGGTTAGACAACTTAGTACTATAGTCTCTACCTAATTATACTAAATGCCTGACATGCATCAAGTATGCGCTCATGCACCGGGTATGTACCTACATATATTGGACACCTTCTAGCGTGCGAAATATCATAAATTCGTACTGTCGTCAATCACATGCATAATAATATAATATCAGCCCTACGCCTAGTAAATCACTAGTAATTAACTTAAGGACCCAAGAAATTATACGCTAGACCAAATATATACTAATTAAAGACACGAAACAAAAGTATCATGTACATTTATGTAGGTCTCTCCATGTCTAGGCTATTAAGAGCTTCTGTTCCATGCTCGTTATACAAGTAGCAGAGTTCGGACGATAAGGCGTTTTTCTCTGTTCCTTTTATCTTCTTATAATTCAATATTCTGTTCTGCCCCCAACATACAAGAGCATTATTTAAACAATAGCTTGCGTCATTAACATAGGTACCTACCTTTAGATCACACTGCTCCTTACACATTCTGATAACACCTATCTTATCTCCCCGTCCCTTGCATCTCGATAGCCGGCAGCTAGTTTCCGGTCTAGATCCGTCTCCCCGAGCTTTAACTAAAACGATAGTTACGTAGGTGGAAGGTCTATCACCCTTTTTAAGTTTCGTCGGTTCGTTACATATCGCAAAAAAAGGAAAATAAAAAGGAGACCAAATATAATACAGCAAAGGTCCCTCGATTTGCTTTAAGAGACATCTACCTCCCTTTTTAAGTTTTCATCCTACCCACTCACCTTTCTAGAGGAAGACGGAGGAAGGGGACGAGGTGTGCCAGATTGGATCGCGTCACGTCGGGAAGCACAAGTATAGGCAACTAACCGATAATTCATACACTGCCCTCTCCGCCGTTTTGGGGCGAGAGAGTATAATTCCAGGTAGGACATGAGCCACGAGACCGTTGGCTCGCTCCTGGCCGTCATTGCGAACTCGCTTAACGATGGCCTGCGCATCATGATGTTCGCCGACAAGCGGGCCTGGGGGTCTGACGAGTTCGAGCAGCTACGTCTGCTAGAGGAGACGCTCGACGAGGCTAAGAAAGACTTCCAGGAGCTGCCTGCTCTTGTCAACGGGAGGTACTACTACGAGAACGACCGCATAGGTATGCCAAGTGTTCTACCCCCCCTTTTCTCATCCACTAAACCTTCCATTCGCACTGGTTCACATACATATCGTTACCTATATGCCATCTCCCTATTCCTTTAGAAGACTTACCTGCCTGCTCCCTGAAAGAGAAGTTGACCTAATAAGCCTAATTCTGCTTTGCGCCCTCAACAGACGAGTCCCTCGAAGACCTCCGTATCCTATGCACGCGCTTCGAGTTGCACACGCAGACCTTTAAAGACTGGGTGCGCCACGGCGGCTCCATAGACCCATCCTGGGCCCACGAGACAACCACCCTCCGACGAGAATTGCACCGCGCCCAGTGCCGTGCCGCCAGACGCATACATTCCGCGCAGCAGATCGAGACGTCGGCCGAGAGCGTAAGATGCCTCGGCGCCTTGCAGGTGTATCGCGTTCAAAAGGGGCGCGACGTGCGCGTCGAGGACGAGCGGGCCGCGTGCGCGCAGGCAGGCCGCTTCGAGAGGTACGCGGAGAGAGACGTAGCGTTCGTGTGCGATTTCTGCGACGGGTTTTTAGTCTGGGAGGACCTGCGCGCGGTCCCGACGACGCGGATAGCTCAGCCTCCCCCGCGCATCGACGATCTCCCCGCACCCGTTACGAGCAATACGACGAGAGTTGGCGAGACCACCACCAACAGCAACAACAACAACAACAACAATAATAATAATAATAATCCCAGCGCGGACGGTGACAACGACATCAACCCCGCCACTGCGAATTGGCAATCCCGAGGCATCGCGCTCTCCAACGGCGAGCAGAAGACGATAGTATTCGCGCCCGTCGCCGTGGCAAACCACGTGCCCCCGGAGATAGGCGAGTGGCGGTCGCGGATCCTGTGCCCGCACTGCGACGAGTACTACTACGAGGAGCAGGGCGACGACGACATGGAGCGCGTGCGGTACACGCAAGGTCGAGGGTTCGAAAGCGTTGCCGCTTTCCAGGAGCATCTGGAGTGGAGCCATGCGTCCATGGTGCCGAGCGCTTCGAACTGCGGAGTTATGTAAAGGGGGGGAAGGGGGGGGACGAAGTAAGGGAGGCTATTTGAATTCCTAGGTTGCGAGCTTAACTTAATTACGTTACGGCGTTCGGAGCCTGTGCATTTGAATCAATTGGGTCTTATTTATATATCGGTAAATATATATACCTAATCTATCGCAGGTCTAAAAGAGCAAAGGCGAGGCGAGGCGTTTAGGTGTCTATTAAAAAGGAAGAAGGGATCTGATCTGATATATCTGATTACGGCCCTGCTTATACAAGGTAGATATATAGCATCGAGGCCTATAGAGGGGGAGAGAGGGGGGAAAGGGGATGTAAGCTAAACATTCAACAAGTCGAGTAAAGGAAAGGAACTCAATAGAGTGAGTAGTCTAATTAGTTTGGATATTAGGACTATGTGCTCATAGGGAGCTATTCTCGAGATTCTCCCGATGCTGTAGTAACTAACCTACTATACAACATACTTGAGTTCCAATGATACAATTGAAGATTGAACTCATGCTTGTCCTCCTGTGCTTCTCCTCATGCTGCTTGTTGGTGATACATATCTGCGTAAGGACTTTGCGTAATTCCTCGTTCCTTGCTCCCGCCCCCTTCACTCCCATCCCATATCCCACTCCCTCTCCCACTCCCACTCCCTACTATCTCCTCAGTGCCCAACCTCAAAAGAACCGGAACCAAATAAACACCAACACAATCAACACAAACACACCAATGGGCGCATACTGCTTAATCAGCAAATCCCAATTAATCTTGACAGCAGCCTTCCTATACTTGCGACTATCGTCCCTCAGCCTAGAGCTCATCTCGCCCATGCGCTCCAGACTATCTCCCCGGTACAGCAGGTCCTCGATGTTCTTGGTCATGACCTTGGTCACGTCGCGCAGCTCGTCGTTTAGGCGGCCCAGGCCCTGGGTCGCGCGGGCGTCGGCGTACAGGGCCTTGGTGCGCGTGATGAAGGTGTCGAATTCCATAAAGGCGTAGGGCCGTAGGGACGGCGAGTGTAGCTGCGGCGCGGGGTAGGATTGCGCGAATTCGGTGGATAGGTCGGAGAGATAGGTGAATGCTAGTTTGCGCGGGTAGGACCGCTCGCTGATGCAGATGTAGACTATGTCGTTGGCGATGAGGTAGCTGGGAGGAAGATTAGCTGGGAGTTGGAAACTGAACTGAACTGGGGGTAAAGTTGGTTGGTTGGTTGGTTGGTTGGTTTGGATAGGAGGGGAGAGAGGAAGGGAGGGCGTACTGGATTGTGTAGTTGCCGCTTTCGATGCTGGCTTGGGGTTCGGCGTTGCGGTTTAGTCGGCGTAGTATGATTTTTGTTTGCGACTTGACTTCGGGGAGAGAGGATTCTGACTGTTTAGTAGTAAGACGGTTAGTATTGTATAATATAGGATATGAATACTCTATAGGCGACTAAAAGAAGTAGGACAATAACGTACTTGTTGTTCGTCATCGACAGATGCGCAGAGCATCAAACCTAGATAATTATTATTAGTCGGAGCTTTGAGATAGGGAGTATAACGTATAGCATATAGGTAGATAACACATACCGTCGCCCAAGCGGGCTATCTGGGTTGACCTGATCATTTTTCGGAACCTGTGGTCGCGTTGTGTAGTGTTGTTTGGCGTTATTCGGCGCTAAGGGGAAGAGTGGAAGAAATGTCGTAATAGGTATCTGGTGTATGTAGCGTACGTGTCTAAAAAGACAAGCTACAGATAGTTCAACAATTAACTAGGTAAATAAACCAATACGTTGTTGTCCCAACCTAAGGTTTTAAATAAATAAAATCAATAGCTACCTGCTTTGATATGACTCCTTTCACATATCAATTTGAGGGGTAGTCACTAAAGAAAGGGTACTATATTAGTTTGGTTTGGTGAAGTTATCTCCAATATCAAAGAGTGTTGATTAATTAACCAAGGTTGTCCAGTTGAAAGTCGGTAATGCAACGTCAGGGGATTGCAAGGATGAGGATTGGATAATTCGGCAGTGGAACCCAAACTACCTACCTAACCTAGGTAGGGAAAGATCTCTTATCGATTAATAGGTACCTAATGACAGAGCTAAAAAGCAATCCAGAAAAGGCTTAAAATAGCAGTTAGTCCACCTATCATTCGCGCCGACCAGCCGTTATTTCCCTTTTAAGCCATGCCGCATTTACTTACATCTCTCACTCATCGCAAATCGCAGCCGCAGTTGCAGTCGTAGTGGCCGAGGCTGCGACTGCCTCATAGTTACTATATATCAGGTGTACTTCGTACAATGACAAATAAATCTTTCAGACCAAAAAGAAACGTCCTTAATTTCACTCTTCTCCAATTGCTTTTGTTCTCTTTTGCCATAATTCCCCAGTGCCACATTTACTGATTTCTTACTGACTTCTTACTGACTTCTCAGTGCTGTTATGAATTACTAGATGCTTCCTTTGACTTACCTACCTACCTTATCTCTCTCTCTGTCTCTCTCGTCTCTAGTTTGCAACTCTTTTTGATTAAAGATTTCACCTCTTTATATTCGCCTAACACTGCCATCTTCACTTTTCCCTTATTTATTTATCCTAGACAAGCATTCAAACATGCCTCCTCGAAAGAGAACTAAAGGTGCGACCGAAGAAAAGGCCGAAGAGCCCACCAGAAGATCAACCAGGTCATCCAAGAGATCTGCTCCCATACATATTGACTCCTCATCGGATGAGCTCTCTTCCAAAGACTTGACTATTCGTGGGCATGACGCGACACTTTCAGACACCAAGGGCCCATCTGAAGAGGAAGTCGGTGATGTGATCACCGTTCGCGTTACCCGCTCCAAGTCTCATGCAAGCAGCCGCCCTTCAACTGCAAAGAGTGATTCCACCTCCCAATCACATAAGCTTAGAATTGTTTCGGCCCCATCTGAGGGAGGGGACGTGGACATATTGGATATCGACAATGATGGGAAGGGAGATGAATTTACTCGCGAGGGACCGGCTATGAAGAAGAGCAAGCCTAGTACCAATGGAAAACCTTCAAACAGTAAAAGGTTTAGATACAAGTATGATAACCCCGACGAGATGCTTACAAACCCCCTATCACCGCTAGCAACTGCCCAACTTCGAGTAAGTGGATACCCATTTCCTATCTTTGTTATGAATAGCTATATGATATAAGCTATTACTCACATACAACTACACATATCTTATATTCATGGTATTTTACTAAAGCGCTACGCAGGAACTACTTTGCAGCAAAGTGGCTTGGGACCTATTAAGCACAGAGGAGAAGCAGCAAGTACTTGCAAAGTTCCCAGACGAGAAGGAGATTCTCGATGCCGGCACAGAGAACGCAAGACCAAATATCTCAGCGCTTAGAAACAACAACAACTTCCGACATGATATAGTGCGGTACCAGGGTGACCTGAAAAAGGGATGGCACGACCCGGAGTGGATCCGACAGGCGCAAGCCGCACATAGCAAGCGCGAGATCGGCTTCTACAACGAGTATATTTCTGATCGCTTTCAGGAAGATTGGAACATGGAAATGCCGGGAGAGGAGGACAAGGAGGATGGACATCATATTGAGGAACGTCCAGATGTGAAAGTATCCGAGAAAGATGGCAATGCTCAAGAAGAAGTCAAAGAACGAGATGACGAAACACAGAAGAGCGTAGAAGACCCGGATCTGGACCCAATGAAGGGTGTGACAGATACCCCTCAAGCGAATGGGGAGGAGCACTTGGACAAGAAAGCATCGGAGCAGGTCAAAGTTTTGAAGGATGAGATAGATTATGTGAAAAAGGGTGGAGAGTCGCAGGAGCATCCTTCAGACATAACCATGAAGACGATGTAGGATGAATGATCACGGTAATTGTCCTGGCAAGAAGCCATATTGGACACTATGATAATGAAAGGTACCACGAAGCTCTAACGAAAATTAAATCATAATACTACACTACGTTTAGGAAATGAGAATCCCTAGTATTCTTTATTGCTAGTTTAGGTATATATAATACCCTCGATAGCCATTACTTTACGATATCTCAGATTTCTTCTTCTTTCTTCTTACACCGCTATATCAACTACCACCAGCATAGCACATGACCCACCATCATCTAATAATCATTCACAATCCACTCATTCTAAAGGCTTAAATAGCATCGAGATAATAGAAGGCGGATAAGTAAATATACCTAGGTACCTACGTAAGAAATATTCAAGACCCCAGGAGCTCTAAGAACGAAAAGGGTTCTTCTGTACTGTAACGGTAGAATAAATATGACTGGCCAAAAGCTAAGATGTTTTTTACTTACCATAGGTATATATATATATAAGCTAGCTAGCATAATATATTCCATAAAAAAGTCCAAGATAAATCAGTGAAAACACTCAGTTAACCTAATATAGAATTGGAAAGCATAGCTACCTAGATAGGGCTATCTTAGATACTCCTAGGTAATTAATTAAACACGAGCTATTTGTATATACTCCTAGAACATTACTCGCCTTGAATAGGTACCTGATAGGCAGGTATATACACAAGCCAAACCGAGTATTACACATACTCACACTTACACTCACACTCACACAACCTCCTATCTATCACTCACCGCCCACGCGTCCACGTAATCTAGGTAAATATCCAAAACGTGTAGTATTCGTCACACTCGGATACAAAGTAACCAGACGGGATAGCATACCTACGGGCTACGCGGCAGTTAAACTCCCCCACTTACTTACTACCTTACTACCTCCTAGGGACCAAACTATCTGTTTGATTATGTGTAGCCGTACCCGTACCCGTAATTGTCCTAGGATCTTATCTCACAGCCAATTACTTACTTCACTTCATTCGTCTAGTAGTTTAGTTTAGTTTAGGTAGTTATCTCTCTCTCTAAAACGTCTTCTGTTTTTATACATACATACATGACACCCCGTACATGTGTACCTCTCCAATCGCGGGACTACCCGCCCCATCACGTTATGTTACCGTCACGTCAACATATACTCTCCTATACTCCTCTCCCTTCTCCTCGCTTACCCTCCCCTCCCTTCTACCCACTTACTTACTTACTTACTCACCCTCCCCTCCCCTACCTTGCCCTACCCCCTATCCCTCACACTAACAAAACACGGACGTCGAGAATGCCACAAGCGCCTCTCCTTAGCGCCCAGGACCGCATCCATCAGGATCTCCGTCTCGGAGCGCAGCGGGCGACGGCCCGTCGTCTCCTTATCCCCGTCCCCATCCCCCGGTATCCAGAGCTGCGTCTCCTCGACCGAAGCCGAGATCTCGAATTCCCCGCGGCACAGCGCCGTCACGCCGAGCACGACTTCGGTGCTCGATTTAGCATCGACCAGCGGCAGGGTCTGCTGCAGCGTGCCGTTCCACGCGAACTTGCGCGTGAAGTCGAGGGCTACGTTTAGGGGCCGATGGCATAGCGAGGGCATGAGGCGTAGCGTGGGGTATACAGGCTCGCTCGTGCGGTTCGTGATGACGACTCTAACTTGCGCGAACTCGTCTGTGAAGATTATGTTTTTGCCCTCCCGCGGCGAGTCTTCTTCGTCTTCGTCATCTCCTGCATCTTCGATAAATATATCGATCCCAACCTCATCGATCTTAATCGCCTCGATCATACGCGGCGCGAGGCGGATACCGCGTAGCTCGATGGTGCCTTCTCTCGAGGGTCCAGACAAAGTCTTCCATGACCCGGATAATTTTTCCAGAACCTTCTCGCGGTACCAGAATGCCTCGCGGTTGCCGCGTTCTATCTCCGGCGTGATCTTGCTGCTGCTGACGACGAATTGCCGTTGGCGGGAGGGATTGAGAGCCGGGATTGATGCGTGGGGGTCCTCTATATATACCCTTGGAACGGGGAAGACGACGCGGTTAGTATTTCCCGGTAAGATATGCTCCTTTATCATGATGCCGCTCTCTGCCTCGAGGCAGACTTGCATATCACTTGGCCAGGCATTCCGGAGATCCAGTAATAGAAGACAGTACTCTTCATCGGAGAGCGAAGTCTCTATTTCCGCTGCCTCCGCACCCACGCGAGACCAAATAGGTTTAGGTACACCATTCGTAAGGGGTAGAACATCCATCCTCGCGAGTTCTATGCTCGCGTTGACAGTGATAGTTAAATCTAGACAGGCTTGGCGGGTGTGGAATTGCTCGGTAATCTCGGACTGGGGTACACCAAGGTATGCGTAGTCGACTTGAATAGTCCCATTGGTAAGGCCAGGCTTTCCAAGAATCTCAAAATCAAAAGTAGCCGTGCCTCCAGGTGCAATGTACCTCTTAGAGTCGTCCGTCTTACGCAACCGCAAAGCCTGTTTCCTTGCCAGGATGAGTTCGTACTCGTATAATTCCGCAGGTGTTGCATCTCTACTTGTTAATGCTGTTTGTAGGGGACCTTGTGTCGAGTCTTGGAAAGAAAAAAGCAGTAGATCTGCTGGCGTGGATTGAGATAAGTTTTCTAGCGTCACGGAAAAGACTCGCCGTTCTCCTTCTAAAATCATCACTGAATCCTGAAGGAGAGACGTAGATTTAATAGCAATAATAGGCTGGGCAGGAATAGCGCTTAGTCCGATGCTGTCCGGACTCAACGAAGGCCCAGAAAATGGTAACTTCTTAGCCTGCTCTAATGAAGCTAACCCGATCCCCTTAACCTTAGTTTCCGTATCTGGAGCCCATGGCTGAGGGAAGATGGGAAATCTTCTTTCGCGGCATCCGCGTACTTTCACGATAGCCCCCTTTATCTTCAACGGGCCTGCAGCTCTAGGGGTACCAGCGAGCTTCAGGATTTGCGTACGATATGGCCCTATTATCGTGCTTGTTGTAGATGACTCGAAATCAGCTCCCTCGGCATCCAATCTGATACTCTCAATATCGACGTCGATTTCATAGGGATTCTGAAGCGTAACCCTAAAAACTGCTGCTTCTCCAGCAACAAGTGTCCTCTCTACCGCTGCCTTATCCGAGTCTCTTATAAATGGGTTGTAGATGAAGGGATTTACGTCTTGCGAAGTGCGTGCTGTTGTCACACTTGGCAAAACATGCTTAGAATGTGGTATGGGCGTTCTATTTTGCGGTAAAGGATCCATTGTGATCCCCCGAACGAGGAATTCGTCCCAGTATTCTCCAGAGAGGTTTTCCAATCCTAACCTCTGAGATAGGCCAGACGTCTTTGAAATATTGTTTGCCAGCCTGATCTGCTCGTCTCTTGTAATTATCGGTGCTGCATCTTCTCGGCGTGGTCCTGGCGCGACTCCGCTTCCGGCAGTACGCAATAGATCGCTCGAGAACTTCAATACACCATTGAAGTCCGGTAAAGCCTCAGAGAAGTTAATGCAAGCTCGTAGAACGTTGAGCTTGATATTTTGAAATCCAAACTGCCTAATGGCGGATTGAGTCTGAATTCTTGAGATGACTTTTTCGTCTGTGTCAACGGCCTGATGCGATTCAGATGCTTCATGCGTGTCCTTGTCGAAACTGATAACCCCATAGATTTTAGATAGTAGTCCGAGAAAAGCGTCAATTCCATGTTCTATATCTCCCTCGCCCAACTCAAGGGATCCCGCACCATTTCCGTGACCGTTAACAGCATTGAGCGCTATTAGACCAGCTGCCGGATGAATACCGACTTCAGCGGCGCCTCGTGTTCTCGCTTCAACCAGTCCTCCTATTAATACCGACACCAATTCTCGCACAACCATGGCCTTTTTCCTATGGAAGCCCAGAAAGCCAAGGATAGTAGAAATTCCACTGAGGATGATTGCACGGTCTACGGTTGTAAGCAATTCCGGTGCAGACGATGGGAAAGCCTTAAATAATAAAGTTGCAATTTGAGCACGGGGAGGAGCGATAATCAGGCGAGGTGATGTAGTGAGAGTGTTTGTAGGTATGTTACCCAGAATGGCTTTCTCCAGCGCTTTCTTATCAAGCCTACCCTCGCACAAGTGAAGAGCTGTGAGCAGTGTGCAAAACCTGATGATAGATTCCGAAAGTGGGAATGGAGGAAGCTGTTCGCCAGATATCCTTGAATATAGTGCTATTATCCTGTCAAGCAGATCTGGAAGAATGGTCTGGAGGTGCCGTAGGTGTTTTGGTTGCTCAACATCGCCCTCTTCGAGTTCTGCTGGGCCTTTAGCTATGGCGCTGATTGACTTCTCGTTCGCAGGTAGACATACTGCAGGAACTTGAAACTCAACTCCGACCCAACCAAGTAAGAGTAGACATATCGTAATGAGTTCGAGCGCCTTGCCGTGCCATAAGTGGTCATTAATAGACTTTGCGATAGTTGCACCCTCGATTAGTTCCTTCAGTGCGTCCGTCCACCGACCAGCCTGAAGATATAAGGATCCCACCAAGATTATCACTCGTCCTCGGCTTTTATTCCTCCACCTCTCGTTCAAACTACCAGATCCAAAGCCCATTATTGAAACCTTATCTTGGTTTACTGTTCTTGTTCCTCCGGCAGAGCCTGGGCGAGATGTCTCAGGGATTGGTGCATCAGGATTGCCTTCGTTCACGGTAGTAATGTCTTCAAATGTAGTTGGCGGGTTAGACAACCCGCTGCGGACGGGAGTTGTAGGCCGTGCTGAAGGGGTCGAGCTGCTAGATCCAAAAGGGAGCGACTTGAAAGGCACTGGCATGGACATCCGGGCAAGGCTCCTATCCGCAGCACCGCTAGTTGATGCCGACCTTGTAACAGCGGACACGGCGTATTGCGAGTTCCTTCGCGCAGCTGGGTTCGCATCATCCGAAATCCAAGACGCTCCATTAAGTCCCGGTCTTATAGGAGCTTGACCGGGGGAGTCTATAGATGTTGTTCCTTCAAAGGACTTGGCGAGCGTTGTCATCTCCGCTAGCAACAAGGAAGATATATCGCACATGATAGTTTTAACCGTTGTTCTATTTGAATTTTCTACCGGTGGGATCGTTTTGATGCCTTCAGGAATAGGAACTGTACTTTCTGTTTGTGGTGCGTAATCAAATATGAGCACTTGATGTGTAAGAATCTTTGGATACGTGTCCCGCAACTCTTCAAGTTCTTGGTACAGAGTCCTAATATTCCTCTCTACGATAGTTGGCGCATGGCCATTGGCAGACTGTCTCTTGCTGAACGTGACATTTTCGAGTTCCCGGCCGTCAGCGATAGCAATGACCGCAAGCGGTTCACGAAAAAGCTCGAAAGGGGCCAGGGCGAGGTGGGACGGAGGGGGTATGTAGGTGATTAGATCGTAAAACATAGCACCGTCGGGGAAGGCGAGGGGAGAGAACATATCTAAAGAGAATGTTATTAGTCTTATGACCTCCAGCGTAGTTGGTCTGTTTAGAGCGTATTACTTACTCCGATTAGGCCGTCCATCGGCGCTGATGTCGCGGAGTTGGACAACATGCTCCTCGTTTAGTCTTTGGACAAAAGACGTAAACCTATCCCGCTTGATTTGACCGACAGGCAAGACTAATGCCCGTACCCTCGCCGGAGCGATGGGTAACAAGGAGTCCAGGCTCATCCTAACATCTGCCTTGACCTCACGCTACCATGACAGAACAACCGCATGCCTACCGAGCCGGGGGCCAAGTACTGACGAGTCGCGCGATTCGTTCGGCCCTTTGCGCAACTCGAGTGCGTCGCAAGCGTTGTTCGGTATTAGGGTCTTAGCATTTGTTCGATTTTGACATATATTTAACTCGTAGGAATAAAGACCGGCTATATGAGATGAAGTAATATGGTTTAAATATCCTTTTTTTTGAGCAGTGAAATCTGGAATGACGATGAAATGCCCAAGATCAAGCTCCTGAGCCTCGTGCGCCGTTGGAAATATTAGACCAATCAAAGCATAAAAGCTTAGACAGGGATTATCCAAAAAGAGAAGGATGTGTCCGGGGTATCTTAGGTACCTAAGTACCTGAGTACAAGATAATGCCAGGGCTAAAACTGCCTATATATGTACCTACCTAGGTAGGTAACTAGGTCTAATATAACCTTCAAAATCTATCTCTCAAAGTGCAACGTCGATATTGTCTTTCTTTTTAGGTACAATAAATTTTTACAGCTTTAATTTTTTCCAATTTAAATATTCGGTTAAACTAACATGATATGGCAGTCATCACTGGACCTGAGACTATTATACGAGATTTATACACATGGCTATAGCTGAAGAGAACTGTATAATGCCAACCGTCATTGCATGCTGTAATAATTGTGTTCCAAACCGCCCATATCTATCGTTATATTCATACATGGTGTCGACATCCACGATTTGCTAAGATGATGTGACGCTTGGCGAACCTCCCGACCCTTCAGCTTTTCCTTCAGGTTTTACCTTACCTTGCGTAGCTTCATTTTTTAGTTCCGAGTCGAAAATATCAACGGCGAGACTCGCTTCGACGAAGTCCTCCAGCTCTTCCGTCACCGTCTTTAATTTCTCCTTTACAGCCTCGGCTCCCTCAAATCCCACAATATGACGCGCCGGAGGATTCTCATGTCCACCGATAGCAGTGAGGGCGTATACCGTTTCACCCACGAGACGGTCCATTGAAGAAGGGGGTAGCTTCGGATATCTTTGAATGATTTCCGTCTCTGAGGGCTCGAGGGCCGTTTCCGAGTTTAGATTTAACACATTTGTGAGCATATCCCTGACGCTCGGTGCCGGGTTATTCTCGCTGTCATAAACAGGTAACGACGGAGAGAAAATAATCTTGTTAGTTAAAGATTGTATCTCCTTATGTGGCTGTACTATGGTTACTTTAATATTAAAGGGCGCAACCTCGTAAGCTAGTGAATCGCAGAATCCCTCTAGTGCCCACGTTGCTGCCGTATATATAGGCATTCCGGGCGTGCCTATATGTCCACCAAGACTAGTGAGGATCATAATATGACCAGTATGCTGGGCGCGAAACGTCGGGAGCGAGGCTTTGATGAAATTTACTTGGGAGAAGAAAATGGTTTCGAACTGATCGCGCACGAGATTTTGCGTTGCCGGCGAAGTAGATAGCTCTTCTACGGTTCCAACAATAGCTATTTTTAAATAATCATCTCGTAAGAACTCGGCTTTGCTCCGCGCAGGTATGTAGGTACGTATGCGCAGTTAGGTTGCGCGTGGAGAAGGGATTGCATACCTTCAGATGTACAACATAACAATATATCAATGCGGCCAAACACATGTTTGGCCTCCGCCACCGCCGCACTGCATTGGCCCATTACGCGGCCATCGCAGCGTATACTCCTAATGCGGTCCTTCCATCCTTCCCTATCTTTTCGATTGCTTTTACACTCATTGACAAGTTCGCGAAATTCGGCGCTACGATCATCGTGCTCGATTTCTTGCGGCGGCAAACAGGCGACGACATAGTCGCCATGGGTGAGTAATTGGCGTATCAATCGAACGGCCAGAGGGGTCAAGGATGAAGTTAAGAACCAGGTTCGCGGGGAATTATGCGTCGCTACAACACGATTCATTAGTCGGGTCTCCGGCAACGAAGCGGGCATTTGGCCAAGAGAACAGGGATTAGCATCTCAAAAGTATACGATGCAGAAAAATAGTTGCGAAGGAATTCAAAGAATAAAGTTGATTCATCGGTAGATTCGGTTCGCACGCAAAGTCGCGCAATGGACGAAAGGAAAGAGAGAAATGGGAAAGATGGGAAAGATGGGAAAGATAGAGCTTAGGTAAGGTAGACAAGGTTAGGTATGTAAAAAGTATGTAAAAGCATATAAAAGGGCAAGAGGCAAATCTTAGTTCGACGCACGGAAAGAAGCTGCAGGAACAGAGTGCGAATGTCGTGCTGGACCTGACCCTGACGACTCGGCATTCTTCCTTTCTGACATTTCCACCTTTTTTCCCTTTTTTCTTTTTTTCTATTCCTTGTTTATTTCGGTTGCTGTAAAGACAGATAAATCAACAGCACGGTACGGCTGAGTATACGGTATACCACCGATTCTACCAGCGATTCGGCATGCCACAACCACGATCGATCGTACTTGGAGAAAATCGCAATTGATAATCGATTCCTCTTTAACAGTTAATGAAGCCCTTTCCCTGCCAGCATCACAGGGATGAGGAATTGGTTGCTTTACGATTATGTCGAAAGGAGAGGTCGACTAATCGAATATTAAACCATGAAGACAGATCGAATAGTTAGCACCCAAAGCAGTTATATTACGTCGTCGTATTACACCATGTATATATTCATGTATATAGGTATTCACGAGTTCGGTGACTACCTCCCTACCTTTGTACTGAACAGTTTACCTCGCCTTTAACTCCCCTAATCGGGGTTTTTTGTGCCTCGCCCGGCAGTTGTTACATCCCGAAAGGCCTGGAGGAAACCCCAGGGACATCATTGACCCCACCGCATAAGCTACAGCCGCCTGGGTATAAGACCTATAGGAAGAAGCCTCGATCTAAGGTGAAGTTGATCGAGTACGAACAGCCCGGCATAGACAGGTTCCGTTTGTTACCAGACTTGAGGGACAGGTGTCAAGGAACCACGTTATGCCCTGTAATGACTGAGTAATAATTAAACAATAGGCATGATGCAACGCCAATGGGCTCTGTCGGGTGGTGTCCTGGGGTGTCCTGGAGTGTCCTTAGCATCCTTGGAAGTTGGGGTCTCCGGGATCTTCAGCACGGCCGAGGTTGTAGTGTCAGTTCAGTTTCGGCAGCCATCTCGGATATCACTGATGCAATGCAACAGCACCCCAATATAGTATCACGTCGTGTCTCTACCGTTTTTATTGTAGTACCCTCTTTTATTTAGTCGAATCTGGGGAAACCTTGGCCAACATCATCCCAGATGCCTGTTAGATTTTTCGTAGAGCGCTCCATTCACACACAACGGGTGTGTAGTATCAAGTCTGAAATCCCTTATAGTATGCAATTATCGCATGGTCGCTTATCTACATCGAATGAAGATTGTAATTTAATAATTTAAGATACCATAGCATCCAGCATGAATAACACTGTGGAGGGTACTAATAGGTGTTGAAGTTGGTGATTATTTTCGATATTGTTTTAATATTTAGTTCAAGTTCTAGACTATAATTAGGTTCTTGGTTAGACCCGCAATCGTCATTCTACCAGACTAAAGGTTAGTACCTACCTCCTAACCTATGATGATATTCGATATTGGGGAAGTACCTCTAAGCGCGATTTCTTTCCGTCTAGGCCGTTCCGACCTCGGGGAAAGGAGATTGGTCGCTTTAGCTTGTCACCTGTTTTCACTTGTAAACTCAATCACATTTCTTATCCAGTCAGACGATGGGATGACTCAGCTTTTACATGCTGTTCGAACTCAAACTGACTTTCTTCACGATAACTACATCTCCTTTATATTATAAGATTTTATAGTAAATATCATTTGCTATTTCAATAATTCCATCATAATGCCCTCCAGGGCAGATATCACATACTTCGGCGCCGGGCCGGCCTTACTGCCCACCTCTGTCCTTGAAAATGCCACGCAAGCTCTCCTAAATTATAACGACACAGGACTAGGAATTGCTGAACACTCACATCGTTCTCAATATGCTGCCGATATTATTAACCAAGCGAAGGCAGATCTAGCCAGCTACCTTGATATTCCCGAAGACTATGAGATCCTGTTCATGCAAGGTGGCGGTAGTGGCGAATTCTCTGCTACTGTCTACAACCTTGTTGGCGCCTGGGTAACAAAGAAAAAGGTCGAAATTTTGAAGCAGCTAGGTGCTCAGAGTGAGGAGGAGGCTAATCAAGAAGAGCTCGTATCAGCGCTCAAAAAAGCCATTGATGCTGAGCTAAAGCTAGACTACTTAGTAACGGGCGGGTGGTCGTTGAAAGCCTATCAAGAAGCCGGTCGTCTGCTGGGCCCAGAATATACCAATCTCGTTACTGATTCCCGGACTGTGAATCAGGGGAAGTTTGGTAAGATCCCGGATGAGAGCACATGGAAACTTTCCAAAAATGCTGCCATGGTATACTATTGTGACAACGAGACAGTGGATGGCGTTGAATTCCCTAAGTTCCCCGATACTTTAGGGCCCGATTCCAATGATGAAGGACCCATCGTCGTTGCGGATATGTCCTCAAACATCTTGTCGAGAAGAATTCTGGTTAAAAACTTTTCGGCCATCTTCTTCGGCGCGCAAAAGAACCTTGGCTCGACGGGAGTTACCGTAGTCATTATCAAAAAGAGCTTGCTTCCTCCAGCATGCCCACAACCTTCAGCAGCGTTGATGAGAAAGCTTGGTCTTCCAGTTCCCCCGATTATATTTTCTTACGAGACTATTGCCAAGAACAACAGTTTGTACAACACGCTCAGCATTTTTGAGTACGAATACCCATCAATTATTAATTGATTATAAGTAGCTAATGTTATAGTGCAGTGTTTACATTGCTGGCCAAGTACTCAAGAAGCTGCTCACAACGTTTCCAGATAAGGTTGACGGCCAACAAGCCGTTGCTGATCAGAAGGCGGAAATCATCTACAAGGCCCTCGAGGCACACCCGAATGTCTATAGGATTGTCCCAGATAAGTCGGTGCGCTCCAGGATGAATATTTGTTTCCGCACGACTATAGTGAGTAACTGGCAGTTTTTAAATTTTTCTATTACCACACCGTTAGATCTCGCTAACTTTAAGTATAGAATAATGATACAGATGGTGCTGAAGCAAAGTTCCTAAAGGATGCAACCACTCTTGGACTCACCGGTTTGAAGGGACATCGAAGCGTCGGAGGCATCCGTGCTAGCAACTACAATTCGATCCCACTCGCCGGGGCCCAGAAGCTGGCAGACTTTATAAACAACTTTGCTCAAACCCAGGGTTGAGAATCATGAGTATAAAGATGATGGCGCCAATGGGTACGGCTTTGGTAACCGGTAAAGCCGGCACGGAGAAGGACACCGAAGGAACATAGCAGATAGTAGGACTCACTCATTCCGACGTCAGCATTTGTCTAGATTACTGCGAATTTGAGGTGTCGGTTGCTTTCACGGCATGGCATGGTAAATAGGGCGACTAAAAGCATTCAACATGGGGCTGGGTTGTGACATCTGGTAAAAAAAATTCAACTAGAAATCCTACACAAGTAGGCTATACATACAATATGTACTTTCACCTAGGTGTCATCATATAATCAACCATATTTTTCACTTAGTATTTTGTGCGTATCTCCCATAAATTAGAACTATGCTTCCAACTCAGCTTTCAACCACCCCGGAATCTGCGGCGGCTTCTCCCACCCGTCCAAGTACGACTCCTTCGCAACACCTTCACCAGAGGGCTTAGCGTAGATAGCTGAGATATACCAGACCGTCTCGCCCTTCTTAATAGTATGCTGCAAGGTCGGAATGACCGTCCTGCTCTCGACCAAATTGGAATTCGGGTCGGCATTGACCAAGTTAGCTGCACGCTCAACGCCGGTCTCCAACGCTTTAATACCAACGGCCCCCTTGGACGCCGCAAACGCGCCCTCCTTGCCCGTGGACCAGCCATCCGGCGTGTAGAGATCGTAGTTCCCGATGATCTTGGGGGACGTGCCCTCGCCCTTCTGCGCATCGTACAGGTCCAAGTACCGCCCGTCGGCCGCGCGCTGGTTGCTAATCGCGAACGAGCCGTCGGCCGTCATGACCTCGCGGCCGGCTTCGATGCGGTGCACGCGCAGATGCCAGTTCGGGGTAGCCAGGTCGGGAGGGATAAGCATGGTCCGCACGGTTACGTCGGGGTACGGGGTCCAGATGGAGACTAGCACCGGGGTGGTGTTGTTGTTGTTGTTGTTGCTGCGGTGCTCGAGACCCGCGTACGTGGATGTGCGCCGCGTCTTCCAGTACTCGCCGCCGTCGTCGGAGAACCCGAGCTGCGAGGCTAGTGCGTATTGCTCGAGCGTGAAGAGGCCCGGCGGCACTGAGTATGCGTACGCGCTGCTGTAGGCGAAGGAGCCGTATTTGGCGTGGGTGCCTTTCATGGGGTAGCTGCAGGCTTGGCCGGAGGAGAGGAGCATGCAGTGTCCGCCGAGGTAGCTGGATGTAGATGGGTAGTTAGAGGAAGGTTTGCGGGGAGGGGGATGGTGATGATGCTTACCTCGTAATGTGACCTGGTTGTGGGAGCTCCTTTATCTTGGGGATGGCGTCCCCGGGGAGCTGTTCTTCTGATGTCCAGAATGGATGGTCGGCGGGCACGGCCAGGCAGATGAATGCTAGACAAGCCCAGTACTTTGATGTCTGTTAGCTTATGCATATTGCGAAGAGCCATATGAGCGACTTACCGGGCTGCCGGGGCTGTTATAGTTCTCTGCCATCTGTTTGTTGTGAGCAATTACGGAAGCGCAAACCGAAAAGGGGTGGAATATGCTACTTACATACATATTCGGGTAAGAGTACCCAATAGTCAACGTTCCGCTCGGACTCCAAATATCAGGTTGCGTCTGCCACCATCGTAGGTGTCGTAGGACAACACCTTTGACCATACCCCATGTAAGTGGCTCGGGCAACTCGACTCCAGCATAGGCTAGAGCACCCCAGAAGGACACCATCGCAAACCGATAGCCTACACTGCGACCAAAGGGGATGGATCGACCTGAATGAAAATATTAGACTCTATAGGAACTACGAATGCTTTAGATATGCTCTCACCTTCGTTGTCATAGTAGTGGATCAAGTCTAGAGCGACCTGCTGAGCACGCCTCTTAAATTCCTCAGCCCTAGCCGGCTCGTCTTCCCCAGCTAGTTTTGCATAGAGAAGTTGCAGGAACTGGATGGCGAAGCTGGAAGAGTAGTAGTCCATTTCTATAGAAAGCACTATATAAGTCTCAGTCGTAATTATAAGGAGCATTGAAACTTACGATGGATACCCTCCGGTCCGTCATTAGACCAGCCACCACCCCGGTAGAAGGTGTTCAGATGTTCGATATCGCGGTCTAGTCTTTCTTGCGAGAACTTGCCTCCGTTCTTTTTCAGCCCAAGGTTCGCGAAGACACGGAACCAGAGCCAATTGGTGTTGGGCATACTGGAATATCATTAGCGGGAATTACTTTAGTAGAGCCTATAGTTATATTTCCTTACTTCTTCTCGTTTATTGAGTTTCCTAGCCAGTTCTCGACATTTTCCCGTTCTTTCTCGTTGAACGATTGCCAAATAACCGGAGCGACGGCCAAAGCATAGCCTACCTATGTATTAGCTAATGCCTCAAGATTTAAGATAGGCATTAATACCAAGAGGGCACATCTCCACCATCCTTTGGTCGTTGTCTCGAGGATATCCCCAATATTCAGGGTTCTCAGGGTCGGTACCAGACTTGATCCCCTGAATCCACCATTCCGCGCCGTGATACTCGCCACCTCCGGCTAGCAGACATGCCAAACCCCAGAGTGGTCTACATATACCTTCTACCTCAGAAGCAGTCTGGTCGAACCTGACGGCAGTAGCACCAGGACATTTCACTCTAGCTTTCAACGGCGAGAAGAAGGGCTCGAGGGGATCCAGCAGAGTCCTCAGGAGCTCCTGGACGGAAGCACGATCGGAGATTTTCACCTTGGAAAAGGGGTGGATGCCGTCGTAGCCAAGGACGAGGCCGGTCTTGGGCTCCATCGTAAATTCAAAAACGATTGATTGATTGATAGCGCAACTACCTACTGCTAGTCTCGAGAAGATAACGACAAATCTTACAAAAGAAGAAACTAAAAAGAAAAGAAGACTCAATTAACCTGCCATTCTTCCAGCATTACTTGTGTTAACTACCTAACCCAGTAACCTAGTAACCTACCTACGTGGGGTTTAGCATCGACAGTCGACATACGTACAATATCGCGGGTATGAGGGGTCCCTTGGGGGGGGGGTTTGTGGGGTGATGGGTGATAGTAGATCTGGCGGCTAATATCACGGATTGAACTTGTCTCTAAATCTCCACCAATTGACGCAGCGCTGGAGCTAGCCGATCGTGTAGGCTCTATACGGATGGGTAGGGTGGCATCGTGGGCCCGAAGATTCTACCGGTTCGGTCCGGATTAAAGCGATGGGCTAGCTTTCTGCAATTGAACCTCGCCCTTGAGGTTTCTCATAAGTGATTAACTACCTCCTAGATGGGACTTATCGCCGATGTTTTAACGATGTGGTATTTTCATTTATCGTGTGTGCCTCAGTTAGAAAATCAGTGTATTGAGAGACTATATTCAGAGCTCAATGATCGTGTTCGCGTTCGCCCATTTATCAACAACCCTCATCAGACCAATACTCATCAACATTCCTAATTTCCTTAAATAAGTACCTAAGATGCTCTTTTAAAGTGTATTCTTAAAAAAGTCCTCATGAATTCGCTTAAGCTACCAGAAACGGAGTAGATATACATATGTATCTTATCTATAACGAACAACGATCAAATAGCTAAAAAAGGTATCCCGTTCCATCAAAAGCTTAGTTTAATATTTAGAGGGCTGAAGAGGTGCTAAAATGCGGAGTTCGTTGGGGGAACGTGCGGGATGCGGGGGATGAAACGGCCCTTGGAATGTAAGAGTGTCTGTTGAGGGTCTTTTATATCATGATTTCATATCATGATACAAAGTGTAATTTTATTTTATTTTTAAAACGTATCATATATATATAACACTCTCTTAAAGAAGAAGTAAAGTCCCAGTTTAAGAAAGAAAGTAAGATAGGTAGTTCCTTATGTAGGTCTATTCGGCCTATCAGGTCTATACGTATAAGCTGTAAAGCTGTCGGGTTGCCCCATCAATAATAAGCACAGTGCCGCGGGTATGTCAAAGCGGAATTAGAAGGATCGGACTCATCGGAGTTTTCTTCTTCTTGGACGTGAGCTCTCAGCTCTCAGCTCTAGACAATTAACAATTCCCAAGCCTGACCAACTAACTTCCTGACTGTCGTGAGAAGATTAAGCCACCCTAAGCATGGCGTCTGTCCCAAGAAAGCTCTGGGAGCACCCCAATCCCGAAAAGACACAGATGCACGAGTTGATGCAGCGGCTGAATAAGAAGCATGCCATTGGCCTTAAAGTGAGGATTTAATTAATAAACAAATGCAAGCCATACGCCTCATCCGCTAACATGTCCTAGACATTCCAAGATTTATACCGGTATTCCGTTACTAAGCGCTCCGACTTCTACACCGAAGTCTTCGAGTATACTAATTTAATCTACACGGGTTCCTACATAAGAGCAGTGGATGAGAGCAAGCCAATCGACGCCATCCCGCGCTGGTTCGAGGGGGTTCACGTCAATTGGGCCGAAAATCTCCTGTGGTCTCGCGGACCTCGGGATCCTACCGATTACCATGGTAAAGTAGGAAAGGAAGATACCAAGATCGCCTTAACCGAAGTTCGAGAGGGCGTGAGCGAGATCAGACATGTCACGTGGGTAACGCTCCGGAAACTCGTAGCTCTTTATGCCTCCGCCTTACACGCCGGTGGGGTTGGACGAGGGGATCGAATTGTTGTCGTTGGGTCTAATAGCGTCGAGACTCTGGTGCTATTTGCTGCTACATCATGGTTAGGTGCTATATTTAGCAGTAGCTCAACTGATATGGGCGTTCAGGGCATCTTGCAGAGAACGGTTCAAGTCAACCCTAAGGTAAGAAGTATTCTTTTCTTTCTAGTTATTAATTATCTTACTCATTAAGATTAGTATATCTTCATGGACGATGCAGCTCTTTACAACGGGAAGCGAGTAGATTTACGGCAGAAGATGACCGAAGTTGTTGCGGGGATGAAAGGCTGTGATCAATTTTTAGGCTTGGTCTCAATTCGTCGTTTCTACGACGCCTTAGATATAAGCAATATCCCCGGGGTGCAAACGCTACATTCGTTCCTTGCAAAGGGCGACTCATATTCTCCTCCGCCGATTGTTCGGATTGCTTTCCACGAACCTTTCCTCATCTGCTACTCCTCGGGCACCACAGGCATACCAAAAGCTATTGTCCACTCCGTTGGGGGTGCTCTCCTGAACTATGTCAAAGAAACTCGCCTTCACGAGGATACCAACTCGAACACCGTCACCCTGCAATACACGACTACAGGCTGGATTATGTACCTCGTGTGCGTTGGCCAGCTTTTGGTCGGCGCACGCGTCGTCTTGTACGATGGATCCCCTTTCCAGCCCGATCTCCAAACTTTTATCAAGTTGATTGGTGACCAGAAAGTAACAAAGTTGGGCACCAGCCCACGGTGGTTCTATGAAGTTGCTAGGGCGGGAATCTCACCCAGGCAAATTACCGACTTGTCAAATCTCCAAATAGTAACAAGTACTGGTATGGTACTCCCAGACCAATTGTTCGAGTGGTTCTACGACAAAGGTTTTCCAAGTCATGTCCACTTAAACAATATATCTGGCGGAACTGATATTGTAAGACTAACACCCATAGGACGTAGCTAACTGCTAACTTCAACCTAGGCTGGCTGTTTTGGAACTGGAAATCCACTTACTCCTGTCTACGTAGGTGGGACGCAAGGTGTTTCTCTCGGGATCAAAGTAGTTTTATACGATTCGTTACTTCCTCCTGGACCCGGAAAAGAAGTACCAGACGGGACACCTGGCGAGCTTGTGGCCACCGCCTCGTTCCCGAACGTGCCAATATATCTATGGGGTGACAAGACGCCGACTGGTGTGCCTGGCCCGAAGTTCCACTCGGCCTATTTTGCAAGATTTGAGCACGTGTGGGCACACGGTGATTTTTGTGTTTTTCATCCTATTACCAAGAACCTCACATTTCTCGGAAGAGCCGACGGTGTTTTGAACCCTAGCGGAGTGCGGTTTGGTTCTGCAGAAGTCTACTCAGTCCTCGAGAGGAATTTCGCGGATAAGGTGACTGACTCGATATGCGTCGGGCAGAGGCGGCCTCAGGACAACGACGAGAGTGTAATGCTATTCTTGCTGATGCGGCCAGGCTATAAATTCGACAGGAAGCTCGTAAACGAAGTTAAAGAGGCCATAAAAAGGGAATTGACTAAGAGGCATGTACCTAAATACGTGTTCGAGACCCCTGAAATACCTGTAAGTGGGAAATTTGCCTCGAATAAGCGCCCCTATGCTGATTTAGAAATAGACGACGGTTAATCTGAAGAAAGTCGAGTTGCCGGTGAAACAAATTGTCTCGGGTCAAACCATCAAACCAAGCGGCACGCTGCTCAACCCGAAGAGCTTGGATTATTATTACCAATTTGCTAAGGTTGAAGACCTTGTTGCACCTAAGGAGAAGCTTTAAAGTGAGGCGAACGGATTTTTGCATATGACTTGCAATATAAGCATTATATTGCGGCTATCTTTGAGTTTGATTTGTGAAAGTAGATTAAAGGCAGTTTCGATTTCTAAGCAAACAGGTACGATCTGTTCCGTTGCCCGACGAAGTTGGTTTGGTATAAAGAGGTTGGTATCCGCGTGGTTCAACCGGGACTATATATTCTCGTTTTCTTTTTGTCGTTCGACAAAAAAAGGTAGAATAAAAGAATGAACAGCTGTACTGTAACGATGGGTCTTATGACTGCCGTTATAATAATAACAAATTTCTCCGATGGGTTTAGTAAATCTCAAATTTGTAATGAGAGCGGACTCGTCGGCCGACTCGGATACTAGGATTTGCCATCCGAATACCTGCATGTATTTGTGAGGGTAGCATAATAAGGCTCCGTTTGAAATTGAGTTAATTCATGAGACAAGGAGAAAAAAGATAGAAAAAGGAAAGATGTTACTCGAGCGTGTCATTAAGCTTTAGCCGCAACGATTCTGTTATTAAAGTTCCCTATAAGTTAGACAGGTAGGTTGGCAGAATGTTCTCTAAGTAAGTATTTTGCATATGAGGTAGTACATAGTGGCCTTATCATGTCCATAAATCCATAAATCCATAAATAGTCAGATTTAAAGGATGGATCGATTAAGCAGTTCCATTTAGAGTAGAAGTACGTACCGTAAGGTGTGAGTCGGCCGTTTCTACTTTCTGCAATTTACATTCTGCACTAACTGCCCACCTATGCATCTTTCCAGCCCAATTAAACGCCTTTTACGCCTAAAATGTAGCCTCCGTCCAATTATAAAGTACGTGATAATATTAGTGACCTTATAATAATAATAATATAGATAAATAAAGAAATAGGTAAGTATGGGGTAGTATATGGAGATAATGTATAAAAGTATGGAGGTAGGTTAGGTTAAGTTAAGTACATGTAGTTAGACCGAAAACGTGTAGCCATAGCCGTTGACATTTAGAATTGTATGTGGGGAGTATTTGAGAGCGGGATGCTTCAGTTACCTATCGTTATCTTTTAAGTTACCCCTCGCCATTCGACAAGAGATATGGTAATTGTTATTGCATTTCTGTCACACAGAAACCGACTGGACTCTCTTATGATACCCCAGTTTATTATTAAAATAGCAATGTTCTTTCCCAAGAATCAAGGGTCTTAGGTCCTTTCCCCTTGATTCTTTTTCTATTTATTACCTGCATAGGAGGTACATATGTACCTAGGCACATTACATACGAAGGAATGGTGGCTAGCGTTGTACTACGGATAGCAGGAACTCAAACAATAGGTGCCACTCTAGCGATTATGAAAACCAATTAGATTTTATTTATGCAATGCGGATGTAGCGTTCTTACCGTAGCTGCATGCGCAATATCTTATCAGCTAGGTACAACACAATACATGTACATGCTGCAATGGGGATCCATCTGTTAAGTTTATTAGTGTACGTGTACGTACTCTACATGTAGCTGACAAGGTGATTTAGGTGCCTTTTAGGTGTCTCTTAGCTTTAATGGGCTGCGAATAGTTTGAATGGTGAATACATCCTAAGTAAATGGTACCAATAATGGTAACAGCACGGGTGTTTCTCTAAGTCGGCCGACACACATGCATCCACCTGCGTTACGCCCGTCCGCCTTCCATTCCACATTCGTTCATCTACCCTATGGATTGCCACATACATTTATCTTACTAAGTAAAAGTACCTACCTAACCTACCTACTTTACTTTACTTTACTTACGTTCCATTACATATCTAACAACCACCAGTCTTGATACCCGTGGTTAACTCCTCCCAGAAACGAACTTCTCTTCCAAATCAGTTCCGTCAAGCTTCTTATTGTTTACCTCGTCTTTCGTTGCGCACAATCTACGGTTGTAGACCCGTTTTGTTGCTGCCTCGATGGTAACAACTTGGTCACACGTCATATACTTTCTTCAAAGCAGACGCAATCAATTAGTCATTTGACAACGGAAATTTGGGTTTACCGATACTATCTGACTGTAGTATGTGAAGAGAAGTCGGTCTTTTAGTTAGGTACCTAACCTAACAATTTAACTAGCAACTTAAACCAGCTTAACCTAGGAGCTTAGGTTGAATGTTAAGTTCACGGTCTACCTGACATGAGGTCAGCCACTTCAAAGCCATTCCATGTTGAATCCTGTCATCCAAGCTCAATAAAAACGTCGCCTCCCATTTCGTACTACTTTCTTTCTCGTGTTAACTCGTGTTAACCACCGAAAACAATCCGCCCCACGCCTACGACGACATTTACCTAGCCGAGGTATAACAATAGCCCTTATAACCCGAAACCTCTCAGCTCACACCCGCGGATAAACCGTGCTTCTCTTTCGTTCTAAACTGCGGGTGTTTCTAGCCCGCAGTATCGAGCAGCGAGTCGAAGTGGCAGACCAAAACCCCCAGCAACTTCCACCATCCACCCCATCCGCCTCCGACCATCCATCCACGCCGCAACCCCCTCGACCTCCTTCCAACACAGTCTTCTCAGCCCCCGCAGCGACTATACCTTCTGCGAACTTAGCAAACCACGACCCGTCGCCTACCTCAGATATCGTACCCGGTGTTGAGGAACGCCAATTTATCCATTATTCTGTGCCGCGCCAGATTTTAGGGAGAAGACAACGATCTCCAGACGACGATAACGACGTCGCCGGCTTGCAGTCAGAGCTCCCGGAAGCTCTTGCTTCCCATATTATCCCCAACGAGAGTCCTAGGAGGAAACGTAGGCGTGCCAATAGTACCATGTTAACGGATACGGACAGACCGGCAGCTTCTAATGGCACTTCTAGGCCTTATGCCAATGGGAAGTCGCTTCGGGGGTCATCAAGTTCTACAAATGGGACCAGTAAGGTAGCCTCGGCAGTTAATGGATCATCTAAAGTGCGACCGTCGGAGACATATTTCGGCCATGATCGCGAAGAAGTCACAAGATTATTATTACAAGCACTCACAGATATGGGTTACCATTCTGCAGCACAGAGTGTGAGCCAGGAGAGCGGCTTTGAGCTGGAAAACCCGATGGTTGCTGCATTTAGGAATGCCGTGCTCGGGGGGAGCTGGAATGAAGCAGAGCAGCTACTTTCTGGAGCAATAGTATCCGGCGGCCGGACTGGTGAGAATGGTAATGGGTTGGTGTTGGCGAATGGCGCCGATAGACGGATGATGAGATTCTGGATACGACAGCAAAAATTCTTGGAACTCTTAGAGAACAGAGAAACTGGCCGCGCCCTAATGGTACTCAGAAACGAACTCACACCGTTATATCAAGATACCCAGAAACTTCATTTCTTATCTAGTCTACTCATGTGTCAGAAAACGGAAGACTTGAAGTTTAAAGCTGAGTGGGATGGCGCATATGGAGAATCTCGACGTGTTCTCCTATCCCAATTATCAAGTAAGTCTAGGCATTCTCTAGATGTTCGCCCCTATCACAAGTTTCGCTAATACCCATTATTAGGATGCATCTCGCCGTCGGTCATGCTTCCTGAGCATCGCCTAGCCATACTTTTAAACCAAGTTAAGTCAAATCAAATCGGAAGTTGTCTCTGGCATTCCAGCGCCGCTTCACCGTCGTTATACTCAGATCACGTGTGTGATCGAAGACGATTCCCAGCGGAAAACGTTTTAGAATTAGACGAGCATGAGGATCAGGTCTGGCAGATCAAATTTTCACATGATGGAACAAAATTAGCCAGTTGTGGTAAGGGCAAGGTGGTTATTATTTGGGATGTTCCTTCCTTCCGACCACTTCATTACCTCAGGGATCACGATGACGGGGTCGGTAATGTCTCCTGGAGTTGGGATGATTCTATGCTGGTTACATGCAGCCAGGATCGCCATGCGAGATTATGGGATGTTAATGTAAGTTTATATAGCTTTCCATGTTTTGCGAACCTAACTGACAAATGCAGACTGGTACTTGTCTCAAAACGTTTGAACGATTTCAAGAGCCGGTCACTAGCTGCGTATGGGCAACAGATAGCAAAACCTTCATTACGGGTGCTCTTGATAAAACTCACGGTCTTATTCAATGGAGCATTTCCGGAGATAAGGTGTACGACTGGAACTGTCTTCACAGAGTTGAGGACTTAGCTATCTCGCCAGATGGTCACTGGCTCGTGGCATCAGATGGTGGAACTCATATTCACGTTTACAATTTCATTACGCATCGATTAGAATACGAGATGGATTTACAGGCCAGATTGACTTCGATCAGCATCAGCAATAACTCTCGACATCTCCTAGTGAACCACAATAATGGTGTTGCGGTTCTTATTGATCTTATTCTCCGCGAGCCGGTTCAAAAGTATGCCGGCTTTACCGGTGGGAAATTTATGATCAGGAGTGTATTTGGAGGAGCTGATGAAAGCTTCGTAATTAGTGGGAGCGAAGGTAAGCTTCTCTAAGGAGCAACATTGAGTTGGCAGCTAACTGTAGCAATAGACGGATCGATTAACGTCTGGCATAAGGCTAGTGCCCAGCTAGTCGAGAAGCTTCCTGGACACACTCCTGGATGCAATTCGGTCTCGTGGAACCCAGCTAATCCATGCTTGTTTGCGTCGTGTGGGGACGACGGCAAAATCAAGATGTATGTGACCCCTCGATGCCAAAGTTTTATGCCGAAATAGGATGCTAATTGATCATAGATGGTCTAACAACGAGTGGCGCCATGCTCATCGCGAGGTAAATCGAGCCTCGATCAGTTCTTAGTAACAGTAGTTAGGTTATATTCTAGCCTTTTGATTTTATAGTACAGTGCTTGCATGGGCCCGGCGTAAATTGGATGGTGGCATGGTCTTCTCCCCGATCTCTGGAGACTCGACATAAATTTGGACGACACCTTGCGAGAGACGTCTCTTCGATGGCGTTTTTAATTATGTGGCGTATCAACACATAACAGTTTCCATTTAAATGGTCTGTTCGGGAGGGAAAGGTCTTGCTATGTCTTTTTTTTACCATTCATGCGATAGACTTGAGAGCCGGGAATGGCATCCTCACATTGGCATTGTATATCCAAGGGCCAAGGGGCCATGTAAAGGTATCCCTTCTCATACCAAACGTGGCGAGAATTGCGGCTTATTTCTAAGGGATAATCGCACCTAGCACTGACGACACTCTTAGCAATACAATACAAATAAACCGTTTAGAAAGATTACTAGATCTAGCGTGCTGTGCCATGTGATTAATTAGATATGCGGCCCATAAAGGTCTCCTTATTTTTATTAACGTTGCTTTTCAAGGTAATAGATAAGTCAGGCAACAATAAATATCCATACATATATATATCTAAATAGACTTGTCGTCGTCATCTTTAACTAAATAGCTGACGCACGCTTGTTCAGGCAACATTATAAAATGTTGCCCCTGTTAAGTTAGGTATGTTGGGTATTATTCCTAGGTGACAATACCCATGTAACTAACCAACTAACCCATGTACTGCAACCGAAACCGCCTATGTGGCTGGTGGGTCTATCGTGAGATGCACGGGCCAAACTATTTGGACCAATCTAATGTATATTTAAGCTGATGTTAGACCAGACATCCTAGTCACATGCCACTGTGGCTCAATAAGGATAAGGCTACAAAATTACATAAGGGGGTGTACTACGTAAGGTACCTACGTACTTGTAAGGTCGTCAAGTGCCACCCGTGTTGCGCCTGGCGATTTGATAAATGTCCCTAAACCAAATTCCCATTTCCAAGTATTTTTTCTTATCCTCAATACTTTCAAGATAATCTTTTCCATACACTATACACCTCCTATAAATTCACATAGGTTGTGTTTATTTATGATTCACATAACTACGACTTTGCCCCTCTGACTTGAAGAGAAGCTTTGAAAGCTCCGTTGATACTAAAGAACCAAATAACTACCTAAAAGAACGAGTCCACACTTAAATCCGACTCTAAAACCAGTTCCCCCTCCAAAGAGAGACTATCTTGAAACGAACACCTGCCAACTGTGGCTTCAGCTCATATCTCAACATAAAGAAGCGAACTCAAACGCTACCTACTAAAGATGACCGAATCGTTGGCTACACTAGGGGGTATTTCAGATCCCGCTCTGATCAAGTACGTGTGGTCTTGTGGTATCTCGTTCGCGCAACTGATTTTTACTAACACTCAAACTTTAGACTCGTCAACAGACTGCAAGATGTTTTTTCTACCGTCGGTGTCAATAATCCTATCGATCTACCGCAAATAGTCGTCGTCGGAAGTCAATCTAGCGGTAAAAGTTCCGTGCTTGAGAACATCGTTGGTCGAGACTTGTGCGTCACCGCTCAAATACCCCTTTAAACTTCTATTTTCATAATCGAGGCTAACTAACTCTCCAAACAGCTTACCTCGAGGTTCCGGTATCGTAACAAGACGACCTCTCATTCTACAACTTATTAACCGACCTCCTGTCGCCCAAACGAACGGAGTTAACGACGACGTCACTAACTCTACGGATAAGGCAGCCAACGCAGATGAGTGGGGCGAGTTCTTGCACATTCCTGGACAGAAGTTCTACGACTTTAACAAGATTCGGGATGAGATCAGCAGGGAGACGGAGGCCAAAGTCGGCCGCAACGCTGGAATTTCGCCCGCGCCGATCAACCTAAGAGTCTATTCTCCCAACGTCTTGACCCTAACGTTGGTCGATTTGCCCGGTCTTACAAAGGTTCCCGTAGGAGATCAACCAAGAGATATCGAGCGGCAGATTAAAGATATGGTTCTGAAGTACATCCAAAAGTCGAATGCTATCATCTTGGCTGTTACTTCTGCCAACATCGATTTAGCTAATTCGGACGGTCTTCAACTTGCCAGGGAAGTAGATCCCGAAGGACAGAGGACAATCGGTGTCTTGACGAAGGTGGATCTGATGGACGAGGGTACGGACGTTGTTGATATTCTTGCTGGACGCATTATTCCGCTACGACTTGGATATGTGCCTGTCGTGAACAGAGGTCAACGGGATATTGATAACAAGAAGCCCATTTCGGCATCCCTCGAAACGGAGAAGAACTTCTTCGACAACCACAAGGCTTATCGGAACAAGAGCTCATACTGCGGTACCCCGTATCTAGCGAGAAAGCTCAACTTGATTTTGATGATGCACATTAAACAAACTCTACCTGATATAAAGGCAAGAATTGCTAGCTCACTACAAAAGTACACTGCCGAGCTCGAAAGTCTAGGCCCGTCGATGCTAGGCAACAGCGCGAATATTGTTCTTAACATCATTACCGAATTTACGAATCAATGGCGGACTGTTTTGGAAGGTAACAATGGCGAGCTGTCCAGCACAGAACTCTCTGGTGGTGCCAGAATCAGCTTCGTATTCCACGAATTATACTCCAATGGTGTCAAGGCGGTCGATCCTTTTGATGTTGTGAAAGATGTCGATATCAGGACGATACTATATAACTCATCTGGTTCTTCCCCGGCGCTCTTCGTTGGAACAACCGCTTTCGAAGTGATCGTTAAGCAGCAGATCAAGCGACTCGAGGAGCCCAGTCTCAAATGTGTCTCGCTCGTTTATGACGAGCTCGTGCGCATCCTGTCACAACTCCTTACTAAAGCACTATACAGGAGATACCCGCAGCTGAAGGAGAAGTTCCACGGCGTCGTTATCAGTTTCTTCAAGAAGGCCATGGAGCCCACCAATAAGCTTGTAAGGGACCTCGTAGCTATGGAGTCATGCTATATCAACACAGCTCATCCCGACTTCCTTAACGGCCACCGAGCAATGGCCATCGTAAACGAGCGGTATAACGGCGCAAAACCTGTTCAGGTCGATCCCAAGACCGGGAAGCCTCTACCAGCATCAGCTACGCCGGGACGTGCTGCTAGTCCCTCAATAGACAACCTGGATAACAATTCGGGCTTCTTCGGCAGTTTCTTCGCTGCCAAGAACAAGAAGAAGGCCGCCGCTATGGAGGCTCCTCCTCCGACACTAAAGGCTTCTGGAACTCTTTCCGAGAGAGAGAACATCGAAGTTGAAGTTATCAGTGAGATCAATGAGACTGCTATGCTGAGGTTATAATGCTAACGAATGATTGCAGAATTGCTAATTGCTTCGTATTTCAACATTGTCAAGAGAACAATGGTCGACATGGTTCCCAAGGCTATCATGTTGAACCTTGTCTCGTAAGTACATAACCGACTCGGATAGTCTAAAAAAATTGCTAATTTTGGTTATAGGTATACTAAGGAGGAAATGCAACGAGAACTCTTGGAGAACATGTACCGAAATGATACCCTGGATGATCTGCTAAAGGAGAGTGATTACACCATCCGTCGGCGGAAGGAGTGCCAGCAGATGGTCGAGTCCCTTGGCAAGGCCAGTGAGATCGTGAGCCAAGTTCAGTAATGCGGAGGATCAGTCAATATCATGCCACGGGCATCAGATATTTTTCTAGTCGGTCAGCTAGAATGGCCATGGTCCCGGTACGATATGGAAGAAGTATGCCGCGCTATCGCCGGAGTGTTGTTGTTGTTGTTATGTTTTATTGGCAATCAGCGGTCGGGTCTTGTTGAGTATGCCTCCCTACCTCTCTTCCTCCCCCCCTTTTTTTCATATACATTAGTCATGTCATGTCATACCCCAGCAGCCCTCCCCCCTTTTAGACACGTTCGGTTCGTCGGTAGATGAGATAAGATGCGAAATAGCAAGGCCAAATTCCCACGATGAAAGATGAAACACGGGATGATTAATGTACCTAGGATGAGAAAATTGAACCCAAAAACCTCGTGTTTTTTTTTTCTTCCCCTTTCTTCTTTCTTCTTCTTCTCGTCGTCTTTTTACCCAGTGTGTGTTTTTGATCTGCGTGATAGGTCTTTTCACCTTCTCCATCTGGATTTTCGCCGTACTGTTCCCTAGTCCTAGTCCTAGTCATAGTCCTGCGTGCCGGGTTAGCTTGCTTGCTGCTTTGCTTGCATGATACGGGATCTCGATGATAGGGGGGCCGGGGGGGAGGAACCAGGAAATAGGGATTAAAGATAGGGATAGGGATAAGGATAGGGGGGTGGTGATGGTGATGGTCCTTTATTATACAAGCCAGGGATCATGTTCACCGAGGGAGACGAAACGAAGGTGGCATACATATCCGCATATTCATTCGGTGTGGCCGAGAACGGGATTTTTGATTAAATTCTTTTTTTTTTTTTTCCGGGGGGAGGTTTATTTTTTTTTTGGATACTCTGCTCTGCCCGCGTAAAAGCAAATGTTAAGTACCCGCTCCCCGGCGAACGCCGACGGGACCCGGGGGAGGGAGGGGAGGGGGGGGGGTTAGGTAAGGTTGGGGCTGGGGCTGGGGCTGGGGTAAGGCGGAGGAGCGGGTTTCTGGTCCCGAGCGTAGGGGCGGCCGTGGAGACCCGAATTTTGAAATCCTACATAGGTATCTACCTACCTACCTAACCTACTAGTTCGTGGATTTAGGGGGGGAGGGGAGAGGGGAGGGGGGGTGAAGATTTAGTTACCCTGTATGGCAAGGCAAGGCAAGGTATAGTAGATAGGTAGGTAGGTAGGTATGTAGGTAGAGTGAGCCTACGGACAGATGGATGGATAGATGGACGAAAGGGGGTTGTAACGTCATCTTAGGTAGGGTCAGGGTTTGCACGTCGCGTCGCGATGCGATGGGATGCGATAAGTAATATGTTATATGACGTGTTTACGTCTAACTACCTTAGCTATTAGTATTTTTTTTTTTTTATTCTTTTGTAATTATCATCCCGTGTTTTGTGTGCTTCGAGTTACCTAACTTAATGCTAATGTTCATGTATGCTCTCCTCATTCGCTTCAACTCACATACTGTGTATAAGATATGAGATAGGTATGTAGATCTATCTATCTCTATCTATCAACCGTTCTCGAAACGCCAGCCAACGCCTCATCCCACGTTTTCTTCTTTGTCATCTACCTAAAGTTAAGTACCTTAGGTATGTAGGTAGGTATGTAAGTATATTTCTTCCCACCGCCTCGCTTCCCGGGGAGGTTCCCTGTCCCGTCCCCTGCTCCCGTGTTTCTCGGACATATCTATCTATCTATCTACCTTAGGTAGCTACCCACGCAAAAGATATTTTTATATATACAGATGTACACCGATATGTAAGGTCCAGACATGGCTAGCTGAGGATCCCTGCTCGGGATTTGAGGCTGCTCCTGGCATGCTACAACAGTGCAGGCAGCATATGCGACGGCCCGACGGACGGACGCAGGGGATAAGATAGGTACCTACATGAAATAAGGGACCACATATTTGAGATCTGACAGGTTTTTTTTATAATTTGGGGGGAAGAAAATTGGGGGGCTTTCGGATTTTGAATTTATATTTGGGGGTAGGTGTGGGATGCGTGGGAATAATGTAAAGAGGAAAAAGGGATTAAGTGGGAGGTGGGACGGTTTAGATATCTCGAACTTGTCTGGTGGATGTTTAAGCAGGCAGAGGTAGTATATTTCAACATAACTATGCTTTATAGTAAGGCTGTAAAGTTTCAGTCCTTTACATAGGTAGTCTGACTTGAATTACACGTGGTGATGGTGAGAGCTGGTGTAAGTGTTAGTATGTTTTATGCTGGTTAGTAGAAAATTGTAAATTATTCCGTTATACGCCTTGGGGGCCAAGGAGGGATCTCGGTCTAGCTGCAGCTCAACCGGAGAGCTTTTACCCTTTTACCTAGGTAAGGCAAGGCCAAGGTCAATGTCGGTATCGAGAGCCTTACGGGAGCAGCAGGTAGTAGTAATAGTAGTAGTAGTAGTATGTAGTAACTATGCAAGGTCAAACACGTATAAACTTAACCATGATATGACGACACGCCACCTTGCCTACGCATACATACTCACATACATACTTACATACATACTTACATGCATACCTTGGTAGATAAAGGTAAACCACCATCCCCCATGGGCAGTTAGCCCCGGAAACGACGGTTATACCGCAAGCCCCATGGCAGACCATAATCCTCCGGCAGCCGGGTGCGGCTCTGATTGGAAGGAGGAGAGGTGATGGGTTGATGAGATGTATCTGAAGTAGGGATGAGAATGAGAGGAACGGGCGGGCCGGCCAAAACAGGGTATAGAATAACTTGCATTGCTGCATGTTTAGGTGTGCAATGCAATGCTATGCTTACACATACACCGAGGAGCTCAGAACCTGGTAATATAATCCACCCCCCCTGCTAAAGAATTAGTATGGGACGGAATCAAAGAAAAAAAAAAAATAAGCTCGCTGCATGTATGAGTTGGCGGTCAACTGTCAAACCGGCTTTGTTCCTCGTTGCATGCCCTCAAACGTACCTAGGAAAGGCGTCGGGATAATAGTAAAGTTTACGCGAAGAATGACTGATCATTCACATACAACCTTATGTATCTGTTATCAACTAACTTCGAGGCGGTGACACAGAATAAAAGAAGTATTTTTGTTTCTAACACCTTGCTTGGCTGCTTGCCGTATGTAGTATATACCCGTGGGGGCCGCTCTTCTCAGATCTACCTCATCTGAGACACCTACACCGCGAGTCGGGAATATATAAGTCTTCACGTTGGTCCAAAGGTAATTTGAGTTGTGGTGGTCTTAATCTAGTTAACCCAACGAACGAGTCAAAAAGAAGACGATCGATTCAACATTGCCAATAATCATTTCCGGTCTCGTTCCTTTTAAACGAGTCTTCAGAAGAATTAATATGGCAGATATGGCAAATATGTCAAGAAGCGACCCTCCGTCTCCTCCCCCAGCACCACCGCCGAGTCCGAGCAGGACATTGACATATAGTTAATATGTATCCAGAATATCTTGAAGGTGAGAGATTCTTGCCCCTCATGGGAACCACTTTTAGGCCAGACCGACTCATACTTCTGGTGCTGAAGCTAGTTTCGTACTTTAAATTTGGCTGAATAATAGGTTCGAAGGAGGGCGCTTGATATCGACAGAAAAGGGAAAAGTCGCGGCATCAATCTTACGGAAGCTGATGGAAGCTAGTGGAACCGTCGGGTCATATTTTAGACTGTGGCTGGGTCTCTGATAGAAAAGATCCTGCGAAGCAAAGAGCAAGCGGCGCGTTAAAAAATAAATAAAAACCTGGGTAGATAAAAGCGTGTATCTTTTTGGTTAAAACCTTCCCCTTCAGATTTCTTTTATAGCTTAGATTTAGGGGTTAATATGACGCTGTCATCTTTAATGTCGAAGTCCTCTCCTTTCTTCCATCCGAACCAGTTTTTTAGGGCTTCTTCACCCCCCTGGCCTGGGGTGAGATATTTGCCAATGTAGCTACCGCCGGAAATTCCAGGACCCTGACCATGAATACTCGGATCCGTAGCTTTCTCGCTAACAGCCAGGCAAGGCGTTTCGCGTAACGCCACCGCTGGGCGTTGATCACCCTCGCGATTGGCGTCCGTTTCTAGTTCAGAATACTCTAGCACGGGAGTACAGCAAGCATCGGTGCCATCGAAGATCTTCTCCCATTCCGAGCGTGTTTTCGACTTGAAGATTGTTTCAAACTGCCGTTTCATTTCCGGCCAAGACTCTCGGTCGGAATGTCGCTTCTCCCAGTTTTGGTTGCTTAAGCCTAGACCTTTGATGAAGGTGGCGTAGAAATGCGGCTCTAAAGCCCCTACTGCCATGTATTTCCCATCCTTCGTTTCATATGTATCGTAATATGGACATCCCCCATCAAGCACGTTCTCGCCACGTGGAAGACTGCCGAGTGGTAACTTTAGTGATTGTCGAGTGAAGGTCGTCAGATAGCTAGTGCCATCTACCATGTTTGCCTCAACGATTTGCCCCATTCCTGTTCTCTCTCTAGCTATGACAGCGAGTAAAACACCTTGAAACAATGTAGCTCCTCCGCCAGCGAAGTCTGCTAGGATGTTTTGGGGTGGATGCGGCTTCTCCCCGCTTCGGCCCAGTAGAGAAAGCACTCCAGCTACAGCGAGGTAGTTTATATCATGACCAGCCATCTGGGCATACTTGCCGTCGCGACGAAATCCCGTTAGACGACCGTAAATCAGGCGGGGATTCGCGGCACACAGAATCTGCGGGCCAAGGCCAAGCTTTTCCAACACACCTGGGCGGAACGGATCGATTATTACATCAGCCGTCTTAGCTAATTCTTTAATAAAACCAATACCATCTGGCGACTTCAGATCGACAGCTATGGAAGATTTATGTCTTGTAAGCAAGTCGGGTGTCGGCACCACTTGAACACCAGTCGTGTGACGATCAATCCGAAGAACCCTAGCGCCAGCATCTGCTAAAAGTAAACCAGCGAAAGGTCCTAATTACATATTAGTTCTATAAAATGTTAATTACTTATAAGAGTACGACCTACCAGGTGCTAGACCTGCAAATTCAAGGACTTTAAGCCCCTGAAGTGGTGGTGGACTAACCATTTTTTCGAGTGTTAAGTTGTTTAGTGTTAAATAAAAACGTTGAACCGCGACAGAATCTACGAGATGGGTGTTTAATCCTTGTGAAGTTGAGAAGTGTTTACATTCTTAGAGAATGATAGACTGATAGTAGGCATTAAGCCTCCAGATGTTGAGCGCAAAGAAACCCCTCGGTCATAACAAACATCTAAGAATAAGAATGCGTGGAGAACCGAGGCATGTGTTCGTTTAAGCCACAGTGTGATAAGATGTTTACTTGGCACCGTCACGTGTATCTTTAACTCTTAACTCTTAACCCTTTCCCGGTCCCTTCTTTTTGTTCGGGTTTTCAGAAACTAGACCAGCTTTGACAAACGCATCTCTAGCTGTTTGGTTAATTAGGGCAAACCGGCGAGGTCCAAGTTTATGCCCCCCGTACCATCGGGTAACGATTACCATCACGTTCCAAAGGTCCATCAACTGCATAAGGTGCAAGACCCGGCTGCCAGCGGCAGTCTCGCCGTCATCGTCACAATCTTGAAATGTAGTGCCATTTGGACCCTTTATGCGCCACGCTGTGATATTGTGCGTGGCAGTCCGGACTTTCTTGTCAGTAGAAAGAAGATGCTGGACAAATGCCTCAGCTTCCTCAGTTGACGAGACCTTGGCGCACCGGGCGACAAAAGTCGACTTCAACTCAACAAATGCATCTGACATAATCCAAGGAGGTTCTCGCACGCTGATCTGCTTGGAATCTGCTGCAGATTTAGCGGAGGGTTGAGGATCTGCGTCATCTTCGTTGGAAGTATCCTCGTGTTGGGGGTCCTCTGGAATCTCGGACTCGAGAAGCCGAGTTAATTCCTCGATTGCATCGAAGAGGCAGACAGTCCCTGGTTGGTAAACCGTGCTCACTGCCTGACAGAACAGAGATAATTCCCGGGCTGCATCGCCACGCTTTCCGTGCTCGCCAGTACTATTAGTACCTAGAACAACTGGAGGCACTGCGGGATAGGTAGGGGGAAATTCGATACGAAGAGAGGATGATTCTCCGGGTGGTGATAAAACATACACATTGGCTTCGCTCGACGGTGCCAAGCAATCTTCGCCATATATCGAATTGATGGCCTCAACCTCATCCTGAAGCTCTTCAGACATGGCGCGCCCTTTTTCGCCAGTAAGCTCATGAGGAATTCATAAAAAATACAAGAGTAAAGAGTTGATCGTCGAGGTACCTAAACTATGAATAAACGCTAAAGCCTCGCACTGTAGACTTTCAAAGACTTTTACGGACAATAGTACCTAACCTAAGATGGTAAACTATTATGAATGAATGTTGTATGAATAGGACTTCGGAGGGGGTTGCTTTTTGGGAAGAATGTGTGTCAATGAATTAAAGAAGTAATATTATGTAACTAAGAAGATAAACGTTACTCATCTTTTGAGTGCAGATGCCTTTAAATACACCCTGCCGTGAAGGAAGTGTTAGTATAGTATAACGATAAGGAGGTACCTAATGCAAGGAACGGAGTATCTGATAAAGAAAGCTTCCACAACTAATCCGTACAGGTATCTATGTATCCGTAAGAGGTATCCACTCATTAATTCTCGAGGTCTCTAGAATCGAGAATCCCAGAACCCAACCCCACGCCGTTTCGCCCCTCCAAATTCCCATGTTGTAAGCTCCGAGTTCCGACCAACATCTTTTCTTCAGAAGCGCCGAACTCGAAGCTGCCTCAAGCACACATACAACATAAAAATTTAGGTGTCAGCGCTATTAAGTCTAGTTATCGTTAATATCCTCGGATTTAAAACTTCGGATATTATTGATTATTGTATCCTCTCTATTTTCTTACCCTTACTTGTGAATTTATCCATCTTATTCGGCTTTCCGTTTGCAGCCTTCTTTCGCCGTCCCAATAAGTCGTGAAGGATGGCCTCTGCAATAGAGCAGGCAACGGCCTACAAGAATGATGGTAACAAAGCTTTTGCGGCTCACGATTGGCCTAAAGCAATTGACCTCTATACTAAAGCTATCGAGTTGAACGATAAGGAGCCGACATATTTCACGAATAGGGCACAAGTTTGTAGTATCCTATTCGAAGCCTTAAAACGCTCGCGTGACTGACCTTACTCCCAATCCTAGGCACATATCAAGTCAGAATCTTATGGTTATGCCATAGCTGATGCTACCAAAGCTATTGAAATTAACCCCAAGTTTGTAAAAGTATAGCTATTACTATTCAAATACTAGTTGGTCACTTCTTGTTAAGTGCTAACCCGGCTTAAAATAGGCCTATTTCCGCCGTGCTGTGGCCTCCGCTGCTATCCTAAAACCTAAGGATGCCGCACGAGATTTCAAGAAATGTGTCGAGCTCGATCCAGCGAACAAGGATGCCAAGCTGAAGCTTGCCGAGTGCCAAAAGATCGTACGGCAGCTGAACTTTTATGCCGCCATCGACGTGGGAGACGAGCCCTCTGCGGCAGAGGGTCTCGATATTGCATCCATGGCCGTCGAATCAGACTACGACGGTGTAGAGCTCAAGGATGAGATGACCCAGGAGTTTATTGACGACATGATCGAGAGATTCAAGAATGGGAAGAAGATACACAAAAAATATGTTTACCAAATCGTAATTGCGGTAAAGAATATTGTATACAACGAAGCCACTATGGTAGAGATGAAGATTCCGGATGATGTCAAGCTCACTGTCTGTGGTGACACACATGGTCAGTTTAAGAGTCCAAGGTGTGATGAACCGAAACTAATTTTGCTATAGGACAATACTACGACCTAATGGAACTCTTTAGGCTGAATGGTCGTCCGTCTGAAAAGCACTGGTACTTGTTCAACGGAGATTTCGTAGACCGGGGTTCTTGGTCGACAGAAATCGCCCTGTTATTATATGCCTATAAGTGGTTACGTCCCAGCGGCATGTTCCTGAACAGAGGCAATCACGAAACCGACGATATGAACAAGGTTTATGGATTCGAAGGAGAGTGCAAAGCTAAGTACAATGAAAGGTATGTCGACGACTGTTTTATTTTTAAGCCACTCGCATATTCTAATCGGGTTCTAGGGTATTTAAGCTGTTCTCCGAAAGCTTTTCTGCACTACCGTTGGCAACGCTCATCGGATCTAAGTATCTCGTCTTGCACGGTGGCCTATTTTCAGACGATAACGTCACTCTGGATGATATCCGAAAGGTCAATAGGCATGCTCAGAGGCAACCAGGTCAAGCTGGCTTGATGATGGAAATGCTCTGGACGGATCCTCAAACAGCCCCTGGACGAGGCCCTAGCAAACGAGGAGTGGGTATGCAATTCGGACCGGACGTGACAAAGAGGTTCTGCGAGAAGAACGGTCTAGACGCTATCATTCGAAGTCATGAAGTCCGTATGGATGGTTACGAAGAGGAGCACGATGGAAAGTGCATCACCGGTAAGTTATCTCCCGAGTTGGTCAATTCCTATATGCTAACTAGTTCCAAGTCTTCTCGGCACCGAAATATTGTGACCAGACAGAGAACAGGGGCGCCTACATCAACATTGGCCCCGACTATAAGTTAAACTTCAACCAATTTGATGCTGTTCCCCATCCTCCGATTCGACCGATGGTAAGCTGCTATGCTAGGTACGAGGTGAATACATTAAGCTAACTCTTCTTAGGCGTATGCGAATAATTCTCTTATGTCGGGGATGTAAGAGGCATTTTAGTTTTGATGTTTCCAAGCGGCGATGTTGCATTGAATGGTGGCATAACGTGGCATCTTTGCATATATAGCACTTGATCGTCAGGGAAGCAATGGCGTTGCGGGGACAAAGAGAGGAAACAGGATATACCATTAGGGCGGTACCAATAGAAATATGGTTTGAGATTATTTTGTTTCTCGGCGTGTTGGTAATGGTTATGGTTGACAAGGTGGTTTCGTCCGTCAAGTTTCAGCCAGTCCATAGCTCATCCTCCCCATCTCTTCCCACCAAGGCACCAAGCCAGTCAGAGCACCCTCGTATCCGAAGTGATGAGTGAAGACCGTCCTGATAAGAGCCTTGCCAGGCTGTAATGGCTGCGGAGAATGCTGCTAAGTCATCCCGCGGAACTCTTAACCAACAATCCTTCCCTTCCACCTTGAGAATATCTAGAGGCATTCCAAGACCTGTGGTGCCTAGGAATTGCTTCAGGGCAGATGTACACTTAGACCGCACTTGAAGGACATCTAATACACCTGGATCGGCCGAGGCACTGAAAAGCTCAAGATGTACGTAGGAATAGCGCGGTGTTTTGATAGTAACCGTAGCTAGCTCGTGTGACTTTTTGATCCCGGCTACACTCTGCGTGCTAGCCATTGGTGCATCAGTCATTGATGTATCAGGTTGTTCAGTCATTATGGCCTTTATTATCGGGATATAATGCTCTTGTCTTTGATGTAATATTTATTTGTAGGCTAGTCCTACATGTGGTTAGGGTAGCTTTTTTGAATGATGCATTTTGGAATCGCAAAATACTAAAATGCATTCTTTGATGGATATGTACCTAGGTACACTCGGATAATTGAATGCACTTTCCAGATCAGTAGGTACCAAAGTACTAGGCTTAACCTAAAATATTCAAATGGCGAGAGGTAACTAACATTTTGTGATCATTCCTAACCTTTCTGCCTTTGATTGCTTTTGATTTTGTTGGAAGATGTCAATAATTTGTACCTTCTTGTAGTAAATATAGTGTAGAAGTACTTATGTGCACTTGCTGCTTGGACCACTTAGTTTAGTAGTGAATTGCAATTGCCTAATGGTGCACAAGCTGCCCCACCACAGTATCAAATGGCAGGTGCAAAGATCACCTTGCCCCACATGGATGAATTTTTTTTCAACATACATAGATCGGATAATTGAATTCTCTTTTTCATTTATCCGAACTTACCCCGCTACATCCTCTTGTTTCTAACCGAGTTGCACCAAACCGAAATTCATCAAACCGGAAAGAAATTCATTTAACCGCTCTGCCACCCTGTTGCTACAATGAACCGAGTGCAGCAGGCTAAGAACAAAGGGGCTCGAGCTCGCCTAGCGCGACAAAGAGCTAACCCTCCAGCTCATGCAGCCCCTGCAGCCCCTGCAGTCCCTGCAACACCTGCAGCTTCTGCTAACGAGGCTCCTGGTAACGAAATTCTTAGTGACGAAGCCACTTCTAGCAATTCAGTTCCTAACAACAACAACACTGGGATCAACAACAACGTTCCCGAACAAGCTGCTCCTATTCTAGAACCTTTCAATCAGCAGGCTGCTGCTAATCAGGGTGTTGACAACCAGGACTTTGTCAATCAGGACTTTGTTGATCAGGACTTTGTCGATCAAGGTGGTGCTCCCAACCAGGACATTCCCATTCCCGATCAAGTTCCCGATCAAGATCCTGCCGAAGAGCATTTTCATCAACTCCCTCCTGGTCACGTTCATGCCTCGGTTCCCGTAGGTTATTTTCGTACTCAGATATTCGAGGATTTTGCGTACAACCCTCATGTGTATGCTCCTTACATTATTCGTCTCGGCTTCCAAGGTATTCCCGCGTTTATCGACAACCTGATCCGTGGAGGAACTGTTCCTCTATACCTCGTCGCCTTACGTCCCGTCGCCGATCAGGACCTTGATCAGGTGCCCGATTTAGTACCCGATTTCCCACTCTATTCCGACGGGGGTTCGAGCGACTTTTTTGACGCCGCGATCCCGTACAGCGAGGACTTATCTGAAGAGGTAGAGGAGTACGAGGAGTACGAAGACGAAGCGGAAAGCGAAGAGGCAGGTCAATACGTTGATCTACACTATTATTTTGAAGAGCACGAGCACGAGGAGGAGGATTCTGACGAGAACGATCCTAACGACGACGAAGAGGACGACGACTCTGAAGAGGATTGTGATCAGGACGAGTCTGAAGATCAGGGCGACGACGATCAAAAAGATCCCGACCAAGACGGTTCCAATCAAGGTTCTAACCAAGAGGGCTCGGGCCACCAGGGTTCTAACTACGAAGGCTTTGATTCAAAGGGCTCTGACCACAAAGACTCCGACCACCAGGCCTCTGGAAATCAAAGTCCTGACAACAACAATTTATCTTCCCCTAACACCACTGCCAAGATGGCTTCTCAGAACTTGCTCGGCATGGTTATTGCACCTAACCAGTGGCGATACGCCCGCGCGTGCATGGTGTGCTCTATCATCATGACTCAATCGGTACGTATTCTTCATGTCGCATTCCCCTTCCTTCTAGCCCCATCTATCTTAATATATCTCATCAATTTCAAATCAATGCTAACCTAGATAAATCCAATAGCATTTCCGCGCGGACGGTTGTCCCAACTGTCCGTTCCTTGACCTGAAGGGATCGCCTGAGGCCATTGAGGCCTGCACCTCGAGCCAGTTCGAGGGCACTGCCGCCTACTTCCAACCCCGCCGTTCCTGGGTTGCGCGCTGGCAGCGCGTCGACACCTTCGTCCCCGGTACCTATGCCATCAAGGTAAACGGTTCTCTACCGGAGGACATCAAGCAAGCCATAGAGGACCAAGGCAATACCCATATTCCGTAAGTAATTCACCTTCTCGCCTCGCTTGATAGTAACAAGGACAAGTGCTAACATACTTTTTCTTCTTTGCGTAGCCGCGATGGAAGCGCCCTTGAAATCGACTAGACGGCGAAGGAGGGCCTTTCAAACTGGGGCAAGCGTGCTGCCAAGCCCGCAGAACAACAGCCTGTTCAGGGCCAGGGCAAGATGGATGCCCAGAAGACGGGACAGCAGAACCGTTAGGAAGAGGACCACCGTACCCACCAGCAGCATGAAGATCACTAGGAGCAGGTCTAGCAAGCTCGAGAGAAGGTGGTGGATTAGCATTTCTCAATGCGCGACACGGTTACGAGAGGTTGTTTTTAGATACCAGTTGTTTTTTACTCCCGAATAGGTTGAGTTAATTCTCCCAGGCTTTGCGTTAGGAAAAGGAATCCAAAAAAAGGTGGACACGGAAAACTACTCATGACTATTGCATCTGGCGTTTTGTTTGTGTGTGCAGGCTCGACGTACAAAGCCTAGGTTTAGGCCTACGTTTACTCCATAGGACATATTCCTATGATGATGACTGTCTTAGCCACTTGGCCCTTACCATCGGAGCTTTTGCATTGCGTTGCGTCGCATCACGTTGTGTGCCGTCGTCCATGTTTTTCGTGTTTTCCAGCTGCTATTAGACTACCTAGGCTAGGTTAGGTTAGGTACTTTCACAAGTTAATGCCTCTTTATTTAGAGAGCTGCTTGATAATTCATAAGCCCGTTTCCTTTATACATGATATGCCTACCTAACTTGACTTAACTATACCTAGGTAACTTAAGCCGACCTGACCTGACCTGACCTAACTAGATGTCTTTTAGATAAACCCCCTCCTCCTCATCTGCGCCGCCTCCGGCTCGTCCGCAAAGTACGACGACGTAACTGTATCAGCCCTTTGGCGGTCCTTCTCCTGATCCTTCTCCTTCTCCTTCTCCTTCTCCTGCCTCTGCCCCTGCTCCGCTATATCCATCCCCATCCCCATCCCCGTTCCCGTCTTCGTCTTCGTCTCATCAGGGTACGCATAGCAATCGATTATATCCTCGATCTCCCTATACAGCAAGGTATCCCTACAGCGATAAACATTGCTCGGCCGGCGCTGCTGGAGGGCGCGGTCGCCGGCGCCGGTGCTCTGGATGCGGGCGATGAGCGGGGGCGGGTACAGGTCCTGCACTATTTCCATGTCGGGATCCGAGTACGGGGACAGCGGCTCGTCGCTGTCGCTCGAGGTGGAATGCATGTCCGTCGTCCAGGATTTGTCGCTGGGGGCCTTGGTATGTGGGGAAAGGGGTTCTGCTTCTGCTTCTGCTGATACGTCTTCTTGCTTCCCGTACGTGCGACTACCGTCTCCCCTGCTAAATCGAATGCCTGCGGACCGGGGACTGGTTCCGAAAATCCCCTCGTGAAGAGGGGAAAACGGGCCGGCGTCTTGGATTCTGGGACTGGTGCGTTGCTTGTTGTATGGTGAGAAAGTACTCCAGGCCGACTCGTCGGATTGGTTCCCGCTCTCCTTCTCGCTGCTATTACTACTATCTTCATCCTCATCGTCGTCGTCGTCATCGTCATCATCGTCAACATCATTATCATTACTAGCCTTCCTCTGCGCTTCGACGATATCTCGCCTCTTCCCCCGCGGCGCCGGGAGTAGCTTAAAGCCCCCGGCGCTAGACCGCTTGTCGAGGCCGGTGGGTCGTCTGCGGATGGTCTGGGCTTGGGTGTGCTCGATGTTGGTAGTGGTAACAGAGCCGGTGAGAGCTTGGAGCGTTTCGAGATGGGCGTCCTGGATGACGGGCGGATATGGGCCGAAGAATGCGCTTTCTCGGGGGAATAGGGCCTCGCGGCATCTATTGCAGAGGTTGTCCTCTTTCTCTTGCGCCGTGATAAGAACGGCGTGGCAGCCGCGCCAGGGACATGTTTGTGCTGAGGGTGAAATCGGTGAAGAGTTTAGGATGAGGCCGGGTGCGTGCTCGCTGGTAAGAGAGGCGTCGTATATCGTCGTCCTGGGCTCGCGGTCCGGTAGATTGGTTATCTCGATATCAGCCGCAGTTCTCTTCCCCCCGAGCATCGAACCCCGTGAGCCACGCCTCTTGGAAGGGTGACTAGAGGCTGATATCTTCCTTGGCGGCGGATGTCCTCGTTTCTCGGGCCCCTCGCTATACCGGATGATAGGGCCTCGATCTAAGGCACCTGCGTTGTATGTTCGTATTGCCCCAACGCCAGGCAATACTGGAGAGACCAGGACCGGGTCCGTAGTAGTGTTCCCCCGGGATGGTACCCAGTCGCCAAATGGTTTGCCCGTCTTAGTAGTGAACGTCGGGGACACGGAGCTCATCCTATTGCTCCTCGGGCTCGTCGACGAATAACTGAAATTAGGCACGGGGCTCTGCGACGGCCCATTGTGATCGCTCCTCTTCCGTATCCAGCCGAGCCGCGCGGCGTACTCTTCATCGGATACCATCTCCTGGGTACGCTTGTCGACACGCGGCCGGTCGGGGTGATGTGTGCCTTTGTAGTTGGCCATCCAATCCTGTCGCTCCTCCTTTTCTTGCGCTGACGTCTTCTTCCCTTTCTCCTCATGATGCTTATGTCGAAAACTCCCTAAGACCCTTGAAAGAAAACTCCCGCTGCTATGGCGTCTCAGGCTGGTGGTGAAGCTACTTTTACGGGCCGAGCCCGCGCTTCGGTGGCGACGATTTTCGTGTACCATCTGCTCCTTGTTTCGTGATCGTTTTAGTAACAGGTATCTTCCTCTGGATTTACCTTGGTTGGTAGGATTGATATGAGGTAGTTAGTATAAAAATGAAATATTAAATATTAAATATTAAGTATTAGAATATATTATAAAAAGTCGCTATGCTGTAAGTAAATGAATAATATGTTATGCGTTCATTAATACCGAATCATGGCGTCAATAACGAGTGATATAGATAGGCGAGTGAGTAGTGAAAAGTCAAAACAGTTTTAGAGTCAAGCGGGCGACACGCCGCAGGAATAGACTTCAAGTCATTAATGACGGCGCGGTTTTGTTTGGTAAAAAGATGGGATGAGTGAATTGGCGTTTCTTTGATTAGGTAGGGTCGGATGTATGACTCCTTTCTTTCGTCACAAACAGGTAGACTATTAAGGGGTTATGATTGTTAGCATTGTGAACCATAAGGATGTCATAATAAAGCATTGTGCTTTGTCACTCAGGTTTCCTTAACTAACGCATTGTATTTACACCAAAGGAATGATTGCCTATAATATAGATACTGAATAGAAAGGTTGTATTGATGTCGTCAGAGGGTTAGGTGAATCGATTATACTCTATGTAACGTAGAGCTAGCTTACCTCTTAACATCCGACCTTTAGCTAGTACGTTACTTGTATTTCGTTACTTATATTTCGTATGTGGCGTGTACCATATTCGATCTAGATCGAGGATAGACTGACTAATAGCTTAACTGTAACGCAAAATACGTCCGTAATATGTATGTCAGTTCTAAACCATCTAAGTGAATATTAGTAACTATTCTTATAAAATTTCCTTTTGTCAAACCCACCACTACGTCATCTAACAAAGGCAGCAACTATTAACTGTTAATATACGCCAAGTATAAGAGTCAGGAGCAAGGCCCTCGTTATATAATATTTTGGTAGTAAATAAAAATATTCTAGTAGTTGAGCGATTCCTACTAGTTAAATTGACCCTCCTCCAGATGGTGCTATATTATAGACTGACCGTCACAGTCATATTATTACTCAAAACTAGGAGGATAGGTGGAAGCTCGTGGCAGAGTACCTCGATATCGGTCAAATATCTTAGGCTGGCCTCTTCGCTCTTGCATGTCCCTTCCTCGGGAATCGGGAGGGTTGTAAGTAGCACCGCCGTATCGCTACTATTCTGACGCATCAGCTCGTTAAGAATTAGATGTTGAGCGCGACTGGGCAAATCGTTGAATGAAAGGGGTAGATTCTGCGTCGAGTAAGATGAGCGAGTATCCTCGTCTGACAAGCTACTCGAACGGTGAGATTTTAGTAACTCCGGTATATTTAATTGCGCATCTGATAGCCCCCCATTTCGTGACACCGAGTTTCTTCTAGATCTCAATAGTGGCTCAGACACGCCATATTCAGGTTCCGCAAATGTAAGCCGAGGCCCATGGTCTTCTTCAGCCTCAACCGTCGTCTCTGGGACGGGTCTGCTAGAGAACGGACCAGCTGAGGCGTTTCTTGATAGTATAGGTCGTCTAACTCTGGTTGGTATTGTCTGCTCTCCTTCAGAGAACGTGATCCTCGGTCCTGAATCGTCAACCAAGACAGTAGTTTCTGGTGTTGGGTTACTAGTGAACCTACTTGCTGATGAATGACGTGACAGAGCGGGTCTAGACGGTGCCTTTGGTATAATAGGGGATGTTTCGCTTGGTACTGCTGTAGTGCCGAGACGACTTGCCAAGCTTTGCGTTTGCCCGGTGTTAGATGATACTGGTGTTGAAATCGACCCTGTCACGGGAGCCATCGTGCCATACCCAGACGAGGTGGCTGCAGTCTGCTGTTCCAAATGCCGATCTTTGGTTTGCTCTAAACTCATTGGTGGTGCTCCCCTTTGCATAATATCCCCATGGCTTTTCCTCCGACCTGCAAATGTTAAAAAGCTAGGTCTCCGCGACGAAGCTAAGTCTTCCATAACGCCAACTCTCGCCGGGTCAGTAACGTCGTTGAAGTCGGCGTCTGATGACGCGATGGATTCGCCGTCATCGTCGCTAAAGTCGGGCGTATTGGTATCTGTTCGAACACCAAATCCGGAAGAGCTCAGCTGGTGAGTGTGGATGCCGAAGTTGACGCCCAATTTTGAAATGGCAGAAACGGTCGGTTTCTTAGATCTTTCTAGTATCTCATTAACGTCAAGACCCCTTGGTAAACTATGATAGCCATCGGATTTAGACACTGAACTGCCTCTACGTCTAGTAGCACTCAACATTTGCTCTAAGGATGCGAGTTCTTGAGATCGAGACATTTCGTGAGCTTCTGTCCTCAACTTCTGAAGCTCTTGCCACCACTCGTCGTCTTTCAGCAACTTGTTTACGATGCGCCCATATCCAGAGCCAGATCCAATTCCTTTACCATTAACAATAGTCTCGTAGCTCTCCAACTGTCCCGAAGCAAGCCAAAATACTTGGATTGTAGCGTCGATTCGCAACTTTTCCAACAGCGCCTTTAATCTAGCCTGTTCTTCTTTGACTTCGCTCTCGTACTCAACGAATACCAAGACTCGGAGCTGAAATGCTCTTTTCCATGCTGGAACGCTTTGTAGAATATAACCAAGTTGAAGAATCAACGTATCTGCGTTTACCCAATCAGCCTACAGCTTTTAAGTTTTATGCGTAGGGGAACATACATGTATCAAAATTAGTTGTCCAAATACTTTTGTCGCCGTCGGTGATCTCAGCCGACATTTGAATTGGCCAAAGGTCGATATATCTTTTAGTGTTGTTTCCATCATGGCGCGGAGTCTCCAAGGTTTGAAACCCTTTGCCAATAGCAACATTTAGACGGTGGCGGAGTGCAAGATCTTCAAGAATCGTTAAATAACTTTCAGGAGACATCATGTCCTCCGTGCGCATAGCATCGGTTGGGAGAAACCCATCTAGTAGACGGGAAGATGTATCACCGCGTCGGCGCCTCAAAGATTTACCATCGGTCTTTGTTTCTAATTTCGGTCGGGTGGGCGTGCTTGGGACTTCTAGTATCCCTCCAAGCGGTCGAGACTTTCGTAAATCATCCATGTTATAAAACCCGAGGATAGCTATATTAGGTCTCATGCCGCCTAAGCCAGCTGAGAGTATCAAATTCCGCACTCCCCATACGATCGATGGTGACATCGTTAACTGGACGAACGCCTTGATTCTCGAGAATTCCGATATATACCGAGCCCATGCCGATTGTTGCAGCTTTGCCTCGTGTATACCAGAATTGAAATCATCCGTCACGATAACATGTCCTAATATGTACAAAGATCCTTTCTTCAAAGAGTTGCAGAACTGAACGAGCCGCGTATGATGCCGTGGATCATTGATTAGAAGTATTATCTGAGGTCTCCAGAATTTAATGTGTTCTGGTTTAAGTCGTAGGAGATACTTTCGCACCTGATGATAGATTAAATTCTGAGATACGTCACCCCAATGCTTCGGCGGGCTCATAAAATGAATGACGAGGAAGAGAAAGACGAGAACGCAGATAGCAGCAGCAGCGTACGTTTCATCTATGAAGAACATGGAAGCAGCGGATATAATACTTCCTACAAAGGCAGTGTGCCAGCTGAAAAACTTAAATGCAGGACGGAAATTGGGAGCTGATCCTATCTTTAGCAAGAAACATGCTAGATTCATGACGAAGAACGTCATCTATACCGAGTATCAGTTCTATAGACTAGTCTAGTAGCTCATGGGGATACTTACCTGGTAGCTCATGGATATAAAAGTCGCAATTTGATTTAAGTCGGCGAATAGCGAAACTTGCGCAATGATATATGTGACAAGTATTGCAAGTATAGGATCATCACGTTTATTCCCCTTTCCAAAGATGGATATTCCTGGAAGGAGTTTATCTCGACCAAGGGCCTGAAGAAGTTTAGAACTGCCAATAATTCCCATCAAAGCTGAGAAGAAGGTTGTTGCACACTCGCCGGCGAGAATAAGTGGCGGCCATATACTTGCTGTAGAGATAATATTGGTATCTCGGAGAAATGAAGGGTGGGTAATGCTTGAAGCTATCGACAGAATAACGATCAGATAGATGACGAACGTCGCAGCCATGGCCCACAATGTTCCTTTTGGGATTGCTTTACTTGGATTTCGAAGGTCCCCCGACATCGAAGCTCCTGCAAAAATACCGGATGTAGCACTGAAGAGGATACCGAATAGTTCCCTGAATGTCTCTACACCTCGATACTTAGGGCCACCGGCGTGCGGAAAGAGATTGGAACGCATCGTAGCTAGGCTTAACCCAGTGAATTCAATTCCAATATCATCGTCCTTGAATGGACTCTTCACGATAGTCGAGATTGGGATACTTGTGATGGCCAAGGTTAATATGACAATGAGGCCGCTACTTGCTTGGACGAAGAGAGCACGTCCAGCAAGACTCAAACCCGTACAGACAACGAGAGCGGCAGTCTGCATACCATAGCTTTCCCAGTAGCCATGCGGTATTAGAGGTCCTAGATTGAGTTTTAAGCAATCTATGAGACCAACGATATTAAGCGAGGTGTTCACGACTTGGGCAAGATAGAACAAGATACCAATCGAGCCGCCGAACTCAGGACCAAGGGACCTTGAAATTAAGTAGTAAGCACCACCTCCCTTAACCTCCCCATTGGACGCTATAGCAGAAAGGGAGAGCGTAGTGATAAAATCGACAATGTATGCTATAACAAGTAAACCTGCGTAAATGTTCGTATGTAAGGTGCCGAACCGTCACGCAAGTGCTAGTAGGACCTACCTAGCATTCCAACCAATCCAATCCGACCCATGATAGAACCGAAACGAAGGAACATCAAAATACTGATAATATTTAAAACCACGGGGATAAAGACTCCAGCAACGACTCCAAGCTTGACCTTCTTGTTGGACGGCGCTGGGCCGGAGCCCTTGTTATCTCCTCGGGATTCCGGAGGCATATTGTATTGTATTGTATTGTATTAACGGGTCTTACGAATTCTTACTGTTATTATAAAATATCGTAGCAGTATGGCGACTAGCCTTATCGTTGTGAGAGGCTACTAACTCTCGCGGCAAGCAGGCATATTAGAGTATCACTAACAACGTTGATTAGTTTTGATGTGGTGTAAATGTATTATCCTATAATAACCCCGCTCGAAGTTAAGCTTGGAGGATTGTCGAAATCAGATGTCATAAGAGACGAAAACAAATATCAGACGAATAGCTAAACTGGTTATAGTCTAGTCATATTCCCCACAACACGTTTCTCGAATTGAATCAAGTTTGGTCCAATGACGTCTGGCAGCTGATCCTAAACGAGACATACAGTCTGGAGTGGTTGGATATAATGAAGAGCGACTTGACCAATTGCCATTTTGTATAACCATGGAAAAGGAAAAGAATATTGAAATATTGAAGAATTTGAGACAATGCTAATTTTATAAGTAAAATGTGTTAACTATAGAACTTTTAGAAAGACCTAACTAAGTTAAGAGGTAGTTAGGTAGGCAAAGAAAAAGTATGATAGCGTTGGTTCCTTCTCTAATAAGTGGTTCATTCGTATTACAGACTAAAGCAGCAAAGTACCTAACGCAGGTGCTAACGGTAATGTGTTCCAATTATTAGGTCCACTATTATGTACCGGACCGAAATATTCCAGTGCTTAGGTAGCCCGGAGATAATTTGAAAGTTGCTAATTGGCTAATAAACCAAGTCGCATTTGATTCATCCCGTGGTACGGCTCCAAATGATGCAGTTGACCGACTTAGGCCAATTCTTCAGGGTCTGACTGATAAGGTAGTATCACGAGGGCTACTGTGCCTACCTTAGGTACTTCTTACAGTATCTAATTAGTTTATCTACATGTACCTAACACACCTTGTTCAACATCTCTCTCTCTCTACCGCCTTCTTTTCCATCGCATCATCTTGTAGCCTTTTTATTCGCATCTACTAGTATGTCTAAGACAAAGTCTTTTCCTTAATTAAGCTCCTAGTATATTACCTATATTAATATCCTGGACTGTGCAATTAACTTTTGATATAAATAGTTCTCGATAGCTTCGCTTTCTTCAAGTAATCATCTCCAGCCTCTTCGCCGCTAGCTCCGACGCCGCTTATATCTCAATGCTCACTCATTGTCATCGATCATTATCCTAAACTTCACTATGGCGAATTCCGATCAGGAAAGAAGCACAACACCTCAGCCTGGAGCTTCTTCGGGCGTGCAATTATCATCCTCTCCAGCTTCCGGTCGTATGTATGGAACTTCGGCGCCTCGCGCTGATGTTACCGCTCGCTTGGCTTCCCCTGTACCATCTCATGCCTTCGGAACTCCGCCATCTCAACGACCTCAAGGTGTAGCTCGAAGCGAAGAAAACATCGAGAATGTAGGACCACTTGCCGGTGCTGGTCAGAGTTCTATGGGTCCCGGAGTATCTGCTCTCGCTGCAGCGCTTTCAAATTCTATAGGGACGTCACCCCCAAGATTCGGTACTCCACCGATACGATCTTCGTCGCCGGCAGGAACAGCCTCGGGGCTGCAGCCATCCATAACGCCAACCAACTATGGCTCCTTCGACGCAAGATCAAGAAATATTCAGGGCGGTGCTTCTGGTGCCTACGAAGATCCCGAGATCATCAAACGGCATTTGGTCCAACCTACCGACGCTGCGGATTCTTCATCTAACAATGGTGAGAATTCCAAAGGCAAGCAGGTCAGCGATTCCGTAGGGCTAGGGCGCGACGACGAAGAAGAATTCTCCAGCCTTAGGTTACAAGGCGGAGACATAACGCGCCAGATTTATAAATGGACCGAAGACGCAGAAGGCCGTAACCGACCTCAGCGTAGCAAGAGTTTCAGTCATCCTAGGGATGAGCCCGAGAGTGAAATTCTCGATATAAACACTATCAAGGTCCCCGGTGGATTTAGACGGAACTACCTGAGGAGAGCGGCGCGTAGCCCGCACCTGGACTCCAATGGATTAGAAGCTGGGGAAGGGACGTCGAGGGGTAGACGAGATCCTCAGCTACTCACCAACAGTTTCTTGGAATTTTTGTCTATCTATGGTCACTTCGCGGGTGAAGAGCTTGAAGAGGACGACGAAGTACTGGGACCTGGCGAATATTTCTCTTCTGGTGAAAGCGACGATTTCTACGATAGCGAGGAAGAGAGAGAGCCGATGGAAGATAGTGCCCTATTGACACCATCTAAGCGCAAGAGGAGGCGAAGGGTCCGTGGTGGTAGCGGAAACAATTCCCCCTTCAATGCGGCCCTGCTTCTCTTGAAATCGTTTGTGGGCACAGGTGTTTTGTTTCTACCTCGTGCTTACTTCAACGGTGGTATGCTCTTCAGCAACTTAGTTCTACTCTTCGTCGCGGCGTTGAGCTACTACTGCTTCGTGTTGCTTGTTACTACACGATTAAAAGTTGAAGGGTCGTTTGGTGATATCGGTGGAATTTTATACGGCGATTGGATGAGAAAACTGATCTTATTTTCGATCGTTATTAGCCAAATCGGATTTGTCGCTGCGTACATCGTATTCACGGCCGAAAACCTACAGGCCTTCATTCTTGCCGTTTCCGACTGCAACACAAATATTCGAATAACCTGGCTGATCCTGATGCAAATGATCATCTTTTTACCGTTCTCTCTGTTCCGAGACATCGGAAAGCTTGGTTTTACAGCTTTAATAGCAGACGCATTTATTGTCATCGGCCTTGCGTATCTTTTCTACTATGATATCCTTACCCTAAGCACACACGGCATAGCGGATATCATTCAGTTTAACCAAAAGGATTGGACACTCTTCATCGGTACCGCTATTTTCACTTTCGAAGGGATCGGTCTTATCATCCCCATTCAGGAGTCCATGAGGTCGCCGTCCAAGTTCCCCAAGGTCATGTTCTACGTCATGATAATCATCTCCGTCCTTTTTATTACCATGGGCGCGGTATCTTATGCCGCGTACGGATCGAAGACGGAAACTGTCGTCCTTCTCAATCTACCTCAGGACAACAAGCTCGTCAACGGTGTCCAGTTCTTATACTCACTCGCTATTCTTTTATCAACACCTCTGCAGATTTTCCCAGCTATTCGCATCACGGAGAACGTCCTCTTCACGAAGAGCGGCAAGTATAACCCGTACATCAAGTGGCAGAAGAATATGTTCCGTTTCTTTGTCGTCTTCCTCTGCGCGTTCATTGCATGGGGAGGCGCGGACGATCTGGACAAGTTCGTTGCTCTCGTCGGAAACTTCGCCTGCATCCCTCTCGTGTATATCTACCCTGTAAGTGTTCCCCGTCCCTTTTGACACGTAATACTAGACCGTACTAATTTTTTCATCAGCCACTACTTCATTATAAGGGAGTAGCAAGAAGCAGGACGCGGAAGGTGACCGACATCCTTCTCTGCATTTTCGGATTCATAGCAATGGCATATACCACCAGCTTGACGGTGATCAGCTGGGCTAGCGGTCCTTCGGGCCCAAGCCTACCGAAGTACTGTGACCCTCATAAGCTATAATACATAATACCAAAGAGGGCGGAGGAATGATGGAATAGCTGTGTATATTATCTTGCATTGGCAGCGTTGGGAGATTGATGCAACAGAATTAGAAATATTTTATCCTCGTAAGAGATGAGCTTTTTGATCTACCTATGTGGAAATAGAGCTTGTATGGCTTTTTGGGATTGCTTCGTTTTGGGTGCAAATACCTCTAGGTTGTTATTTATCTGTTGGCTTGGTATCTACCTACGTATGTGTACGGTTAGATTTCTGAAAATAGGGCAGCTTGATCTACTAGAATATAATTGCATATATTAGAAGAATAAGGGCGATAGTAAATCATAGGTCCTTTTATGGACGTAGTCGATACGTTATATATCAATGGCCCGTGCAATTCGGTACGTATTATTTTCTACCGACATTTATCCGATTGCCCGGCAAGACACGCTTTGACCAGGCTCAGGTACTTAGGATGAACCATTCATTCATTCATTCATTCATGACTTGAACTTTACAATCTTCAATACGTTTCTTGTCTTAGATTACATTTCAAGTCTTGACTACACCTTGAATTCGTTCTGTATAAAACGAGCATCTACGATACACGTGTTCGTCGCATCAATAATAATTAGGAATATTTGGGAATATTTGGGTGAAGCCTCTTTCTATCCCGTTTGATAGACAACCGCCAATATGAACGCGCCAGATCGGTAGGTGATATTTCAAAGCTTTGTTACCACATCCTCTCTTTAGTGGTCCTCTATGTCAATAATTTGGAAGGTGCATTGGGGCAATATGATCCTACAGTTTGGAAGGCGCATAACTGCCTCCTTTTCCTTAAGAGATGGTCTACAATTAAGAATAGCATCAGATCAACCAGATCAACCAGATCACTTTCTTTACTTATCCCATTAGACTCTCCAATTGTTCTACTCGTCTACTCACCAATTTTACACCGCATAGCCATTCAAGATGGAGTCCATCTGCTCTAGAATGGAGCCGTTAGATTATCCCATACCTGTTTCATGATCAAAAGCTAACTGATGTATAGTTTCGAGTTGTTCCTCCTCAACGAGGCATTGGACGAGAAGAAGATCACGGAAAAGCCGTTTGCTGGTAAGTAAATTCTGTTTGGTTACCCTAAGTGGATTTAGGATTGATGAATGCCAGGCATGTCAAACACCTCGGATTTCATTATTCTCAAGGAAGACCACACCATCGGCAACCTGCTTGCTGAGCACTTCAAGCAGCACCCTCACGTGATGATGGCCGGCTACAAAGGTAAGCAAACTTCTTGTAATTATATAAAAATTTGGGTTTCTAACCAACTACGTAGTTGCTCATCCCAATGTCCCCGAGGTCTTGATCCGTCTTCAGACCGACGGCACAGTCACTCCCCGTGAGGTGTTCATAGATGTGTGCAAGCAGCTTGTAGCTTCCCTCGGACAGCTCGCTCAGAACTTCACTCGAGAGTATGAGCTCCGCCGCATGGCTACCGCGGGAGAGCAGGACAATAATTCAGGCGGTGGTGCCAACGGCAAGCCTTAGAGCCTTTTATTACGGCGGCATACATTCTCATGATGCATTATGGACGGGGTTTGGTCGGATACCAGGCGTTACGGTTTTGCTTTCATTTTAACTCATGTAAAAAGGCAATTTGCAATGTTCTAGGGACAGACAGAATCATCTATCATACGGATTAGGACTAGGACCTCTATCTAGGTCGTCTTAACCGCCATAATTCCATTGATTTCCTAACTCCCTGCTCACTCGTCGTGATATACGAGGCAGTTGCTTTTTTTACTATGCTAGTTCGGTATAGTTGTTGACAAGGCAATTACAACCTTGATTCATCAGATGATATCCCATATCCAACCTCATTCTCATCAAGTAGCCACAGGTCCTTCTCCTCCCGGAATCAACTATAGGAAGTAATAAGCCTATGAATGTATACACAATGATGCTTTGATACGTACCATGCATATATTGTTACCGTTTAGTAAGATCTTAGAGAGCTTCGTATGGTTTCCAGAGTAGTCGCTGTCTCTAATTAGATTTTGCCCTAATCATGTGATATTGTGATATATCACTAGCAATGTACATACAACTCAGTTACATCCTCTAGGACCATGTCTATATGTTTCATTAGTTTGCATGGTACAGTGAAAGAAAGGACTGTGCTTTTTTTTTCAACTTACTGACGTAGTCGTCAAATCCCAGTAAGGTTCCGCTGAATTCTGGTGGTACACCTTGTCAGTCATGGCATGGTCTGGCCTAGGTACTTCAAGGCGCACGGATGACTATACCCTTATCACCTTTCATGATAACCCATATCCTAGAGCCGACGCACTTGTCGATGAGTTCTATGTTGTAGGTTAGCGTTGGCTATTTAAAATAAATGGTTTAACTAGAGATTTACATACCTAATGGTAGAAGTTGGGATGCCATCTTGATATATTGGTTTTTTTTAGTATCGAACAAGGAATATTGTTGTGAAAGTAGAAAGATGATGGATGTATGGATGGCCTTGGGCTAATAGCGTTTGCAGGTGGATTAGGTAAGTAGGCAAGTACATGTATTGGGTCGGAATAGAATAGGTAAGGACAAGAAAACCGATCACCTGATGACGGGCGTTTGTCGTGTAAAGAGATGACTCAGCAAAATTTAGCCTACAACTTCCATGTCCCCCTACCGGATTGACAACAAGCCTAAGTGGACCCTTAAAACTGACAGACCGACAGACCGATATTGAATTCGCCGAACTCGACTTAACTCACCTGCAGTTTAAGTATACTTGACTTAACTCACCTATAATTGAAGCACTAACCTAAGTACTTCTCCTATTTAAAATCAATTCCCACTTTCACTCGCTCATTGCGACGCGTCTGCCTAATAAGCATCTGCGCGATTCGCACTAAGCTACATGGTCATCATGGAGCAGTGTTATGATTCATGGGAGATAGTTAATTGCCAATGATGTCTTTTGGAGGTTCAGAGATCGCCGGAAATGCCCTGAGATCTTCCAAAGCCTTGCGCATGATACTTCCTTTGCGGTTCGTCCGTCCCTTTTAAACACTTATATACATGAAGACGAAAGGAATATTCTTTATTAACAATATTTCACCTATTTTAGCCCTTGGGCAGGACAGGCTTTGAGAATGACCGCCACACCACCTAAATCTCAAATATGGCACCCTGCTCGGGGTATTTCCTTCTCACCCGTTGCGCAGTCGCCAAACTTGGCGCCACAAGATTCAAATGACTTCGATGCTTCTCTGTATCCGAAATTTGAGAAGCTTCCGAGTGTAAAGCGCAAAACGCGGAAGTTGAAAGCAGTTACTCTCAATGCAACTGAAACTATAGATAAGAGTTCTTCTGATGCTGTTCTCACAGATGAGCAAACAGACTCATCAGAGGCAAAAGTCTCTGACGAACCTCCTGTTGCTACTTTGCCCTTCAAGATGGCGGATGACTTGTTCTACGCTGCTAAAAAGGCACCTGCTGGTACGGTTGCTTCATATTGGTCATATACCCAGTACCGGGGAATGGCACAAGATGGCACAGAGCAGAAGGTTAAAGTCCACTACTGTCGAAGCACCTATACTATGGAAAAGATCTGCAAGGAATACTTCTCGAACGAACAGATTCTTGGCTTCGATCTGGAATGGGCCGCCGACTCTTACAAGTGGGAAGGTCTCAAGAAAAATGTCTCTTTAATCCAGCTGGCGAGTCCCAGCCGTATCGGACTCTTCCACGTCGCTCTTTTCCCCGACAGAAGTGACATGGTTGGGCCCTCGTTCAGGGCTATTATGGAAAGCCCATATATTACAAAGGTCGGCGTTAATATTAAATCGGATGCAACGAGGATACGTAATTTCTTGAACATAGACTCGAAAGGACTCATAGAGCTAAGCCACCTTTACAAGCTCGTTACGTACTCTGCCGAAGGGCGGCACCGCGAAATCAACAAGAAACTTGTGCCCCTGGCAACCCAGGTAGAGCAATATTTACATCTACCCCTTTACAAGGGTCAGGACGTCCGGTCGAGTGACTGGACAAAACCTCTAATTATAGATCAAGTCACTTGTAAGTAATAGCCTTCCACCTTCTTACCTCCACGTTAACAATGTTTAGATTCCGCATCAGATGCCTATGCCGGATTACAGCTTTTCGCTACTCTTGACCATCACAGACAACAGCTCAACCCTTGCCCGCCTCCCCCATATCATGCAGAGCTCAACCTTCCTATCCGGCTAGCAGACGGGCTGGAACTATCTACGGATGACGAACCCATCGTTGACACGGTAGTAGAGACAGTCGTCGAAACCACTGCAACCGCAACCGTGAAATCCAAAACCACAGTCTCCAAACGGCCGTCGGCTCCAAAGGACTCCCGGGTCGAAATCGCCGAAGACCGCGTTGCGCGGTACCGCGCCACGCACCCCGAGGCGCTCGCATCCACCCCGCAGCTTCGCGCGTACTTCATGTGGCATAGCCAGGGCCTCGATCCGCGGACCATAGCGCAGTTACTACGAGACCCGCCTCTAAAAGTCAGCACGGTCACCGTCTACATACTAGCCGCGATCGAGCACGAGAAGCTGCCCGTAGACAAGGACCGGCTAAACCAGGAGATTGCGGGCATGATTTCGACGACCTCGGTGTGTTTGCGGTGGCCGCATGTCGCTGAAACCTTGGGTCTCGCGGAAGTGTCTGGCTGATTTGGCTGATTAGGTATATACGCACGCACGCGGTGACTCTTCTTTAGATGCTCGGGGATGATGGTTTTAGTGTTGAGATTCGTAGATAGATAGAACATCTGGAAAGAGGGGTTTTTATATACCAAAGGCGGAAACGTAGTTAGGTACTATTGGCGTGTATAAGTCGACCCCATACTCGATGAAAGTTTATCAATAGAACAACTATATCATGTCACAACTAATGTAGCCCTGGCCCTATGGCGTGGCTGATGAACAAATATGTCGAGGATATGTCTATCTTTCGTTCTACGTGATATGGTACATGTAGGTAGTTTGGCTTATAAATATCTACCTAGGTGCTTAACCTACCCGTTAACTTATCTTGTCTAAGTACCTAACGTAGTCGATATTACAGGAATAGTACCGTACACCTAAAGCCTAGAAGAGTCTCACTCGACGGATAGATTATACTGGCATATATACATACTACTCGTATTAGATCTAAGCCGGGGTATATATATAAGTACCTATGTATACACACCTAGATATTGTTCTAAACATCCATCTACGTTTTCCCTAGGTATAAATAACTGCCGTTCTTTACCATTCTCACCATCGCCTATCGCCTATCGCCCCTCGAGGTAACTTATTTGTTCACTCATCCACTTGCCTACTTTCCATAAAATAAACAAAAAGTCTTAAACAGGTAGGTACCTAGGTACCTAGTCAACGGCGAGCAAATCCCTCCCCCGATTAACCTGCACCATGCGATCCTCGCCACCACTAACGATCCCCCAACTGCGATCCCACGCCACACCAAACACCTTTGCCCCTCGGCCCGGTACGTCGCCGCCCTTAGTATTCGAACTACTGCTGCTGCTTTTCTGGCTCTCCCGCTCAATCACATACACGGACTCGCTGACCGCTCCCCCGCCCTCGGCCCGCGTGCCCGCGCGCGCGCCCCGCAGGTCCCAGATCCGACACGTGCCGTCGTGCGAGGCGGAGACCAGGCTGTACTCGTTTTCGGGCGATGCCGCGATGGCGGTAACCATGTTGCGGTGTCCGCGCAGCGTCATCACCGAGGTCGCGGCCGCGCCGGCCCGCGGGTCCGCAAGCGTGATGTGCCGCGCCGAAGTGCCTGCTGCGAGGAGCACGCTGTTGCCGTTGCGCCGGATGGCGCATAGCGAGAGCAGCGGGTGCGAGGTTGTGATTACGTTTTCGACTTTGCTGGTCGTTAGGTCGATGGTGCGGATCGTGTGGTCCTGGGATGCGGTGTACGCTACCGTGGCGTCGGCTGGGTCGAAGAGCGCGGCGGAGGCGGAGGTCGTGTGGGGTTGGGTTAGGGAGAGAGGGCCGCGTTGGGGTGCCGTGGAGGCGATTTTGCGCTTCTTGGAGGAGGAGACGTTGGCGCCGGGGAGGAGGCCTGCTGGGGCGGCGGGGGCGGCGGATTTGGATGTTGTCCAGAGGCCGATGGTGCCGTCGCTGGCAGCGGTTAGGATGCGTCCAGTCGGGCCGTGGACGTCGAGGGACTCGATGCCGGCTTTGTGTCCGTATAGCTCGAGTGTAGGCTTTAGAGTACCGGAGAGATAGTCATCAGCCTCGGTGTATTTCCATATGCGGACTGTACGGTCGAGCCCAGCTGACGCGACCTGCGACGCGGATATGAATTTCGCAGACTTGACGCTAGCGCTGTGGCCGCCAAGGCTGCTGGACGAAGAAGTAGCGATAACGTTCCCAGATTTATTCCATATCCTTAGCAGACCATCATACGACGCCGACAAAATCCGATCCTGGCCCGTAACAAACTTCCCACCGCTCCAGACACCCGCGCGCGAAGTTTCAGACAGAACATCGACATCGCTAACCCAATCGTCGTGCTCGAAGCTAGCCTGGAAGGAGGGCGGTATTAAGCTGCGAACGTACTGCACGGTGACTGTGGATTCGGCGGAGAGCCCGTTGGCCTTTAGGTAGTCCTCGAGCGAGGTGCGCAGGAAGCTACCGTTGATGAGGAAGTCGAAGGGGATAGGCGATGGGGTGTCGAGCATAGACTCGGAGTTGAGGACGCGGGATAGGCCATATCGCTTGATATCTGTGAATTAAGTTAGTATGATTTAGTATTATGATGAGGGGGAGTAAGACGGACCTGCTGGCACAAGCAATTGGGTTCGACCTTCAGGTAATTGAAGATCTGGAGATGTTGTGGTGAAATTGACCCGGATTTGCTGGGCCTCGGCCGCTCCTGGTTGGCCTATAGAGGAATCCATAGTACTCTTATAGCCGATGGACCTTTAATTGAGCGATGAGTTGTAATTATTCGAATTTATAAATGTAAAATTCGGGTGTTTATTCAAAACCGTCGATCTTTCAATTCTAGATCTTCAGCATAAAGTTGATGTTAATTCTGGAACTTTTTTTTCTTATCGATAGAATTGGGGAAATTTTCCCATTTAGCTTCTACCAGCCTTCCAGTACCCATGCTATCAGCCTTACCCCGCGATGCAGGGGTATCAGCCAATCAAAGCACATATAATTCCATGCTAATTAGCTGTTAGGTGCTATGTAGAAAGCCACTCTTAAACCAAGCCACAGTCAATTAACGCCAAAAACGCGTCTTCGTTCAGTGGACGCGTCTTTCTATGCATTTTCTCTAGAACAATTATTTCTCCTAAACCCAGGGCGAGGAGGATGTTAATCATAAAATCATCACGATGACTACGATAGATGATATCCCCGGAAACTTGCTCCGGAAGCCTTCGTAAGTTTTTATGATTCTTCAATTCACAATTCAACCAGATTGTAGATATTGACTGACAGTTCACAGGGGCGAGACGGGGGATGAGCTCCAAAGAGCTCCTTCAGATTACAAGTCACTGCACTCCTTCAGGCTTGATAAGGATAAGCCGTATAAGCAACAATTTGCCGATATGTATTTCCTGCGGCTAACTAAAATCAAGCCTGCTGTCGAGCAGCTCGCATCTGCTGCTTGGGATAACCAGGTTATGGTTATTGGTGAGGAGCCGGTGAGGAAGGCGGAACGGGTGTTAGATATTCGACAGGGCGAGTTCTGTTGGGTCTCGGGCACCGTCTACATGGATATGCCTTTAAAACCCAATATCCTCGAGGATGTCTCTAAGGATGTATGTGATCGAATATCCGAATTATCTAACCTAAGGTCTAATTCTCTTTAGCGATGGCTCTCAGCCCCCATCTCAAACAAAAAATACTACTCAGACGATGGCTCCGACGCTATCACCCTAGAAGACGAGTCCGGCCGCATACGCCTCGTCGGCAACGTGCTTAACTCCGTACTCCTTGTGACTGGATGCATCATTGCCGTCATGGGTACCGAGAACGCGAACGGCGAGCTCGAAGTCATGGACCTGAAATTCCCAGATCTGCCCCCGCAACCGGAACGCCGGGCGTTATTTAAGTCGCCCGCAGGCGCCAAAAGTGATGCTACAAAGGGAAAAACCAAAACCAAAGCCAAAGCCAAACCTAAAGACGAAAATACCAAGATAACAGACGCCGAGACGACAGACACCGAGATGACAGACGCCGAAATAAGAGAGGCCGAGATGATAATCGCCGATACCAAAGCCAGCGGGCCCAAAATCGCTATCGTGTCCGGCCTAGGCTTCTCCGGCAGCGACGCCTCACACGCAATTGAGCTAAATCTACTCCTCGAGTTCCTACTAGGCGAGTCACTCGACCCCTCGGCGCAACAAGAGGTATCCCAAATAAGCCGGCTGATCATCGCGGGTAACTCCATCTCCCTCGAGGAGCGACGTCCCGGCGCCGACGAAGACCTAACCGACAAAAAAGCACACAAAAAGTACGGCTACGACAGCAGCGCATACAACGCCTTGCCATCCCAACTCCTCGACGAGTTCCTCTCCGCATTACTACCCTCGATCCCCGTCACCCTACTCCCCGGGGCCCAGGACCCCGCCAACGCGAGCTTCCCGCAGCAGCCCATCCACCCGGCCATGTTCCCGCTCTCGCGCCCCTACACGGCACCGCCTACGGCTACGGATGCCGAGCCCGGCTGGTTCGACAGTGTGACGAATCCGTGGGAGGGTGAGATTGACGGTTGGCGGGTTCTCGGGACGGGGGGCCAGAATATCGATGATATATTCAAGTACGTCGATAGCAATGATCGGCTGGGCATGATGGAGGCGACGTGTCGGTGGAGATGCAGTGCGCCGACTGCGCCTGATACGCTATGTATGTTTTTTTCCCCTTCACTCTTAACCCTATCCCCTATCCCTATCCATACCAGGATTCCCTTTCTTCCTTTATTCCCCCCCTTCTTCAAAGGCTAACCAACCACTCTACAATCTCCAGGGAGCTACCCCTTCCAAGACGACGACCCATTCGTCATGCAAACATGTCCGCATCTATATTTCGCCGGCTGCCAGCCCGAGTTCGGCACCAAAGTCATACAAGGCCCAGAAGGGCAAACAGTGCGGCTCGTTTCCGTGCCGTCCTTTGCAGATACCCAAGAGATAGTGCTGGTGGATACCGAGACCTTAGACGTCACCAAGGTCAAGATTGCTACGGTCTAGGAGGCCGAGGCCGAGGCCACGGCCACGGCCCGAGCGTGATGTTTACCTATCTACCTAGGCACGCTAAGATTAGAATGGGGACGACTTGAGGAGGAGTCTCCGGAATAGAAAGCTCTTGCCAATGATATCCGTATATAGTAACCATGGCTAAAGGGCGAGAAATCCAAGGATATTCACGCGTCGAGCTTAGTAATTATTTATCATCTAACTAGGAGAATTTAGGGGTAACTTCAATGAAGGTTATTATAAGAATCAATTAACCCCAGCGCGAGGCAGGACCGTAAGTTTACCGAAAGAATATATTTATCAGGCCCAAGCCGTAACATGAAATCAACGTATGAAATTAATGCATGCAAAAAAGTAACGCATTGTGAGAGCTACATGATATATACCCATAAGCACTGTAGGTCTGAATACATCGCCTCAAGCTCTTCTAAAATCTCCTAATTCATCTCGACTTCCTCCCTACTCAGATCTGAATCATCAGAAGTTTCCGACTCGTCGTCTTCGGAGATCATCCTAACCAACTGTTCCCGTGTATATTCGGGCCTAACGCTCGAGTTTCTCGATCCTGGAGACGAGACGGACTCGGAGGGTTCGGTCCAGTCGTCTGGCAGTTGCTCCATATCCATGCTATCTATTTGTCGCCCCCTTTTCTCCTGTCCGAGGAACTTCCAGGGCTCGGATTTCATACTATCTCTTTCCTCGGGGCAGAGTATGGCTAGCATTTCGATGGCCATTTTCAGCATGTACACTCGCGACTTCGCACTTTTGACCTGCTTCTTAAAATAGGCCTCTGCGCCCTCGGCATCCTTGACTGTGACTTCGTTCTTATCCTCCCGCGCCTGTTTCTGCATGTAGTGGCATCGAAGATTGATTATGTTCTCGTACAAGTTCCCGTCGCTATCTGTGGCTAGGATGCGGAGGTATTGGACGTTGAGAAGCATAAGCGAATCTCTGGTAGTGGTGAAATGGTTAAATAACTTCGTGGCAGGCACCTCGTTGGGATCCTCGACGAAATCGGTAAAGCCCATGTTCTTCACTTGTACCGCCGGTATTTTGAGCGTCAACGTGTGGAGATGTGCTGGCTCGGCTAGACCATGACCAGGAACGAACTTGCGGATAGCATTGCAGAAATTGCTAATCACTGTACTGTTTAAGCGGTTCATTGGGACGCTGATCTTGATGTGGCGCATCAGATGTCCATACTTATCAATGGGTATCTTGTCCTTGAGAAATACGCGGCCCATGATTTTTTCGGTCATCTCCAAATAATCAGGAGGATCGCGAATGTCGTAAAGGAAAGTGTTCTCTCCAAATAGGATACGAAGTCCTTCCAACCATAAGGTACGACACGTGTAGAGGATTGCAAGGTCTAGTTTGGGTCCCCTACGTCCGTAGACTCGGGTCCAGCCCCTGAATACGGCAATATCACGGGGAGAAATCAGGATGTACCTTAAGATTTCGTCGCGAATCTCGGTAGGGACGCAACCGAGGGTACCTGTAGCTCCAACGGGGGTCAAGTCCTCAAGTTTGAGGGCGTCAAGAGAAGGTGGCTGCTCTAACCCTTTATCTTTCTCCCAAGGCAAGAGGCGCGAGACCATCTTTTTGTCCCCGTCTTTGAAGATTTTGGGACGCTTGCTCCTATCATGATCGTCGTAGGCCATATTGGCTGAACGTTTTCGGTTTGTCCTTTGGGTCATGGATAGTACTAAGAGATCATCGTCGGGGTGAGTTGGTAGTTCGACCTTTTCAGCTTCGCGGCGAATTCGACGCTCCTCCCTCGCACGAGCAGCTTCCTTCTCAGCAGCCCTTTCCGCGGCCTTCTCGGCTCTCCTTTCTGCAGCGGTAGGTCCATTTCGTTTGCGCGCGCCACGGCCAGGAGGAGCAGTCTTCCTGATCGCTTTACGTTTTCCTTTGCTGGAAGGGTCTAGCTTTTTAAGAGGCATGTTGCTTGTAACCATAGTTAGTCGAATGCAAAAGAGGTATGTAGAGACGGAAACAGCGTAATACGTACACGTGAATGTCGAATATGCCGTAGTAATGTTGTCCGAATGATGCCGCGTAGAAATGAAACAGATTACTAGAATGATTCACCGAATAAATACTTAACTAGGCTGGCAGCAAGTGTTTATAAAGATTAACGAAGGTGTCTCGGCTCCCTAAGAGTTCAAATGACAACGTATTGGCCCTAGTAGGAGTGAGATACCAGGGCAAAAAAAGGGAAACTCCTACGCTACTTGATAACTGTGGTTATAAGTAGAAGTTAAATTCGAGAGGTAGTAGGATGTGAAAGGTGAAGAAGGACAAGGTTGCAAGAGTGATAAAGGCATACGGAATAATAAATATGTTTGATAGAAGTTAGGACTATTAGCTGCTACCAAGGCTATCGTCGACCGGTAACAGCTACCAAAGTTGAATTATACTAAGTAACGAATACTAAAAATGATGATTTTTAAACGTTGCTTCCTTCTTAATACCTTCGTACACACACCCTCTAACACGTAGGTACTTAATGAACTATTCGGCTAGAAATTACATGAATGCTATATACTTAACACATTTGCTCTGCTAATAATGTTCAACCCGATCCAAGGCCCCCTTTCTCGCTGGAAACCCTTGTGGGAGTAGTTGCTATATGATATGGTATATATTATCAGTATGTATTAGAAATTAGTTGTTATGGGATATCTATGTTTGAGTTTGATCGTATGTTCCAACTATGATCATTGTCAAAGCAGTTTTTGATCACCTTCCCTACTTCTTACTACGCCCTACACGTATATAGAATACACATGTGGTGTATTAAGCGTCAGTACGTCTCTTAAAGAACTTTTCCTCGAGCCATCTCAAACTCAAACTTATTTAGAAAAGATTACGACACATTTAATAATGTAAATATGTATATAATTTAACAAATATAGCCTCAAGATCTGACTAGGACAGAAAGTGATATAAAACCATTTATAACAACTGCCCTGCCCTTTCTATTGTAAGTAGTTCCATACCTAAAGCCAGTAAGGAATACAATAGTTGCTATTTATAAGTCGTAGTTAATACTGAGCTATGCTTTATACATGGTAATATTGCGGAGGGCTAAGGCAATGCTGGTCTACTTGATTCCTTCATTTTAGAAAAAACTCGAGTCCAGCCCCCTTTAAGTAAAACCAAGCTTTTTACAATTTGTAGCTACCTATATACAGTGGTAAATATACAGGGAGCAACAATACTAGGACTAAAATAAATAAGGGCTTTCTCTACATGTAGGTACGTTTATATAATTCGAGATACTTAGGTACGTACCTTTTATTAGATCCCTGTCCACGGCTTCTACCCACACCGCAGCAATGGTAAAGCTTGAACAGGTGTGGGGCAGAGCTAACGGCCAGCGTTAAAGATTTACTGATAAGATAACTATACCTATAACTTTTTTTTTCTTGAACTTTCGCGGCATGCAGCTTCTCACGATCCGATTTAATTGGTCGGCACCTGCTTCTATCCATTTACTTATATTCACCTTCTCCCGTCGTTATTTGTTCTTTCTACCCAAAACAATTGTTTTCGCTTCAATTTAACTGTGCAGCACTGTGCAATTATAGCAAGATGGCCAAGGAACGAGTTGAGAAGCCCCACAAGAAGGCTGAAAAGCCAGAGAAGAAGGTCTCCAAGGACAAGGTGAAGAAGCAGAAGAAGGAAAAGTCGAAGCGTGTAGAGACGCCCGAGGACTCTGATAATGAGTCCAGAAAGCTAGAAGATACCCCGGTAGCAGCTGAGGAATCTGTGAGTATTTCTTCTCTGCAAGACTTCCGTCAATGCAAGACTTACCGTTGGGTTCTAGTCGGCCGAGTCTGAGGTCAAGCCTAAGAAGGAAAAGAAGTCCAAGAAGGCCGCCCTCGAGAAAGCAGTAGCCGAGAGCGCATCTAACGGCACTAAACTCCCCGTGCGCCCCACCGTCAAGGACTCCGATTCCTCTTCCGATTCCTCGGACGATGACGACGACGATGACAACGGCCCAGCTCTCTTCACAATCGACACGAAGCCCACGCCCATCGACCCGAACTCCATCCCGCAAAAAGCCTACGCAGCAGACGAAGACGACAAGATGTCTCTCTCGGACGGCGACGGCGGCGAATCCAAGGGCCCGAAGAAGATGAAGCCGCCCACGGGTCTAAACCGCCAGGCGCGCCGCCGCATCCGCATCATCGAGAAGCAGCGCGAGAAGATCGCCAAGGAGCTCGGCGGCGCGACCGCGGCCGCCGACGAGGTCCAGGCCAAGCTGGACAAATGGGTCGAGGATTACGACAGCAAGGCGGCCGCGCGCATCGAGAAGAAGCAGCGCCGCAAGGACAAGGAGGCCGCGCGCATCCGCAACAAGAAGGGCAAGCTTCTGACTGGACGCCGTCTCAAGGAGCGCAAGAAGGTGCTTGATAAGATGGATAAGAAGGCTTCTAAGAGACAGGGTCTGTCTGCGCAGAATGTGGCGTGATGACCCATCTACTTCTTTAGGTTTGGAACAGGTACCTACTATAGCCGGGGACATCTCTTCCCGGAACGATTCCGAGGCGTTGGGCGTGGAAATGTTAAAAAAGCTTGTTTTGCTGAGGTCGTCTAACTATGCATGAATTTGCGCTTTCTACAGTATGGCACTTGTTTTCAAGGTCATCAGAAACGTATGAACTGCATTTGCTACCTACGATGGTTCATTTATGACTTCTCGAGATTACGGCATGATTATGGATTATGAGCAGATTCCAAACAAGGTCAAAGATGCTAGGTCATAGTTCTTTTTTTTTTTTTTTTTTTAAACAGAGATGCGTCGTTTTATTCGTTCAGATTTTTATATGCCTGGGTCCCTTCCCGGAAAACCCGTGATAAAACTCCAGTCCACTATGCTCCCCCATATATGTATGTATGCAGATCTCGTAACGTACAGCTAGCTTGTTCTTTAAGTCCGTGGCTATTCTCATAATCCAATCAAGGCTTCTTCGACTCGCTCTCCTTTTCCTTCTCCTCATCGCCATCTTTCTTTTTCTTCCCCTGATTCCACACCTCAGAAACCTGATCCGCAATAAGACTCCAGTACCCGCCGCCGCCCTCGCCCAGCGCCTCCTTCTCCCTCTGATCCCTCTTCGCCTTCCAGTCCTCACCACTATCGCCCATCCACACCCTCTCCAACAGCCCCTTCTCCCCCTTCCGCCGGTGTTCCTCCAACATCCTCTTCTGCTCGTCGGTAAGCCCGTCTTGCGCCCGTCGCGCGCGCTCGGCGCGCAGCCGCGCCTGCATCTCCTTGGCCTTTTCCGGCAGCTCGGCGCCCGACATTTTTTCTAGGCGCTGCGTCATGCGCCGCAGGGACGACGTGCCGCTGTAGTCGGCGACGAGCTGGTTCGTGCCCCACAGCGCGACGCCGCCGAGGATCAGGGCGCGCAGGTCCAGACGGCGCGGCGGCAGGAATAGCGCGAAGAGTGCGATGGGGGTTACGCCTAGCGCGACGTTGTGGACGAAGGGGTTGATGGGAGGTTGTGGGGTGGGCGTGGGCGTGGACGTGGGCTGTGGTGGTGCCGCGGATTGCGGTTGTGAGGGCGAGGACGCCATTGCGTACCTAACCTAACCTAATGTGTGTATATGTGTATATATATGGTTTTTCGTCTCAGGTCTAAGCGATTGGCTACCTATGTATCAGTCGTTAAGGTGAGGGGGATGTCGGGATGGCGGGACGGCACGAGCGAGGGGTTATGATGCGACTCTCGGAATTGCGGGCTCGTGGAGGGGGTTCAGGGGTAAAACGTCGATATGGTTCTCTAGCTGAGAGGTAAAATTAAACATTGAACGCCTTGCCGTTTTTTCTTTCGGGAATTGGTCAAGTATGTAGGTCTCTGTCCTCGGTGAGTCTTGCGGTTTAAACGGAGCTTTGGAATGGGAGACGATGTCGGTGGTAGAAACAAATTCTACATAGCAAGCTCAACTTTTTTTTCTGCAGGGACCGGGATCGCTGTTATCTGCTCTATCTAATCAAAGCTAGCGGAACTGTACCTAATGTACTGGAACATGCCGAGAGCCGCGTTATAGCATGTAATTGGTTCGTAAAAGGTAAGTATTTCGGACATTGCAATATTGAAGTCTTGTATATTTTATGTATTCGCTACTTACTTACCTATGTAAAGATCGAGTCGCATCGCCGGATACGATGAGACACAGCATTCATCAACCGAGACAGTAACATCGGACGAAACAGAACCTACCTTGAAATTATCAATAGGCAAAGAGCCGCATCCTTATTGTCATATCGAGTCATCTTCCTAGCTCTATTCAACCAAGTTGCGTCTATGTTGTACGATAGCAATCACTTTCCTATGAGTTACCACGAGAGCTTTCTGAGCCTACCAGTTTAAATGTCTTAGTTCCTTTGATCCATGCTGGTTGAATCATAATAGTGGTACGATCAACATTGGACATTGTCACTATATTCTCTGCACGTTACGGCGGCGCGCCTAAGTAAACAACGTCAACCTCGAGCACAGCCACGATATCTAATACGTCAATTGGCGAAGTTTGAGTGATAATATCGTTACCAAGGTAGTAGGTAGCTTATGAGTTTAGGTATCCATTATCGTAAGGCAGATTTTTTATGAAACGGCGGACGCTATATGACGATGAATGCAAGGTATATTTGATGTAGGTATAAATGTTACTTTTTATTTCGTGCAGGTGGAAAGTTTAGATCTGAATTAAGGTCCAAACATGAATGAATGAAAGGCCGCATTGTGGGTCCCGCTTAATGGGATTTTTCGGACATGTCCGGGTGCTACTGCGCCTTGCTAGCGGTGATTCTTATCTGTTCCATCTACCGACTCTTCGGTGGCCTATCGACCGTTAGCTTCTGCGGAAAAATACACAAAAAGTCGGTCACCACTGGTCAGCCAAGAGCGGGAAAAAAGCGGGGACGTTCCATTATCTAGGATCGCGTGGCTGCACAGAAGCTTAATAGCTCCCACTTAGTGAAGAGGCTGAGCCGACATAATTTCATCATTTCCTCCATTACCTACCTCGGCTTTAGATCAATGCCCTACGTCTTGAAGTAAAGTAATGTGAGCCTCTTAGACGACATCATTTTACATATGATTATAACTGTCATTATTATGCAAGCATCATTGCCAATGGCGATGTTGTACTATACTCTTGCTTATCTACGGTTCGGATTTTGTCCTAATAATGAGCACAAATTTGTTATCCAGGGTTAAACTGCGATCACCTAACAAATTAGACTCTAGGCGGGGTTTTGTTGCGCCGATGTACTATATGTCGCTGGCTGTTACAAAATCTTAGTCTGGTGGTCTTAGAATTGGGGGCGGCCTAAGAATGTGGTCTCGCTACGTTTTAGATGCTAGGGTTGCAATACCAGCAGAGCGGAAGTAAGTCGATTTGATCTCGGTACTACGTTGATAGCCTATCTGAGTCAGATTTGAGGGCCCCCTGATTATGACCCCCGGACATCATTCTCCAAGGACATAACATGTAATTGGAATAGCGTCGGAAGACTATGTATGCGGGGTGTTGTACTACCATTCTAAAGGGCCGAAACAATTGCGAGTTTCTTTCTTTTGAGGTGTCGTTGACGCGTAAACAATAACTATAGTAAGACCGTCATATCGTTGCGAAGGGTTTGTGTAGTAGAACGAGTTGGTGTTGTCCTTTATTATGTATTATCTTGTGAGATATGAATAGACTTTACGTCGTTAAATGTAAGGATGGGTATGAACATTCTGGTTTCGCCGATTATCGACTTTGATATCTTAGTAACCTAGATATTAAAGGTATATGTGGTAATCCGAGGAAGCAATGCCAATATGTGCTAGTGTGGAGGCCTAAACCTGTGAAAATTCTGCTATTCGCGCCTAGACTTATTGCGCTTGTGCAAGCTTCACAGGCTTAGTTTTATTATTCGAGCCACGTCAATGTGAAATAATAAATATCACCATTGGCTGCTGCGGCTAAGAGTCTTGGCTAAGGGTTAGGTAACCATTAGACAAGCGGGGGAAAGAGAAGACATTGGTATTACGGATTACACACACATGATATTGTGTAAGTGTGTAAGTCACTTCTTGTAAACGCGATACTTCATACGGTATACAATTTTACCGCAATGCTAATATCGAAATCTCCCAGGAACAAGAGGAATCGGACAATCCCTTCTGCATTAAGATCGACGACGTGCGATTTGTCGATTTCATCCGATGAGAGACAAGACGTAGAAGAGGTTCGGCGAATTCATGTCGCTGTCGGCCTATTTTCAAGTGTAGAAAAAAGCCCCCAAATTTGTATATCGAAAAATTTACGCCGTTTTCTCTCTCGGCACTCTTTTGATTGGGTGGTTGTAGTATCGTTTAACGGCAGCCATTCCTCTTAATTGTAATTTTATAGTTGGAGTGCTGTTGAACTTCTCGGGCCTTGATTATGCATGAGATACAAAATCTAATCAGTGCTCTTCCATAGTATATGGTGGCGGCCTCCCCTTGATGCATGTAGACACTAATGCAGTCTTCCGTAAGGAACACGGGCGAATCAAGATATTAGACGTGGTTGCACTATAGGGCTGATGAACCGAGAATGAAGAGGTCTTCCGCATTGGCGTAAAAGATGAGACGACTTTCACACCCTGCATGCGCTACCCTTGGCAGTGATGAATTTGGTGGATAACGATTGGTCTCAGCGTTATAAGTCTGCAGTCAGATGGACCACTAAGGAGATCATAGCTCTCTCGTAGGGCTGAATTGGTGGGTACGAATATAGTACTTGGGACCACATCCGCTACTCTTGGATGATGATATTCTACAATATACGGGCCGGCTCCGCGAGCGAATGGGTGATGTTAACATCTTCTAAAAGGGTTGGTAACACTTCAATTAGAAGGTCATAAATCAAGGAAGAATGAGGGAGCAAAGTTACTGCAGCACTCATCACTTTGCAGTATAGACCGATGCTCCCAATTAATGATTCGGTTGAAGTGGTGTAGAGTTGTGTATCGAGAGTGGAGGATAAGATGGGATGAGATGATGATCATGCCCAAGCTCTTAGCTATCGGTAGTGTAAGTGGTATGTAAGGTAAATAATTAATTGGGGTCGGAGCTAAATAGCTCTTTGGTTGTTATATGATTGTGTGGGTGCATTTAATCGAGGCATAGTTCGTACGAGCAAATAGAAGAGAAGGTAGGTAAGGTACTAACGACATCAAATGCATACCTCATGTACGTATTACTTCGAGCTTTAGATACATGTAGGTACTGTGGGGGATTGGAAGGAATGACCGAGGTTTACCCTGAGTGTAACTCAGTTTGGCTGAGCCCCGGTTGTACATACTAGACTAGAAGAATACAACTTCTTATTGAATGGTAGATTAACCTGTTACAGTACCTGTTAATTAGTTTACATATCCCCAGATTTTTAAAAGAGAACAAGGGTCTTTATTGAAAGTTGCTAGAATTAATTATAATTGGACGATGTGAATTTTTTGATTTGATGAAGTAAATATGGGGAGGCAGTTTATACCTATCAACCTTTATAAAAAGTTCTAGCCTAGGAGTTCTTTATTTCGACTTATTGTAGCTTGGTACATCCGATTGCAGCATCTTTGACTTAAAGAGGGCTAAGACTTGGCGACAATTGTACCCCGATTATGTCAGGCGGAGAAGAGCATGTACTGATGACGGTGGTATGATGTCTAGTAGTCTGAGGCTTGCTGATCTTGTCAAAGTAAACTCAATTGTTCACCTGCAGCAGGTCCCTGTCTTCAGCCAGCCGTCTTTCAGCCGACATATCACGATATTTATAAAGGACCTAATTTATATACATACTAGGTACAATTTTATCGTACTTGGTATCGATTGAATAGAAACGCGATAATTATAATACTTATATAATCATATAATAAATTTGTATATGGTATATAAATGTGCTGTGCCTTAAGTAACGATGCTAGGTTAAATACCTTAAGTACCTTGTAACCGGATAGGTTAGGTAGGTCCCAGCCTTACGGATAGACGTGGAATCGGGCATATCGGTCGAAAATGAAGACCGGCTCAAATGGATGTCTCTTAATATGACAAATTATCGATAATGCCTTGCAGGCTTAGGAGGTACTTACCTATCCTTACCGAGCATCCTTACCGGCAAGTAGCTCCAGCGCGTGTAACATAAATACGTTATGTATGTCTAAAGTACCAAAGCAAAAGACAATCCGCATAAGGTATGCATCAATACTTGCACAGCATTTTTGATAGTGTCTTGGCCGGTCATTGTTATTGGTACATTTTCATATATTTGTCTAAAGTTTTAGACCTTTGATGTTCAATGTATCTTGGTAAGTATCATAAGTATTTTTTGGTTAGTTATCGAAGTATTAGGTAACCGTACATACCTAGTACATCGGTGGGCAGGCTGGGCCTACATGTACGTGCTTACCGCATATGAGGCAGGTACTATGTAGGTAGGCATGTAGGTAGTAGAAATGATGTATATACAGAAGCTGTGCCGCAATCTAAGCCCCCAAATTTTCCAATCCAGATCACCCTAACTTTTTTAATGTAGACATGCCATACTTGCCTAGCTTTTTGCTAGAGAACCCTCCGGTAAACTCCCCCCTTGCCCCTCCGGTTTAGAACTAAACCTTACCTTTAGAAATACCCGTCCATCGGCACCCATATCTCCATCTCAATCTCCATCCCGTCCGCTCACTCCACCAAAAAGGTCCAAGAACGTGCAGAAACTTATAGCCGTTCATCTCAAAGGGATAACTAAATACACGCTCTCCTTTTTTTCTTCTTCCCCTTCTTCTATCTTGTTTACCTTTTTGGTCACACAAAATATATTCTTTTGATACCCTTCCAAAAAAAAAGAGTCTGCTTGGACAACTCAAAAACGTATATATTAATTTTAACTTATTCGCCATATTTAGTTTCATTCCTGTCGGTATACTCAAACGGTCAATGCTTCCTCGGTTCCTCCTTATTTGATCCTGCTACAGCTCCACCGCTACCACTTCACGCGTTCTTAGAATCGAAGCGCGCTTAAATACGCCCCTTTAATAAGGAAGCGCCCTCGTTCTTACTTATTCTCTGTGTTATATTTCGGATTGGCCCCCTTTGCGTGGGCTCTATCATGCAATCGGCCGTACCTGATTTTTTCTTTTCAGGAGTGATTGAAGCCCCCGGAGATAAGATGAGCACGAGCAATGCTCCACGGCCTAGACTGGCCATGTCCTCGGCCGATACGACCCAGGCTCAGGAACGGCCACCGAGGAGATGTCGTACCAGCAAGCCGAAAGTCAAAACAGGTTGCAATAATTGCAAGTACGTGTTTTCTGTTAAAACAAAAAATATCAATTTTTATATGTTATATTTTATTTCATAGTTGCCAATGTGTGGTTATTAGCTGTATCTTGTACATCATGCTAAGTAGGTGCTCTGCAATTATAGACAACGACGTATTAAATGCGACGAGAAACGGCCAGCATGCACTCAGTGTGTTCGGTCTAAGAGGAATTGCACCGGCTATCCGCCTCCTCCGCGGAGTGAACACACGAGACTGATTGCGCCTGCGCCTAGTACTATCACCGGTCATGCTAATTCCATCACGTCAACGGACCGTGTCATCCGGCCGGTCCGGACCCAGCCTCAACCGCGGCCAGTGGTCGCGATGGCACGACCGGAACCTCAGCAGCAGCAGCTGAGCGCTAAAGGCTTTACTCCCCCGCAGACACCCGTATCTAGTTCATTAACAGTTCATCGGCCGTCTCTGCTCACCTTTGATCCGATAGAAGGCCCGTATTTTCAAATTTTCAGAGAGCGTACGGCTAGTGAGTTGTCGGGATTCTTCGACTCGTCTTTCTGGACAAGGAGTGTTTTACAAGAATGCCATTCCGAGAAAGCTATTCGGCACTCAGTTGTCGCTTTAGGGGCTCTTTACAAGACACTGGAGAAAATGTCAGAGTCGCCGCCCAATTCGCCAGCTCCTATGATCGATCTGACAGATAATGCGGCCCGGCACTGGGAGGTCGCCTTCAAGCATTATTCATTGGCTCTGAATTCGATGTGGGTCATGACTTCTCAGGACCAAGCGTCGCAGAGGATGAGTCTCATGGCGGCAGTGTTGCTGGCTTGCTTTGACTCGTTCATCGGTGACCATAAACAGGCGATCGGCCAAATCCAAAGCGGTCTCCGGCTGCTAGAAAATCTGCGTGCTCAACGTAGAAATTCTTTCCTTCCTAAACCTGAAGAGCCGGTTGAACAGGACCTTGTTCAGATGTTCACTCGGTTGGCCATTCAGGCGAAATCTTACGACATGGCTTTCCATTTCCCTCAACCATTCGTTATACGCCTTACTCCACAACACACCGAATACCCCATGTCCCCCCTCTCCGATGGGGATTCACCAGCGTTAACAGCCCAACCGCAGGCTCCAGAAATATTTCAATCATTACTCGAAGCGAGAATGGCATGGGATAATCTATGCGAGCAGATGATGCGGTTTACAGAAAATCTATTCACATTCACGACAGCGATGAGCCCCATGGGCGTGCTTCCAAATTCTTTAAGACAGTATGGTACGGGCTTCGCTGATAGAATATCCGCCTGGTCCAGGGCTTTCGAACCTATATTGTCATCTCGTATAATACCCGCCAAGAGTAGCCAAGAGAAAACCGCAATCGCAGTTCTGAAAATGAATCAAATTATGGGCGAGATTCTATTTTATATGACATTTAGTGATACAGAACTTCAATTCGATACATACCTACCACAGTTTAAGGATATTGTTAACCTAGCTGTGGAGGTTGTCGGAGATGAAGAGCGCAGGGCTGCTGCCAAGCGATGTCCGAATCCGGAATTTTGTCATCATCAGCCAACTCATCCAGACGCCTTTGGCGGACAGTACACAGCTCGGCATATCAAGCCGAGCTTTAGCGCAGATCTGGGCATCGTCCCTCCTCTTTTTGTTGTTGCCACGAAATGTCGAGATCCCGTGACCCGGCGCCAGGCTATACAGCTGCTGCGAACTAGCTCGCGAAGAGAAGGTATGTGGGATAGCGAGCTAGCGGCTCGTATAGGTATGTGGATTATGGAAATAGAAGAGAGCGATGACGGCGCCGATGACTTCGGACGTCCTACGTCGAGCTCAACCGATATGAGCAGACTTTCTACAGGAAGCCCTAGCGCCCTAACTGCTAGATCTCCTAGCATTGGAAACGATATTCCCCTTGGTCCCGGCGGTAATGCCCGCTGGACAGGTCGGAGGGAGAGTGTACCGATATCACCGTATGTGAGGAGGGCTATACCGGAAGAAAGGCGTGTTATGGTACGGGCTGTCGAGTTCGATCTTCGCGAACGTGTTGCAACGATTCAATGTGGTACACGAGGACTGATTCCCGGCATGCTGGACCCGCGAACACAAGCCACTAGGATCGAGTGGTGAACATCTATTTCTTTGCTTAACTACCTACCTAAAACGATACTGCAAAGTAATCAAAAGCTGGTCTAACTTGTGTACACTACCTTGTCTGCCTCCTAGAGGGGTTTCACTTCGATTTGGATATTTGGATTTACTGGCAGGACCATTCGTTAAACACTACAAGGCTGGTTACGAGAAGAAGGAAAAGAGAAATGATTAATGTTGGAATGCTAGGATTGCAGGCAACAGGAAAATGATATCGTTTCCCAAATATCTATCTGTATTGTTGTTGGTGCTATAACTTAGGCTTTAAAGGGGTTCTATTTGATGTCGACATTATGTGATATCATAGAGAAGAATAATAAGGCTATTAACGTCTGGTGAGATGTATAAATTTTGGATGCATACCTGCCCAGGTAGGTAGGTATTAATTAAGTACCTATATTCTACCTATATCCTAATCGCAAGTTGTATGTTACTCAATAAGAAACGCCGTAAACGTAGATCCTATAGGAATCATAGGTAAGGTATTTAATTATTAAGTCCTTATTACTTCATGCAGTTGCTGACATATCCCATTTGAGTTGACGTATGCAAGACCTGCCTATTTTTAACTGTTAGAATTTAAAACATTTACCTAATCCCTAGTCATAATCCCTAACCCAGTCTGAACCTTAATCTATCTACTATGCATATGTGTATAAACTATAAAATCTATCAACTTGTTACATTTTCTTTTTACCTTTCCCCCTTCAATCTTTCCTACAAAAGAGAGTAAACGAATAATACAAATTGCCAACATCCCCGTATTTCAATTAGATTGATTGGTCATCGCACGTGCCTAGAATGCCGCGCACTACAACTGCGGCTCAGCAAAATACTACGGACCAAAAGAAGGCTATGATTCGCTTCATCTAACCAGGTTCACGTAATTATCTAGAAACCACATATTGCTCTGAAATGCGAACTTAGCCCTGCTCGCTAATTTTTTCGGTTTTTCGCAGGTACATAGTATTAAAATCATCTTCGGGATCCCTCGGGTTTAACTTAATTATTTCCACCCAGCATCTTCCATACGGATAGAACAAAAATACAATATGCAAGCCGGTGCTTTCAACGGCACAAGCGGCGACGAACCCGCGGGGTCGTCGGCAGCCGGAGGTATCGGAGCAAATGGGCATACAAAGCGAACGCGAGTCTTGCTTAGCTGTGCGCCTTGCCGCAACTCTAAGCTTAAGTGCGACCGCACAACGCCGTGTGGTCAATGCATCCGGAAGGGTAAGCCCGAGGGTTGCCTCTATGCTCCGAGACCTGAAAAGCCGAAACCAGCAAAGAGTATGGCTGCACGTTTAAAGAGACTCGAAGGGAGTACGTATACATGTCCTGGGGTTACACACGCCCGGTCATCTCGCCCCTTTCTGTTCTTAACTATTAATTTAATATACTACTTACGTGATCTATTCTATATTCCTTCCTACTTTCTCGTCTTTCATATCCTGAGAGTACTATATCCGAAATAGTCTAACCAAGAAAATAAGTAATATCTTACTAAGACCCTGCTATAGTGGTTCGCGGTATGATCGAAACGGAGGGTTCTACACCAATAGTTCCTACGGATAAGAAGGCAGGACAGGAGCAGAGTGCCGGTGGACTCGTTGTTCAGGGTGAGAAAGCTACAAGTTACGTCGGTGGTACACATTTTATGGCTATTTTAGAGGACGTGAGTGCTGCCCCTTCTTTGAATCGCCTACAGCAACGTATTAGTGACCGACTTCACGTATTAGATCGAGGATCTTAAAAGCTACTTCGAAGACCCACTCGATGATGGCGACGAGATCTATGATCCGTATGAAAATACCGGACCAAATGAACTCTTGATGTTCTCGCGGGGCATCCCTAGGGATAAGTCGGAGCTACTAGCCCTCTTGCCAGAGAAAGCTGTCATTGACCGTCTGATGAATCGCTACTTCAACTCTAATAGCCCTTCTCAACGTGAGTTCTTCCAAAAGAAACTCTTTTATCTCGAGTAGACTTATCTTCCATTATGATTTCATTGCTTACTTTTTAAAGATATTATTCACATCCCTACGTTTCTGAGAGAATACACCGAATTCTGTAAAGATCCTGACCGGGCACCTCTTAACTGGATAGCTATGCTCTTTATGGTTTTGGCACTCGGCGTATTCTTCTCTTCATTTGCCGCGCCGCATGAGCTTGCGAGTGATTCTCCTATGCCGGTCATGGACAGGTTCAAGCAGTACAGAGGTGCCGCTGGGTGGGCTCTGATTTGGGGGAAGTACTCTCAACCGAACTTTTATACACTTCAAGCATTCTTATTATACGTTGAGGGGGATTTCATGACGAATCGCGATCATCGTATGCATTGTTACCTACTTTCGTCCGTCTTGATTCGACTTATGTTGAAGATGGGTCTCCATCGCGATCCTAGCAAACTACCTAATATCACGCCGTATGATGGCGAGATGCGGCGGCGTCTATGGAATATCGCTATTCAAATAGAATTACTAGTCGCATTTAATCTAGGTCTGCCTAGTATGGTCCACGGAATCGAGACCGACACGGAACTGCCGTCACATCTAATGGATACAGATTTTGATAAGGACACCAAGGAGCTGCCCCCAGCCCGCCCCGATACGGAATATACTTCGCTTACCTACCCGATCAACAAAGCAAGGATAATACGTGTGTTTTTCTTGGTCGTCCGGCAAGCACATGCTCTTAGAGTCCCGACGTATGCCGAAGTCATGAAGCTCGATTCGCAGATCGAAGAAACATGGAATAGTATACCCCCACTTATGAAAATGAAGCCGATAGAAGAGTGTGTTATGGAAGAACCCGTCCGGATTATTCAGCGATTCGGTATCGCGGCAATATATCAAAAGAGTCGATGTGTCCTTCATCGACGGTATCTTGCCGAACTCGTACCAAAAGAGGAACACGACTATTCCCGCCGAATATGTTTTGAGGCGGCGTTGGCATTACTAGACCTTCAAAATACTATGCATGAAGCTACTAGGCCGGGTGGTATGCTGCGCCAAACAGGTTGGTTCGTTGCAGCATTAGTGGCTGTTAATGACTTCCTCCTGGCGGATATGGTCCTCGCCCTCATAATTCAGAATGATAAATACTGGGAGGAGGGCAGCAGTCCCAGCTGGATAGCCCGAAGCTCACCACCATTCACCAAAGATAAGCTCTTGTACCTGCTTAAGAGATCTTACAACGTCTGGTGCGATATGTCAGGTGGCGCAAGGGAATTCAAGAAGGCCGAAGAGGTCGTTCGGACTATACTCCAAAGAATCCAGGCAAAACTTCAGATCGATACTTCACTTTTCCATACATCGCCGGGATCATTTGTGAACGAGAATACCGAGATGGCGGAGATCGCAGATTTAACGATTAGTAGTGGCGGTCCCTCAACAATATCTAACAGTAATGAGCCTGCAGTTGAGGATTTTGCTGATTTTGGCGCCGCCACGACAAATACAATGGGCGCGAATGACATATCGAACTCTCCTTGGATGATGCAGAATGGCTATGACTGGGTAAGTCATATCTGATAATTTGTTCTCTTCTAGGTCGTGGCGAAATTGCTAACGAACCCGCGTAACATAGCGCTACTTTGATCCCATAGCGCGTGATGGCGGACATATCAATCCCGCAATACAAATGACGCAGGACGCTTGGCTGGCCGGGAAGACAGCAGAAGACTTTCCCGAGTTGTTAGCTCCGAACGCATGGAGCTTCCATCCATCGTAATTCTTCAACATGTAGGGTCGGAGCTTAGGAACTTGACATAGTACGCAAAATGTTCCCCTCCAACCAGCATTTTGATCACCTTTGCAACGTGCCGCGAATGCAAAACCACGTCTTCTATCGCCAACTCACATCTTGAATGCCGTGGGAATCTAGGAATCTAGGAATCCACAGCCGTGATAACCGTCTGAATTCAGGGGTAAAAAGCCAACGGAATCGTCCGATCCGCCTTTGATAAGGTATCGAGCTTCAAGGTTACAGGATTCGTAGCATCCTAGCTTTTCCAAAGTGAGGAATCCTGGACTGACCTAGGAGGGTGTGGAGAAGTTCGAAGAAGCACGATCTATCCGCGGGGTATTATTTTCAACCCCGCATAGTCCCTTATTGGTTAGCCCTGCAAGTTATCTCATAATTTTCGAGGGGGGCTTATACGCCTTTTTAGTGTTGGCTCATAAATGCTGCCCAAGCCTTAAGAATGGTCTCAAAAGGGGCGAACAACAGCCTCATAAGACAACAGAAAGAACTCAAGAAAAAGGGTGTGCCCGCGGAAATGCTTCGTTCGGGCCTGAGAGAGGGGCCATCCTTGGCGCTAGAAGGACCTCGCTGAGGTGATGACGGCAACGTAGTGGTTGAGCCTCCAAGAAGGATGTTCGCTTGGCTGTTTTGTACGTAATAGCACGCAACATCCGACACGACTATTTGTAAAGGAGACGGTCCGCAACTAGACAAAATTTCACATTACAAGGGAAGAGCTGCCAGGGCTTTGAAAACGTGCTCGATTGCATCAATACGACCCATGCCTTTCTATTTACTAAAATATACCTAATGCCAAGATATCTTCGCCATTAGATTCCACTCTGGTATAACAACAAACCCCTCGCTTGCATCGGTCCTGATCCCACGAGTCACCTGGATAGCAGACGGTCTGAAAGGTTCCTAGTTAGCGACGGGTCGGGTCGACAAGCTCGAATGGGCTTAAGATGCCCCATCATCATCATCATGCGAAACATCTCTTTTAACGATTGGTTTCACAGCGTGGACCGGTCTAGTCCCTCTCTCTTTTCTTCTTCTTTTCTTTATTTTAATTATTTATGGCCCCGGATTCGCTAAATTGGGGGAGGTAGAAACGAAGCCAAGGGAATGGAATATTTTACTTGGCCCTTCGGGAGTACCTACCTAAACCAAGCCAATGGTTTCGCTATATCAGCGCCCATGGGGACGGAGACAGGCTATAGTTGACAACGGATATTTGTGAAACTAATAAAAATGCGTGTATGTATGTATGTATGTAAGAAGATAGATAGCCCTAGGCCAGCTATCTATTATCGAGAGGGCGCTCTCCCGTCTCGTCTATGTAGGTATGCATAGGGTTCACTGCAACGGCATGCAAGATCATATCCTCCAACGGTGATCCGGGAATTGCGGCGGCAACGTTCACGTGCATTTGCTATCAATCGAGGTGCAGCAACGGACCTGACCGACTCGGACTTATTTATCAATCAATGTGTGTAGGTACCTACCTATCTGCGGTATCTACTATCAGATGGCCTCTTCCTCTTTTTATCAGATTCTCGTGTTGCGGTAACACGGGAGAGTTCTCATACATAAATCCCTAAGGGCTTGTTTGTCTTGGCTTTTAACCCCGTGGCGCAAAGAGGGTTGTCTCCTTAAGGTTACCTGACAGCAAAGATAGGACTTGGCCGTTACGACATTATGGGATTCGCGCCTATCTCGTTACTGGGAGACGGCCGTCTTATTGGTCAACGGTTATCTGTCGATCCTTTTGGGGAAGAGGGAAATCTGTGCCCCTCCATCATCCGTCCTGCGGCTGCTTGACCACCGGGGGAGTATCTGAGGTATGTAGAGCGCAATAATATTATCTATGGCGTACTTTTTCTTTTTCTTTTTTTCTTTTTCCCCCTTCTCATGCCGTCGCAATGCAATATGCCTTTGTGGTCCGGTCCTGTCAACCATGTGGTTTTAATGCTCTCCGCAACGCTACGGGCGAAAGGGGAATTAACCTACCTATCAGCCTCCTTTGGGTCTCCTCTACATAGGTAGGTAATCAGATAAACCCCGTCGGATAGATGATGGTGTGCGTAACAGTAAGGCTGGATAGGTAGGTATGTTACAAGACAGACAGACTGGCTACGCTCTTTCTCCCTATGTGGCATGTAGAAGCTGGCATAGGTCCGATTAAGAGACAAGCATCTTCAAGGCCCTGTCCGTCTTTATGATTATATAATACCGACTCTTCATATTTCTTGCCTCTAGGTTAGGAAAAAGGATCTTGAAAAAAAAGGGTCCACCTCTGAAATTTATTGGAAGTTTTACGCGTAGAACATATGATGTATCTAGATGATGATTAATAAAGGGGTTTAGGTATTGGATAATGAGCAATGGACAATGGATAATGGGTAACGAGCATTAGTAGAATTACATAGGTGGGTTAGGTGGGTTAAGTACCTAAAGCTAAATTTTTAGGGGGTTTATTGAGAGGCTGTTATGTAAGTCCATATATCCTTAGACGCATTATCCCGTAACCGACCAACGATACTTCATCATTTTACATAATCTTAATCATGCCGGTATCCAGTTTGCTCCCAGTCCAACAAGGTCAGAAAAGAACCAAAGAAAAAAATTTTCTTTTTTTTTCGTCTTCTTCGCTCTGATAAGCTGTGCCCGTCATGAAACCGAACCGGCTTGTTACCTACCACTGCCACTATCCAAATCCGAGAGAGAATTGGGCCATGTCAAAAACTCTTAAGAGACGAAGACCGAAAACGTGATTAACAGCTGTCATATAAATGGATCTAGCAATTCCCATTAGCTAACCTTACCAAGTTGTCTCCATTCCTTAAGTAACGTCAAGAATATCAAGTACTTACGCGCCCATAAGTCGGGTAAGTACCCTAACTTTGGGTACTTGGGAATATGAATGTTCGGTCAGGCTCCGATCTCGTTGTATTTCATAATCAGACCGCATGATCGATTAGACCAATCAACTGCGGCCACCCCTCCTAATTTGAGTATTACCATTGATATGTAGGTACCGCATGCGATCAATCACGTATCGGATCGGCGAGTTATAACCCGGGAAAAAGCGATAAGAGAAAACAAAAAAAAAAAACCTGACGACTTTTTTGATTGATGAAAAATTCGGAATGCCTATTCCTATGTAATACGGTATACGATAACCAACCTTCTTCGATAAATACCTATATTTGACTTATACCAACTCATTCACCGCTCTCGACCGTAGCATTTATATACTTTTGATACTTATTATGCTACATGTTCAAATTAACCCCCTTATCAAGTACAATTATGCCACCTATCGTAGGTATGGACCTCACCACGTACCTAGATAAGGTATAGGTTAGGTAGGTACTAGGTACCTTGTATCTTCGTTCCCTTACATCTTAAACGACCAGTCACCTTTCTTACCCTGACCTATTTTAGTCTGAGCCGCTTCCCGACTTCCATTACTAATAAGCTAACTCGTGCTGTATTAGACTTCTATCTTGCTATCCACGCACCAGCCCGGCGCATTCTTATTGGGTTATTTGTGCGACTAGCCCTTACCACTCGAAGTAAGTCTACATATAGGTCACTAGGATGTTAAATGTTATTTGGTGGAGATGTTACTTAAAGCAGTTAATAAGTATCGTATTACCTTATTTATATGGCAAAATACAAACCCATTCGAAGATTCTAGTATAAGTTTTGCTTGAATAGGTAATTTTAGATAGTAAAAGTCTTCTCAAAATCAGGAAACATATTTATAATTATATTTTGCCATAATATTTCGAGTGTTCTAATACTTTGCTCTTTCAAGTAACATCTCCACCAAATAACATTTAACATCCTAGTGACCTGTAGGTAGGTTTCTTTCAAGTTCTTACCTACCTATACCTAGGTATGTTAGGTTAGGCTAGGTTAGTAGGTAAAGTACTTACATATGTACAATTTCGTATTTGCCGTCAGCCTCTCTCCTAGGTTGTCAGTCTTACCTTTAATCAATCTTACATACATTAGATTGGGTCTTTGCGTATCTTGATACATATATACCTACCTCTATCTATCTATATACACGCGGCTGTGTATAAAGTTAAGATAAGAGATTTCGAACGTCATCCATCAACGTAAGGAGGTATATATGTATGTACGTATGTATGTAGGTTACCTTGGATTACCTATGTACATACATACATACTTTAATGAGAGGTAAATTTTCTTAGTTCCTTTTTTTTTTCCTTTGTGCGCTCGCCTGGTTGCTTCATACTACTTGGTGCTATTCGTTAGCACGTACATAAGTATGCAAACCTCGCTCCGGTTAGGGTCGATTAGTCGATTAGTCGATTAGATCAAAATAACTGGTGGCAGTTCCCCGGATTTCATAAGAGCCCCTCCAGCCCACTGCCTATGTATCTTAATAGTCCGCATCTCGTCATACCCTCCATGTCCTTTCCCAAACCTATGTACCTACCTATCTACTAGTAATAATACTATTCCTTCTTGATATTAGGTATGTGCATACCTACATGTAAGGCATGTCCATATGTCCCATATGCCTCTGCATATGTACTTCAACCCTCTTTCTCCCTAACCTATTAAGATTCTTCCTAAACAGCATTTGATCGATCCACCGGGCCTACCTTGCTGTTACATATATACCTCTCTTCTTAAAATACTTGGCTAGATACCTACCTATTTTCTACTTTTTTTTTCTTCCTACTCTAGCTTATCGTAAAGCTATAGTATACGAGGTATGTTGGAATCACCAAACAAACAAAAAAAAACATATCCCTTTCACCTTTATAAACAAGAATAAATGTTTTTACGCTGGACCCTAGAAGTCGCTACGCAAGCTACGCAAATATACGCTTAAGTACTAACCCGCCCGAAGGGTACCTCCGTCAAGGTCCTCAATCGGGATTTTGCAGATAGTCAAAAATTCCCATCCGTAGTATATATCCACTTTTCAGACTTTCAGATAGTCGACTACGGATATTGCGTGCCTGACTTTCAACCAGACTGGACCTACCAAAACCACGGTCAACGGCCACCCAACCGCCGGCAAAATTAAACTTGTGCCTACCTCTTGCCTAACTTTACCTACCTACCTATATCTGTACCTACTTTGATTTTTTGGGTTACTTACCCTTGAATTTTTTATTTTTTTTAGTTACTTCCATTACTTACTTTACTTCCACTTTCTTATAGTCACCTGAGCCTTTTTTTTCTGGTTCCACGCTATCTTTCCTTACCTTGCTTTACCTTACCTACCTTGTCTACCTTGCCTACCTTGTCTACATTGTCTACCTTGTCTACTTTTCTATCCACCTGAGCCACCTGAGCAAGACTATCGTCAACCCTAGAAATAAGTTCGGCCCCATTGGCCCTTACCTTACCCTTCAAAGTCCAACCCACGCCACAAGTCCATTCTTCGACAACTTCTCTTTACCGTTTTCTTCAATGGGCGTGCCGGTTCCTTTTCCTCTTCCATAGTTGCGGCTTCGGCTTAGTCTCTTCGCTTCTTGCATCATTGGGACGTCACGCGCCCACCTAGCTGTCCGAGCTCGCCTCTAATTTTTTTTCACGATATTGGCAACCTAGCTATTTTGTGTAACACAAAACCTCGAGTGTCTCTCGAGTTTCGAGACCCCCGAGTGGGAACTGGATCTACGTCGCTATGCCTTCCACAAATCCCATTCCTATTCGGACTGACCTGGTTTTTCGACCAGTACCCAGCGAGAAAGGCAATGCTTCCTCTCCCAAGTCCTCGACGATGCACAGTACAAGACATAAGCATACGCGGTCTTCTTACTCGGAGAGCTCACCTCTTACTGCTATGTCCAGAAACAACTCTCTGACCTATCGCCCTCTAAAACGGTCAACACCGTCGCCAGATAAGACCATTGCTGTTATTAATGCAAGTGGTCGCCAAGCTGCCTCTTTAATTCGGATAGCTACCGCTGTAGGCTATAAGGTACACGCACAGCTGCGCAATCTGGAAGGTGTTATAGCTTCCGAAGTATCGATGAACCCGAATGTCACAGTCTTTAGCGGAGAGCTCTATGTTAGAAACAAGCCCGACGATAAAAGGGACGTTACCGTTCACGGGCACCTCCCAGGGATTCTGGTCAATCACGCTTTAATCTCCCAGCTCTTCAACGGCGCACAGCTAGCTTTCATCAACACGACATTTTACGGCAACGAAATACATATAGGACAAGCCATTGCGGACGCAGCAAAAAAGGCCGGCGTCCAGCATTATGTATATTCATCCATGCCCGATCACGCAGCCTATAATCCAGAATGGCCCTCGCTACCCCTTTGGGCGGCCAAGCATGAGGTAGAGAAATACGTTCGCAAAATAGGTTTACCAGCTACCTTCGTCTATACCGGAATCTACAACAACAATTTCACGTCGCTCCGCTATCCGCTATTCTGTATGGAACTACAGCCAGATGGTTCGTTCGTGTGGCAAGCCCCTTTCCACCCGCACGCGAAGCTTCCCTGGTTGGACGCCGAGCATGACGTTGGGCCAGCTATTATTCAGCTCTTTAAAGATGGACCAGAAAAATGGAATGGGAAGCGCATAGCGTTAGCTTACGAGTATCTGACGCCCGTAGAAGCCTGTAAAGCGTTCGAGCGAGGGGTAGGCAGGCGTGTCCGCTATAAGCACGGGCCCATAGAAGTAAAAGTGAAGATTCCAGAGGGTTACCGAGAACAGCTTGAGGCGCTGGAAAAGCTTTTCCCGCCAAATAATACCGACCCCAAGAAGCAGCCGCCGTATTTTGGAGACCTGGAGCTCGATAGAAGATGTCCCGAAGATGCTTTAGCATTATGGGAAGGGCCAAGGGGGCTCGAAGAATATGCACGCGAAATTTTCCCACTCGAAGAAGAGGCAAACGGGATGACTTGGATGTTTGACGGTGACGAGGTCCCTATATTTGACGGCCCAAGAGAGGAAATTGAAGAGGTGGCTGATAATGGAGATGATGAGGATGGTGAAAATGATGACGAATCCTTAGATGAAGGGTTAATAATGGTAAGCAACACTCGTTGTTTCAACCTATCTCGGGGCGGGGACATGGTCAATTCCCGAGACGAGGTTGTTCCTACTATTTTTAAAAGGCAGGATATCCTCTTTATCTAGTACGAGGGCTAATTATGAATATTGCAGAGAGGACTTAAGAGAGATGAAGAATCATGGCTAGCATAAATACCTGAAGAGTTGCTGCGCGCGACATGACTTTGTTAGCGAACGGGAATGCGAGGAGAATATGGTATTATTCGCAGGCTCGGGAATTCCCCTGGAGGACGTGACTTAAAACTCGAAGTCGCTATTCAACCCTCTTACGCATTGTTCTTCTACAGCATTTGCATGGGCTCGGCTACTCTAGATAGGCGTCCGGCCCGGCCCGGCACAAACCGACAGGACGACGGTTATACGACAGGAAAGCATACTCGGCTGTCAAGACTTGATAGGATATTGCATTTGAAAACTGGCAGAGGCGTCCGGTCATCGCTAGTGCATTGATTGCCGGGGACATTATGGCGATTAGAGCGTTTTACGGCCATATATCTATCTTCTATATATCAGTCGGCGTTTGGTAACAAAAGTTTCTCCTCATGGCCGCTAGGTCCTGGAACGCCTGAAGCGACCTGGACGATCGGCGAAGTTGTTTTCTTGAACGGGTTATAGGACGGGATCGGTTCTTTAAAAGACGAGGGGCCAGTCATAAAAAAAAGTTTTTATCACATCCGCGGTCTAGGAATTGGGAAATTCACTAGCTTCGTGCGTGCGGGATGGTTTCGCAGACAGAGGTTCAAAATGAAGTGTATATCCGGCCGGATGATTTACAGAGAGTTGCCAAATAAGACTAGGCAGGAGTTTAGCGGCCCGTATGGTATGGTTTGGGACGTGGGCATGTGAAATACCCAAAGCTGGCCGGGATAGGGAGGGCCGAAGCCAGAATAGCTCAGCTCATCTAATTTAAATTTACTGTGATATCATCTCGTGAAATATAGTTGTTATTTCTAGTATCTATTCGCAAGGGATATATGTGGTCTATATTATTGTGTGTAGCTGATGACTATGAGACATGGAATTATCATCATACCGCTCTCTATCGAGACAATGTAATTTTAGGTAACTATGCACCTAACCTAGGAAGCTTTGGCTTAGGGAATACCTTCGATAGTTATTTTAAAGGGAAAATAGAACACTGTTGCATGTACTAATCTCCAGTAACCATCATGACTACATAGGTACCTTGGTAGGGATCTTACGCTCTCTATGGCTAGGTACATAGCTCCTCGAACACCATCGCAGCGGGCTAATTCTCGCTCCTTTCCCTTCCCTTCCCTTCCCCTGCTCCTGTCCCCCCCACCGCTCCTACGTCGCTATGTCGTGTACCCTCGAACGCATACGGGGATCTAGCCAACCAACTATACGGGACACGTGAAGGACCTCGAGAACCCTTATGGCTAGCTGTCTGAGGGGGTGGGAAGGGAAGAGAAGAGAAAGGGGACTGTGGGGTATTATGGACGGACGGATGAATAGATGAGTAGGACCCTGTTGGCCTGGATAGGAGGGTATGCCGAATGCAATTGACTGTATATTATGTCGTTATATTATGTCGTTGGCTGTGGTGCTGGTATATATACCTATGGATGTAGACATGGGTAGTAGTGTGCGAGTTGTCTAATACCTAGTCGTACAAAATCGGGACGGAAGGGACATATATATGGACTTGGGTAGGGGTTGGTTCTTGGATGCAACATGTATTAGGTACAGTACCTATTAGCTCGTCTACGGATAGAAATGATTACTTAGTAGGAGGTACCACGTTCGCGTAGAAGATCAGGTAGCTAACTTGTTCATAACCGTCATGTTTTCTCGGGAGTAGCTTAAAAGATAAATGGTATAGTACCTAACTAGGTAGTTAAGAAATTTCTTGTTGTCAGATTGAGACGCCGATGATAGTCTTCCAACTAATCTTGACCTCCAAGGTTACGGGAGAACGCGACCCCGAACCGGGACGGATAGGAGTCGAGTCTTTAAAACCTTGCCCCATGCGTAGATGCTCTATATGTAGATAGCAACTCACCTAGGCTCTCCTCTAGCACCTATTCGCTTATTTTGTCACCTTCTTTTCTCCGTCTTTGCCGTACATTTGCAAATACGTCGCCTGCAGTCGCATCTGCAAGTGTTCGTTCGCCGTCAAGACCTTCTTACTATTGCTATCTAAGCCCTGGTTCCGGGCAGTATCATTCTCGCTTTCGCTTGCCGCCTTGACGCGCTCGCTTGGAACGGGCGTCAGCAGCGTGTCGTCGGCCGGGTGGCAGAAGTAGACAACTGAGTACCGCGGATCGGCGGTAGACTCGCCGATCGCTAGGGCCTCTGGTGCTGAGGGGAATGCGACACGGTGGACTGGTGATAAATGTTAGTGACTGCTATTTCTGGTAAGTGAACTATGATGCTTCGAGAGTAGTAACTCCTTATCTAGCTCCACGAGGAAATACTAGTTCATAAGATAGGAAGATAAGGGGAGAGGAAATCTCGATGCTACGTACCAGTACTACGGAGCAGCCCATTAGTCCAGTACGAGAGCAGATCGCCGATGTTGACAAGAATAGGCGGCGGGGCGATGGTGTCCTCGTCCTTGCTACTACTAGGCGGATCGACGGGGACAGGGGCCCAACGGCCGGTGTGAGGCTCGAGGATCTCGAGACCGGCTTGGCCGCGTAGTCTGAACAGAAGGGTGATAGACCCGTAGTCCGAGTGCGCACCCGCTCGCACGTCATCGGGGTGCGCCTCGGGTGTCCTACTGGGCGGTGGGTAGTATAAGAACCGCAGGATAGAGCCCGACGACAGGGCGGGATTGTGCGCGGCGGAAAAGAACTCCGGGGGATTAACCTAGACTAATTAGAAAAGGCGGCCCGGACGGAGTAAGGGGTTAGGTGGCGCTTACTCCTAATCCGATGCCGAAGAGTAAGAGTAGCTTCCGGCACAGCTCGTGACACGCATCCCGGAAAGTGGCGAGCTCTGCTTGATGCGGCTCGATGCTCTGTGGGATGGGTTGTGTGGCTTTGCTGTTGACAAAGGGGCCGAAATTGAAGCCCCTTGGTGGTTTAAGTCAGCCTCGGTGTCCCTCTACTATGTCCTCTAGTATGTGTAAAATAGAAACTAGGCTGTGTATTTATACTGACTCTTTAAAGTCTCCTACCTAGAGAACAAGTATTAGTTTCGGTAAGTGTAGTCGTAGTCGGACAAAGTGACACAGCTTACTCTCTGAGTTTTGGGGTCTAAGGTCTCGGTATGCATGCCGGACCACCCCTGATTATTTTTCTCGATCTTGCATCTCTGCTTGTCCTCGGGAGGCGAGTCGAATAAGATGCGTGACTGTATATGTGAGATAGTCCATCACTATTCATTGCGACTCTTGTTGAGACCAAAAATATCGACTACCTACCAGGTTGAAAGCATTGTCTATTTGCTCAGCCGAAATATCTTGACTTTTGATATATACAAAGCCATAATTAATTGCGGCGTCTACCAACTCCTTGGCGACTTGGGCCTGGTCTATACCTTCGGCTGAGATGTCGATGATAGGGAGTGTTGCAGCTTTGGTCATGATGGAAGATATAATGGGATATGTATCTAACGTAAAAACGTGGATTATAGTCAGAGAGGATGATAGTTCCCTTAGATATGTAGATTAAATTATTCCATTTAATTCAATGTTACATGTACCTTGTTTCACAAGCCAAATGTCTATTTGATGGTTTCTTCTACGAAGCTTTCTAGGTTAACTTCATTGTATGTACGTAGGTACACTGGTACATCGTCCGAGGTTCTTTAGTGATAAGCTGATAGATAAGATATGGTTTCCCGATAACCCGTTCCAACACTGCACATACCAAGGTACAGGTACGAAATCGTCACACGAAGATCAATGTAATTAGATGTATTACATAACCCGCCTCTTTTAAGCTCTAGGTGATATGTCAGTAGCAAAAAAATTAGCCCAGTTCAGGGGTCCCATACAATAGGTACATAGCGTCGCTACCTCTACCAGGCTAGTCGCACAACCCTTGTCCTACCTGCCGCGAGGCTTTGACCTTTAGATCGTGCCTCATCTTTTAAGTTCGAACCTCACCATCGGTAAGGTTCCAGTCTCTCTCCAACAGTAGCTGCAGCCGTAGGAACAAGGTGCATCTTGCCTTACTATAGCACCGCCTTCCTCTTCCCTCCCCTACATACTTCCTTCTTCTATTTATGTTAAACTCAGTCACTCCTTTTAATATCTGTTAGCCCCACCTGTCCTCTTTCTAGCCTGCGATTTTGAGCCGCGAGCTCTCTGCCTTCCTCACTTTGACGCTCATCATAGTAAACCGACAATACCCAAGATCCCAGATCCTAGATCCAATACTCCAGGAAAGAGCGCTTGATCTTGCGCAAAGTATATTTCAAGATGCCCAGTAAGTCTTACTTGCTATTTCCTCTTCTACGACCTGATGGGATATTGTGTTCCTGCCTTTGGGTACCGTTTCTGTTACATATTTCCCCTTGGCATACATTCGCACACATTCGCATACTATTCTACAGCCTTGAATATCGCTGTCGCTTATACAGCTTGTTGCTGTTGTTATAACCCGACTTTACGAATTTACATATTCGATTGCCTAACTACGTACCTACCACGCAACTACTATGCCTGAATTAAGCAGGTTGGAAAATCCAGTCCCGTTTGGCGAGGCTGACATAAATCGGGCTATTGAATGGCTTCGCCGACAAGGACTGCTTGCGTCTATTAGTTCTAGTTCCTTTCCCTACTACCATAAGCCTAAGGAAAACGAGTGGTGGAAGACATTGGCGAGGAAGCGTGGAACTCTATATGGTACTTCATAGAAAGACCATAATATTTTTGATTTACTATATCGCTATTACCTTATGTAGGTCCGTCGCTAATTAGCATTGGCCTTTATAGGTACTTTTGAGGATCATTGGATCAACGAGCAAGTGGCGTAAGCAGCAATACCTACTACTATGTTAATATTATGAAACTAATAATCTCGTAGGTCTGCCGAAGTCTCTCAGCTTGAGGACTGTGCCATTGCGGTTGATGCCTCCTACTACTTGCAACTGTTCCTCGACAACGTTCCTTATCACGAACCACTTCTCCCTGCCCTCGGCGGCTTAACCGGTATTCAATCACACATCGAACATGATCTTGACAGCTGGAAATCCAACAAAACCATCCCTTTTTTCATCTTCAACGGCCAGTCCATTGAAGGCGAAGATGACGTTTCCGTCCAGAGAGGAAAGAGAGCGATTGCAGGCACTGACGAGGCCTGGGGTCTCTATTTCCAAAGCCAGGCTAATGAAGCCGTGACTGCCTTTGGTTCCCATCGAGGTATGGCCGTCATATCTATGCCACACCTCAGACATGTTACTTATATGGTACAGGAGCTTACCTTGTCCACAACTTATTTCCGTTGCTACAAGGTATTCTCAATAGTCGTGGGCTCCACTTCTTAGTCCCCCCTTTTAACGCCTCCGCGCAAGTGAGTTATTCATCTTTCGTGTTGAGATTCTCCAGCTGATAAATTTCAAGTTGGCCTACTTTGACATGATCGACTCAGAGCAGTGTTCAGCTATCATGGGCTCTCAGGAATTGTTACTCTATCCAATCAAGGATCACGTTATTCGATTCATCGATTGGGATGCTGGCACATTCACTGCCATCTCCAAGAAAGCCATCATTAGAACTCTGGGCGTAACCGAAGCTCTATTTATCGACGCACTGCTGATGGCGGGAACAACTTTTCTCCCTACGTTCCCCCCGTTGAAAGAGCCCCAAATCACTGCTCGCCAGCCACCATCCGTACAGGACGCTGTTAACATGCTGCGGACCTCGGAAAAGTCAGTCGCGAATGCGTGCAACTCATTCAATGATATTCTGAGTAAGAGCAGAGATTCGAACTGGTTACAGAAGTACCGCAAGGCCAGAATGAGCATCGATCACTTCATCTATATTGAAGAATCTGGAGAAATCAAGGTCCATAACTTCGATACGCTGACTCGAGACAACTGGGAATATCTCGGTTATCAGTTACCAGCCGAATTGTTTCACTACCTGAACACGGGTCTTATCGGAGCACGTATGCTTAGCTGGATTTCTCATGGCCAGATCGTCATCCATCCAACTCTAGACGGGGTTAAATCGGAAGAATATAAACATCTAGTGACGGGCCAGCTAATGCCTTTGAGAGAGGCAGCTCTCAGTCTTCTCCTTCCTCGGCTACATAGAGGTATACAGTATAAGCCGATTACGGTAAAGGTCTGGTATGATGACAAGTATTCCCACAAGATCGAGTACCGTCCCCAAGAAAACCAGGCGTTGAACAGAGCGCACACTTGGAACCTTAGTAGCGCTGTTACAAAGAAGTACTACCCCGATGCCAAGCATGGTTCTATCCTCTTTGAAGTAGCAGCACTGAAGAATCCCGATTTCGTCAAGAGTACTATTACCAAGGACAAGGTCAAGGGCATCTCCTCTTCTGGTTTGATATCGTCGATCACGCTCTGGCGCTTCCTCCATCTGCGTGGCTACGTAGACGATTCTCACCAGCTTACATCCTGGGGCCAAGCCTTAGCAGCATCTCTCGAGGCACTCAAGGCCACTGTTGAGAAGCATAGCCAGGTTCCTGGCTTATACGAAGCGATTCTTTTAGCTTATGAACTTCTCAGATTTAACTTACTTAATACCCGGAACCAGCATCCAGAACTAAACGGTTTGCCGATGAACGGAACAGATGATGACAAGGCAAGCCTATTACTAATCAGCCGTTGCGCAATCTTGTTGAAACTGCGTCACCAAGCAAACGGCTATACTGGCCCGCTCAGCAAGAATTTCTTGTGTTTCCGGTCGTTGAGTTCATCTATTCGAGAGACCGATAGAGATCTTATCGAAGCGATTGTGGCGTCTATGCTACTATTTGCGCAGACGGAACGAGAACGTGACGACTATTTGGAGATTGGTCAAAGGTTTGTCTTCGTGATTCGTAAGATAATGATGAATTGTGTGCTAATGTCATATAGACTACCCTTTTTGAACGATACGGATGTTGCTCTTGGTATAGCTGTTAAGACACTGCTTGACGATATTCATCCCAATGAAACCCCTGAACAGAAGGCAGTGAAGAAGCAAGAGTTCCCTGGTACATTCGTCCCATATGCGACTCACTTCTTCGAAGATCTGGAGATAGCTTTCAACTTCTTCGATGCCATCCACGCAGGTATCAAGACGCTCAAGAGTGAAGTCTCTGCCGCTGACCGAGGCGCGTGGGATAAAGCTGCCGTGTATCTTCAGCTACGACGATAAGCTTACGCCAATCATCGTATAACTAAATATTTCAACACTTCCTATCGAGAGTCCTCACCATTAGTCATGCAAGAGATGACCGTAAAATAGAAATTGCGGGTGAAGTAGATATTTGACTGGCGGACGAAACCCCGACACTACTTGGCTTATTGATTGCATATGCTACTTGGTCTATTAGCTCCCACCGCCTCAATCCTCTATTAGCCCCTTTGATTTGGTAAGGATTGTTGTCTTCGAGGACACGGCAGCCCACCTATATATGACGTTAATGTATTTCAATACCCTTCCGTTCCCGCAAGGCGTTTTTGGTCGAAAAAAAGGAGAAAGGTCTACTACTTGAGAGGCCTTTATCTCTGGTACCAAGTCACAAGCCCTTTAACCAACCTGCGGAGAGGGTCATGAGGTAGCTAGCATGTAAATTTTGCAGGCGGAAGTGGTCAAAAGCTCAAGACATGGATGATCCCCATTGCTATGTAGCTAATTGAAACTGCTAGATAAAAAATATAAAAAAGTATCAGCATATATAGCTTAAGCGTCCCGTACTCTTTAGATTGTAACGTTTGACTTTTAATATTAATGTTGCATCTAGAAGGACAATTAGCGATGACTAGGTGCAACGAACCTCATTGAGTGAAATAAGCGCTTATAGAATAAGAATAGGACAATGGAAAGGAACAAACCTTAGGTGCGTATCAATCGGCTTAGTATTATGATTCCACCATTTTCTCTCTTTCATCGAATCAACCCAACACCCATCCTACCACGAACTACAACACTGCTGGGTTGAAGCACATGCTGCATGATCTTGTGGTGTAAAATATCTTACTATGTAGTAGCATAAAGTAGCAGAGTGAGTAGTAGACTGGAGTTGGAAGATAAAGGAGAGTTGGGGGTGATTGGAAGAGGCTGATATAACACCTACCATAGGTATGATGTACCTAGGTACTTATATAAGAAGGATGGGTTAAGAAGGGTATACTTTGCCCCTGCTGTTTTCGTTTTCCTGTCTGTTTATTTATTGAGTGAATACATACATAGTGTGTAGAGTGTAGTTAGAGTGTAAACTTATTTCTACGATTTAACAGCTACTTATAGACTTTGGACATGGTATTCCCTAAATAATGAGGCATTGACTAGTAATAAATATATTAGCTTTCCTTGAAAAGGGGTCATGAACAAACCTAATCGGACTACGAAGGGATACTGTAGGAATGTTAGTAAGTTATATGGTGTGAATCAACACCAATTATTACCATCACGGAGTTCACAGAGCATCAAGATTAAGGGCGGGACAGTGCAGTTTCAAGAAGACATTGAGAATATCTCAAATGCCATCTCGTTTTTTTAATTTTCCTTTGCGTATCCCTTGCCGTCGTTCAATATTAAACTCAATCGTACCAAAAAAACAAAAACAATTGCAAGTAGCTAAGTACAGTTGGGCATCGCAGAGTCGATTCGAAAACCAACTAGGTGCAACTATGTGCAGGCATATGCCAAGCTTGAGCTCAAAGTGAACCTCGTCCTCGGTATCATACGCAAGAGACAGGTATAGACAAGATGCCTCTCAGGTGAGGGCAAGTCGTAAAAAAACACAAAGTACCTCCTTTTTGACAGACCATTAAAAAGATACGCAAAAAATGCCTCAAGGGCTCAGAGATTGTCTCTGGAGAATCGAAAAACACACAAAATGCCTCTCTCTCAGGCTCAAGTATTGCCTTTTAAGTGAATCATAAGAAACACAAGGCGCATATCAGGCTCACAAGTGCCTAGGTAAGTTGCCGAAAACACAAAGTGTCTTCCTCTTTGACTCGAAGATTGCTTTGGAGTGAATCATAGAAATCATAAAGTGCCTCTTGGGCAAATCATGATCAACGCAAAATGCCACATGGGCCCAGAGATTGTATCGGGAAAGTATCAGAAAACCGCGCAAAATGTTTGTCGGATGAGTTGCAAGGAAAACACAAATTTCACCAACGCCAAGCAACCATGTCAAATGCAAAGGGGTATCATCCGTCCGTTGTGAATGTCCGTTGTGAATGCCGTCTCATGACAAGGTCTCATCTCATATCCAGGCTCCGATTGCCGGTAATAAGGAACCTTAAACGGAAAACAAAAGAAAGAAAGAAAGAAAGAAAGAACCGTTGTGTCGTTGCGTCGTTGCGTCGTTGCGTTTATGCAAGAGTATGGATAGAGTATGGATCTATTGTAGGGTGTCGCGCTCCTTAGGCTTCGGCACTGCCTCGGTATCAAATTGCATCTCCTGGTTATGAAATTGCATCTCCTGACCTTGAAGCTGTGTTGCCTGGCCTTCAAGTTGCGACTTCTGTCCTTGAGGCTTCGACCTGCGAATTCGACGCTCTGCCTCTAGTCTCTTCTTGCATCTTTCTTCGTCGAGTCTCACTCGATTGGCAGACCATCCGCTGAGCTTGTCAAGTAAATTGCTGCGTAAAATGTTAGATACCAAAATCTGATCGAAGAGTAAGGAATAATAACATACCCGACGGGGGCACCACCTGCTATGTAGGACTCCTCGAGGATTACGTTCTGAATATACGACCTCTTAGCTGCGTATATCTTGGTTCGAGCATCCTTATGATGCAATTCATAATGGGGCATGATAAGGGCTTCCGCCTCTTCTTCGTTGTCAGCGTGAACGATAAAGTCGCAGCCACGCATTTCGCAATACCATGCATCGTCCACACCATTTCTATTGGGCTTCAGAGGCTTGGTTGGATGGTCACCTGTGCCGGCAGCCAAAGCATCTTCATCTTCTGCGTTGTATTCGTTGCCTGATGAAGTAGTTGCCGCACGTTCCTTGTCGTGCTCATCGTGGTTGTCCCCCATAGAAGAATAACGTGACTTCTTAGATGCATTCTTCTGCGGCACATCCTGATCCTCGTCAATATCCATTTCATCGCCAAGGCCGAAATCCTGTAGTAGTCGTTTCTTGCCTCCAATAGAAGGACGCAGGCCTGCTACCTTACCGCCGGTGCGAGCCCTATTGGGGGGTTGTTGTCCTTGGTCCTGCTCCTCCTGATACTCCTGCTCCTCCTGATACTCCTGCTCCTCCTGATACTCCTGCTCCTCCTGATACTCCTGCTCCTCCTGATACTCCTGCTCCTCCTGATACTCCTGCTCCTCCTGATACTCCTGCTCCTCCTGATACTCCATGGCGTCTAGAAGCTCGTTGGAGGGTTGATCCAAGTAAGAAGGACGAGTTGCGCGAGGAATACGACCTGAGTAGGAAGATGAAGTTGCTTGCGATGGTTGGTTTAGGACAGAAGATTGGTTTGCGTAAGGTCGATCTTCGTAAGGTTGATCTTCGTGACGTTGGTCCTCGTAAGAAGATTGATTGTTGTGAGAAGATTGATTGGTGTGGGAAGATTGATTGGTGTGGGAAGGTTGATTTTTCTTCTTGCGTCTGACAATATTTTTCATCCGCTCTTCAGATAAATCGTCGAACTTAGGTGCTACGTCAACGTTTTCCTCCAGCCACGTGTAAAATACGCTGGAGTGCCACTCTGGTCCAAGGAAACGCAAAAGATCCCGGGCGTGGTAAATGCAAACCTGAGCTAGTGCACGAGGCTTTTGGACACTTAATTCACGATAAAGTTTATGGTGCCAGAAGCTGGCAGTCGCCACATCGGGGTGCTTTGTCTTATCACCTGATAGTAAGTTCTGCCTGCAATCTTGCAAGACTCCAATGATTGCAGATACTGCTGCACTGGGTTCCCCAAATGAGCGTGGGTCGAGTTGTTTGTCCAAGTTATGGTATTCTCTTGGCCGGTTGTATTTGGTGCGGAACCCAACCACAATTAAATCAGGGTCAGAATTATTGGCAGGCTCAGGTAGGGTATTCACAGGTAGCTCCCGTCTGACCGCAGTAGGCTGTACTGATAGACGTTTCGAAGCCTCTATTGTCTCAGCCACTTGACGTTCGAAAGCCTCGCTATCTTGTTGAGATTGTCGAGATTGTCGAGATTGTCGAGATTGTTGAGATCCTGAGGTAGAATTTCCCAACGAGGGCCTACCGGTTATCTTACTGTTGGTGACTTCCAGAGAACTAGAATTCTCTTGATCTTGATCTTGATAGGGAACTGCGACTAGGGTGCTAGGTTCTGAGCTAGTAGCTGCCCTAGCATCATTGGACTCCTTTGCAGCAAGTTGTTGCACAATATCCTGTATGTGGGGTTAGACCATGATAATCGAATATTAACTTGGGATAGCCTTACAGGGTATTTTTCTGCCAAGGTACGATGGAATTCAGTGTCCTTAGGAAAATGACTAAGTAAGAAAATAGCCTGATCTTTGATTCGTTGCGAGGCCTCGGCAGACGTGATACCATCGCCGACGTTCACTGCATACTGCATATCAGGTCAGATATAGATTCAAAGAGCAAAGTTTACATGTGCACATACCTTAATGAGAACGTCGTCCAAGACCAACTTGACGTCACTAAGTGTCTTATTCCTATTCTTCTTTGTCTTTTGAAGCTTCTCTAGTGCAGCTTCATACTGATCTAGTATCGCATAGTGAAGAGAAATGCCCTGAAACATGATGTTGCATATGTCCTTATACGAATCAGACGGAACAATCTCATACCAACCTGCTACGCCACTAGCCCACAGAACCGGCATGGGAGGCCTATCTGCTTTAAGGCCGATCGAAAAGGAAAATGTATCCTGAAGTTGGATATATGGTGAACGGTTCTTCATGTGTCGATTGATAAGGTATCTTTCCTGATCCTTTTCGATTTCGAGCTTTCCACGAACAATCAAGGGACCTTCCAAATCAACATGCAGCAGGTTTGCCAAGGTGCCATCCTTGTGGAATATCGTAGCGCTGGTAAGTAGAAAACAGGGCCAGTCGTCGGTATGGACATGAACAGAGGCGGGCTTTAATACAGAGTCTTCTCTATAGTATTTCAAGGCAGTTTCGTCAACGGTTTGGACCGTTGAGTCCGGCTGCTTTCTTCCCCAACGCTCATCCATGATGACATGCGAATCGGGACTTAAGGGATAGAATAATGAAATCGGTTGCGCAAGATAGTATGGAAGAAGAATAGTTTCGTCTCGTATCAGGTAAATCGGTAAATCGGTAACTCGGTGGATTGCTAGGTAAAAAGAGAAGTAACGCGATACCGGCGCGCATTAATTCATATTGAAAAACTATTACGGTTTCCCGATTGAGGGGGATTGAGGTCGTCGTTGTTGTTGTTATTGTTTGCGACGAAAAGAAAGTGAATAAGGTTACGTACCTAAGGTAGGTTACGTTAGGTAGCTAAAAAAGATCTACGGTTGACGGTAGTTAATTGGTAAATATTTTTAAGATTTACCAAGATTTACTAAGGAAGTCGGGACGCGCTTCGACGGCAGTAGCACGCGTATCGTACTTGCCGTTAATTGAAAATACTAAGGTACGTAGTGACACATTTAGTGCAGCTGCCGGCCAGTGTGGGCCCTATCCAGGTGGGTTGAGTAAGACTTGACCAATGACGTGGAGAAGTACTAATGGTGGGGTTATCTAAGATGATTTTAGTTGCAGTAACTACCTAATCGATAAGAGCTACTATTTTTTGGTTTGAACCTTGTCGATTAACTATATCCTCTTAACGGCTCTTTGATTTTTTTTTTTCTGGCCCAAGATCCGCGTTCTCCAGACCCTTGCATTATCCTTCAATCAAATTCAATAACCTTCATTTTGCGCCTCACCTGAAGGCAGTTCACAAACCCATAAAGACTAATAAGTCTTTAGATTGAATTGACTGTAACTATCGGATAGTCTTATCTTTTTTCTTTCTTTTTCAACGCACATCACCCGCGAATGAAAGTTGCTAGATTCGCCAGAATGGCAGCTCCTAGCACTGTCCTCGATGGTGTCTTTGGTATGAATTTTCAATTTACTCTTACTTGAATTATAATTTATATTATCTACGTTTATACTAATGTTATTATCTCGTATGGCACAGGCATCAATAAGCCTATGGGTATGAGTTCTGCCCAGGTTATTAGGGACTGCCAACACCACTTTAACCCCTCTACATTTTTCAAGCCAATGATAGATCAAGAGAGGGCAGCTAGGTCGCAAGAGTCTAATACTAGACGAAAGCGACGTGGGTTTGGCAAGAATGACATTCGAGTCAAAATGGGCCATGGTGGTACACTTGACCCGCTTGCCACTGGTGTTCTCATTCTTGGTGTCGGTAAGGGTACAAAGTCTCTCCAGTCTTTCTTGGATTGTACCAAAACATATGAGACTGTGGTGCTTTTTGGTGCCAGTACAGATACCTATGATAGGGTCGGTAAGATCCTCAAGAAGACAGCATACGACCATATCACTCGGCCTATGGTTGAAGAGGCACTCAACTCCTTCCGCGGAAAATTCCAACAGATGCCACCTCTTTATTCAGCATTAAAAATGGAGGGGAAGCCTCTTTATGAATACGCAAGAGAGGGTAAACCGATCCCGCGAGAAATTGCGACTAGGGAAGTGGAGGTTACTGAACTCGAATTGGTCGAATGGTATGAACCCGGTCAACATTCTCATCGCTGGCCTGCTGAGGAAGCTACCACATTCGAGCGAAACTTCGCCGAGCAGGTCTGGAAGATTGAAAAGCAGCAGATGACTTCTAAGAAACTTAGCCCCGAAGAAGAGGAACAAGAGACGAAGGCTTTAAATGAGCATGAGAGCTTCAAACGGAAGTCTGACGAGAACGTCGACGCGCTCGTGTATGACAGGGTAAACAAACGTCGGAAGACTTCGCAGCATGCACCGTTGATGTCGGGAGCACTCGGTGACCTTCCTCCAGCAACCCCAAAACCTGGAAAGGGATCAAATTTGATTCCCGAAACTTCGGATACTGACACACCCCCACCTTGGGAGGACAAAGGTCCGCCAGCAGCAAGAATTCGAATGACTGTAACTTCAGGCTTTTATGTCAGAAGTTTTTGTCACGACCTGGGTGTGAAGATTGGATCTGCGGCAATGATGGCAGAGCTTTGCAGAAGTCGGCAAGGAGATTTTGTGCTGAGTAGCTCTAATTGCTTAGAATATTCGGATCTGGCAAAGGGGGAACCCGTATGGGCTCCTCAGGTGAAGGATATGTTATCTCAGTGGAACAACAAACCGCGCGGCAAGTCCTCTGAGACGGCTTTAAGAGCCAAGCAGGTCTTACCAGTAGCCAATAAGGAGAAACGAGATCGATCTGCGTCTCCAGTCAGGTCCAAGGAGCCTAACGACACGAACATCTCAGAGGACATATCATCAAGTAAGAAACCAACACTACCAACTCCAAAATCTTCTTCTCCAACCCAAGATGCCAAATCCGAGGAAGTAAAAGGCATAAAGTCGGAAGAGGCAAAGGGGGGTGATAGCTCAACTGACCTAGCACAAGCTACCCCGCCTATAAGCTTACCCGCGTCCCAAGGAAGCGCTAAATTGGATATCAAGAGCAAAGATGCCGATGAGGAATCCTGGAACGGATTTCCCGACACACCTGCTTCCGTGAAGGCGTAAGTACAATTTGGTCATCTGGAGATTTAACTTGGGTGTGGCTTTGACGTATATCGTTTCTTACATGGGGACATGTATAGAAATAGCGTGGCGTTACTCACGAGAGACGTATTTGTTTTTTTGTTGCATCAGCTAGGCGTCGGGGGACTTGCATATAACCAAGCGACTCAAAACTAGGCAATGTATATATCTAGGTAGCTAGGTTTTCGAGATATAACAGAAATCGACTCAGCGAAACAGTTTCGATAGTATGAAATGGATACAGTCCTAACTCATTATGTATGTTGGCGAGTAGGCGAACTAGGAGTGAACTAAAGTGACTCTCGTGACAATGTGATGAATGTTAATAAACTCATGTATAAAAAGTACCTAAGATAGTGGATGATGAATGATTTGAGACTAGGTGTTGTCTATGACCACCTGATAGACCTCATGTTGAATTATACGTAGAGGATCTAAGATAATGTTTGGAGGTATACGGCTACTAAGAGTACCTATCTAAGTTGAACGGGCCCGCTTATAGAGACTAATTAATTACCCGAAATACAGAAGCGATGTAGTTAGACTAAAGTAGAAATAAATATGGTCCGAAAATGAGGCTCAAACATGATATTTTTATATCGTATAATTGCTAGAAATATCACCATCACACGAACCAAATCACTAATTTACACGAATGCTTCAGAATGTGGCGCTTATATTTAACTAGACGCAAGGCCTTAGTCTCGTCTTACAAGAACTAGCTTGGGTCTAGAAGAGCTCATATAACTGGTAAGTATGACAAATTGACAACGATAACAAACGAGTCTATTTCGTTCGTTCTACATGATCGTCGTCGTCTATCATTCGTGAGCGGTCGTGATGATCATTAGATATTACCTAAAAAAAACCCCAAATGAGGGCGCGCGCGGGAGCCTCTTATTCCTTACCCTTTAAAACTCGGAGCGCCGCTAGAATTTGATAATATCGTGGCCAAAAAACCGATGCATCCATCCGTAATCCCAAAATCTTAATCCAACAACCGCCGAACTCGATCGACAAATAATCTCGCGCTTGAGAGCCCCGGTCTTCACAACGCTCTGAACGTAATGGTAGGTATCTATAAGAATGTAAAGTGGCGTCGAAGTTTCCGTCGGGGATATCTCGTTTATCCTAAACCGTAGGCAAGCCTCCGAAATCCGCGTCTTCGTGCGTCTACGCAATGCTTCTTCTGCGCATATATCAAGAATTGAAACTGGTGTGTTCGTAACTCGGGTTCCGCCGTGGTCTCGGGGGTTTAACTCAGAAAGAAGTAGATTCCGCAGGCGGGGACAAGCTCTTCTCCCATTCCTTGATGAAGTTCGACGTCGTGTTCTTAATGTTACTGGGAGTCAGTCGGTTGAGGATGGCCTGTGGTAATTCTTCTAGCCTACTTGGAGTCTCTGGGGATGGCGATCGTAACTCGCTGCGGGATTGCTTGCGTCTCCTGTTGCTGCGGTTAGATACGCTTTGCGTCCCGGGTATTGGGTGGGCTGAAATGGGTCAATGGTGTGCCTTGCACAGTGTGTTGGTTGTTTTATTAATGGTTGTCTTACAGTGTCCCCTCATTTTCGCCAATTTTCTCAGGAATCGCGGTGATATCCCCATTTACAGTGCTACCGCTCCAGCGGGCTGTCTTAACATTTGGCGTATCCCAGTTCGACCAATCCTCGTCATCGAAGCTATCAAATGAGAGTGGTGTCCAGGAGTAATGTTTTCGCGCTTTAGGTTCTACCTTCGATGTCGTACGTCTGTGCTGTAAACGGTCGCTGAAACTACCGGTGGATTGTCTGCTTGATGTCTCCGTTGCCGAATCAGACTCGTCTTGGAATGGCATCTTGCCGCGGCTCGATGTAGATGCTCGAATGGTATCATGCTCGCTTTCTGTTCTATCCAACCTTGAAACCATATCACTTGTCCTGTTTGTTGTCCCGGAAATCGCTTCATCCCCCACAGTTGCTTGTCTTAAGTCTTCGACAAATGTCCACAGGCCTTGCTTGAAATCGTTTGCGATTTGCTTCATACCGTTGGCTTGTTGACTTTGACGGGGAGCCCAAGTTGCGCGCTTGTTGATAAGAGGGGTAGAGACAGGCGACATTCTCGAGTATAGTTCAGCTGATCGGGGTGTGTCATCTCCGTTCGGGGACATCGTAGGCGAAAGTAAGGACAAAGCACGAGTATGTCCCCCACGGATAATTGTCCTCTTGGTGTCTCGAGGTGCCGCCTTACTCTGTGCAAGAAGGATGGCTTTCCTACGCTCTAGTTCACTGGTATATCTAATAGCTGTTGCATCATCATGGCCCCATTGCCCATCTAGCAGGCTTGCGGTCCGAAGAGGTTCAATATTTCTAGCAGAGGCGCGCTTCTTATAACCATCTGACGCTGTCCACTGCTTCTTCAGTCTTCTGAGGTCATGCTCTGCTCGTCCTAGCTCTTCGCGAAGTTCTAGCACGCGACGCTCTTGGGCGGCAATAGCGATGATGAAATCATTAGCATCGCTGGGCTGGCTTGATGCCGAGGTCTGTATTGGAGTTGGCGGTACGGAAGAAGTGGGTGTGGGCCTCGAGGGGATACTATCAGGCGGCGCGATCGGCAAAGTCAATGATAATCGATTTGAATTTCGTGATGTTGTCGAGGTAGAACGAGTGGACCTCGTTCGAGATGTCTCACTTAGAGACGGTGGAGAAGGCATCGAATTCGAGTATGTGTCCCCGTCCGCCCCTCCGCTTTCTCCAGTACTCTCTGGATAGCCACCTGTAGCACGTGGCGATGTTGGAGCCGGGCCACTAGAGTTTACACTGGTAGCCATATTAGGGGTTGAGGTTAGAACCGCGTCTAACGAAAGAGCGGATTCCCGTAGACCGCGAGTCATGTTTGACCCGGAAAAAGGTTTGATAACTTTGTGCGATGAAGGAGAGTATGAAAGTTGTGCGGTGAAGTTTTCTGTTGACCGCCGCCTTAGTAAAGGAGTGGCTGGGGACGAAATGGCACGACGGTGCCTAGTCCTCCCGATAAAAGAGCGTCTAGAATATAAAATAGAAACTATATTGTTAAGCCTCTTGTCATTGAAGAGAGGGTTGGAACGAGTAGTTATTAAGCAAATTTGTAGAAGTTGAGCGGGTTTCATAGACATAAGAATACATAATCCACCCCAGAGGCAGATGGGTATCAAAATTCAGGGCGGAAGACTGGAGCTCGTTTGAGAAGCTGGGAAATTGGGGGGAAGGGGGGGTACGCAGCACCACACGGACTTTGCTGTAATAGGAGAGCCAATGGAAGTAATCTGTATGCGTCGTCCGGGGGGGTTTGTAGCTGGACCTTGTTAGGCGACGAATGATAAGTGAATGTGCTGGGGTTTACCAGGGCCAAGGGAGCCCATATCTTCCAAAAGAGGGATAGGATTAGAAGTTTATGGAATAGGGTTAGAATATGATTATACACTAGGTTATGCTATAAAAGAATGTTGGAGTGTTCGAAGGATCGGACAGTTAAAAAAGCAGGTCAGTAGGTCAAAAGATGAAAAAATAAGATATGTTTTGTTTTTATTTTATTATTTGGAGGTAAATATGTAGGACGATGAGGAGGATAATAGTAGGTAATTTGATGGCAAACGGAATCGGGTCTGAGGTTTGCTTTAATTTCATTTCGTTGCCTTTATTTTGGGCTGATTGTTTCTCTCAATCCCTGGTCAACAAGACGGAGAGACCCCACAAAATCAATCGTCCGCTCATCTCATGGCTGCATGGGCTGTTGTGTGCATTCAGGGGCAAGACGTGGGTATCCGTTAACGAGGGTTTAGATGGCTTCGATGTCCCGTCAACTGCGGAAAATTGCAAGAGTTTTGATTGGGACGATGTTTTTGGCCCGCAAGTCCCGATCCTGCATAGACTAAATAAATGACGTCCATTTAGCGAGTGGAGATTTAAGTGCTACTATGCTTCAAATACCGTACGTGTAACACCAAATGACCAGTTTCATAAGGTATCTAGGTACCTATCTTCTAATATAACCTAAAATGTCTCACGTGAACACCCGTAGGTTACCTATGTCGCGTCGCACACACCATGTATCCTTCATTCCGAATTAAGCGCGATAAGGTTTGTGCTTGTAGGTAGGTGCCTGCACAATTCAATGTTGGTCTTTGTGATACTTTGAACTTTGAACAATCTGCAATCTACAATCAACAAAACTAAGGACGTCAGGCATCACAAGGACGTTCCTTCTTACACGTCAGAAACAATGCACTCTCTGTTGCCTATGAATATGAGCGTATAATCTAGAGTTTATGATTATGAAGGTCGATTATTTCTTTCCGTAGTATATTTTATTATGCGAGAAGCCGTATTCTTTCTTGCACATTTGCACTTCGTCTCTTTATATACAAATTACTGCGGTTACAATGCCCTTTCCATACAAATATATATGCGATCTACTCCAACAACTTGACAATGAGTCTCGCAAAGACGGGCATAAACAGACTTCTGCAAGGAGCATAATCGAAACGTGGTTTCGTGAGCATCGTTCGAGTCTCGATGCTTCCGAGAATGATCCAAGCGCCATATTATCCACTTTGCTACCAAGAAGAAGGACAGACAAAATCTACCTTATCCAAGCTGCAAGACTTGAAAGTATATTTGGTAAAGCCTTACTTCTAGGAGCCTCACGATTGCAAGAACTCCGAAGATACAGGACTCCTGGTCTAGGCGTAGATCTTGCCGATTGTGTTGAAGGCATCTTAAAACGTACGGTAGGTACTCTTCTCAGTTAATGATAGCAACCCGAACTAATATTCAAGTCGCTAACATCACAAAGCCTAATGATACGCAAGATTGCAATGGACTCACAGTAGAGGAGATCGATGACACTCTAAACCGCATTGCAGCGGCCTGTCGATTCAGTTCGCCTTCAGTTAGAGCTTCGCGTAGGACTCAAGACTCTAGAGACCAGGATCAATCTCTAGTCACCATTTACAGGAAACTCAGTCCGCGTGATGCAAAATGGTTTACAAGGCTAATATTAAAGAACTACCAGCCGGTGGTCATAGATGAACGTCTCGTATTCCGTTGCTATAACGATCTCCTACCTCAGCTGATGAAGGTAAGAGATGATTTTACCACAGCCACTACCTTCTTACGGCAGGTCAGCCAGCCGTCCCGCGATCAACCCGACATTGCCAGTATGCTGAAGCCAGTTATCGGGACAAAAGTTGGTCGGCAAACATGGCTCAAAGGGAGAAGTATCAAGCATTGTCTAGATATGGGTAAATCCCGGGATATGAGTTGCGAGCAGAAGATTGACGGGGAGTACTGCCAAATACACATCGATCTCCGCAAACGTTGTTCTCCTATCCAGATATTTTCCAAGAGTGGAAAAGATAGCACCCAGGATCGGATCGGCCTTCAACAGTAAGCCATTGTCCAACCCCCTTTCTTGCCTCTCTATTAACCAAGCACAGGGTCATACGAGATTCGTTGAAGCTGGGAACATCAGATTGCCCCTTTAAAGTTGGCTGTATTCTCGAGGGGGAAATGGTTGTATACAGTACTCAAGTATTATTAAGATGTCTTTCGGCTTTGAGAAGTGGACGCTGACCGGAACAATAGGACAATAAGATATTGCCATTCCATAAAATTCGCAAGCACGTTTCACGCTCTGGTTCCTTTATAGGGACTAGCTATGATTCTCAGTATGGCATGATGCTTCAATAGTTCGATACGCTTAGCTAAACATGAAACAGGCCTCACGACTACGAGCATTTGATGATAGTATATTTCGACGTACTGCTTATTGATGATGAATCGTTACTTGGAGTCCGACAGTTTGAGCGCTTTAGGCGCTTGAGCGATCTTGTTACTTGTCGGAAGGGTTGTGCTGAGCTAGTACCCCGTGAGACGATATCTTTTGGTCGGCCATCTGCTGCGTTGAGGTTACGTGAAGCTTTTGCGAAATGCATTGTCGCTCGAGGTGAAGGCCTTGTCCTGAAGCCCGATGAACCATACTTCAACTTTAGCACAGCGCAAAAGTCGTTCAGCTGCTGCAATATCAAATTGAAGAAGGAATACGTCCAAGGTTGGGGAGATGTCGGAGATTTATCCGTAATTGGTGCCTCTTATGATGCAGCAAAAGTAAAAGAATATAAGAAACCCAATATTAAATGGACTCATTTCTTCATTGGGTGTCTAGACAACAAGGAGAAAGCACGAGCAAGAACTGAAAAACCTCGATTTATAGTTACTAATGTCGTCGAGCTTTCCGAGGCCCTTCTATGGACGGTTATGACTCAATGTTTTCCATCCCCAGTCCCGTTCGATTCAAATGAGTCTATAATCTTGGACTTTAAGCTAGGGAGGGTAGACAAGCGACCGGACGATATATTCTTAGAACCGTTAGTGTTCGACATGCGTTGTTTCTCCTTCGACAAATCACCAAATACGACTTTCTGGAGCATGAGGTTTCCATCGGTCTCCAAGATTCACCATGATAGATCATACTTGGATACTATCAGCTTTACGGAACTCCAAGAGTTGGCCTCAAATGCAACAGAAATACCAGAGCTCGAAGATAGTCAGGAGATGCGCAAGTGGATATCAGCGTTAGAAAAGGCAGACCCAGGAGGAATTGCTGTGGACGTCATCAGCCAACAAAGCAATAGAACTGAACCAAGAGCACCTCCAAGGCCATCCCCCAATGAGACCAATCACGAAAAGGAACCCCGAAGCGTATTGATGCCGAAATCTTGTAAACGAGTACGCTCCTGCGAACAACCCCTGTTGTCTTGTTGCGATACGAAAGAGACAGGCAGACACCTAATAACATCTCCAAAACCATCAGCTACCGAAGGTGAAGAGTATTGTACCACCACTGATGCTTCTCACAAATCTCCAATGCATACAGGCCGTAAAAGACGGCCTACTTCAGATGTAGCAATGACTCCAAAAAGGCAACGACTATCTTCAGATGCATCTTCTCGGCGGTCACAGTCAATAGATAGTCCCAATGAATTACCATCAAATACTCCAAGGAACAGGCAGCCACTCAGCCAGGTCGATACCAACCCATCTTTCGGAAATCGCATGACAAGTTCGCAAACTAAACTGTCAGAAAAGTCTTTATCTAACTCCCCAGCGGCTCAACTAGTAGCGCCGCCGACTAATGATAATAACAGCAGCTCAGCTGTATGTTCTCCTGATGGACCGCTCACCATCTCCACCCCCAAAGTAACTTCCAGTCCTATGCAAGACAAACATCTATCAGGGAAGTGCTTGGCACATAGATATTGCTCCCTTGTTAAGGAGAAATGTGTACTTGCCAACCGCTCTATTCTACTGTCGCCGTGTATCGCTCAGTATGCATGGGTCGCCGATAACCTATTACGGGACCATGGGGTGGATACCTTTCTAACGGATCCTAAGATGTGGTCCCAGGAGCCTACACCTAGCTTTGCATATAAATGGGATGTCTCGCTAGGAAAGACACGGAAGTCTCGAGTCCGCAAGATCTGTCTTGTCGAATCAAGACGGGTAGATGCCACATCATCCTTTGTTAAAAACATAGGAGAAGCTGGCTTGAAGAAAAAGAACGGAGAGCGCGAGTGGGTGGGTGTTTATGACTGGCGGATACTAGAGGATATCTCGGATTTAGAGTCCGGGAAGACCAAACTAGAAGGGATAGATCTGTGGAGGAAACACTACGTGGCGATTGCATAGGGCGATAGAACTGGTATTATAGGTGCATTGCATTGTGAAGGCGTTTTATCATAAAACTATGCGTTGCGCTTTAGTCATTAAGTATTACACTGGAAAAGAGTACTGCGTTTAGGGAAGAATTGTCTTTGATAGGTAGGCTCTACGAGATGTATAATGAAATATCATCCAGAATAGACGTCTTCTCGGGTTCTTAGAACACACGACCCAGTATCAAAACAATTATTAATCAAATACAATTTCCAACACAAACTCGGTTAACCATGCCAACTAAACAAACATGGGGGCTTTATTTGTCTTCATATGATTGGTTAGCATTATTAAATATTCGAAATTTGAAGTATTTAGAAATGCTATAAGAATTTTAATATGGCATTCATTAGGACATATATTTGTGTTAAATCGGCGGTCAGGGGGGTAGAGTTATATTATCATTATGGGGTGCGATACATTCTTAGAATATATCGCTTTCTAGCTTTCTATAGTTCTCTAAATAGCAGGCTCGCGGAAAGAAAGCTCTCCGCACAACTCTAGAATAACTCGTAACAAAATCCGGATTGGCCGGAAATGTCCCCATCTAGATCTTCCCAATCAAGAGGTTCTTGATCGTTTCCCGGCCGGTAATAGCTACGGTGCGGTACATAGTCTGTATGTCCAGTGTGCTAAACACACCGTCGGCGAAGCCGAAGAACAGCATAGGCGGGATCCAACCACGGGCGTACTCGAGAGCGAAGCAGCTCTCGGGCATCTTGTATTGCTTGACGTCGCCACGGCGCATGTGATGCACGCTGCCAGCTGGATAGACTTCGCGCTCGAACTTGCCGGGCACGAATGCCCACTGCTCGCCCGTTAGAATGTGGAAGTAGTCGTCTGCTGTGTGTCGTCCCGAGTGGCCCTCCGTGCCAGCCGCGGTACCGAAGATAATCAAATACTCGGTGATACCTGAAGAGATGAATTAATATTGCTGAAGAGCAACGAGAACTAGAAACAAATAGTTGGAAAATTACTTACTGGAGTGGATAAGGTACATAGCACCCATGGCACCGCCGGCATTGTTAAACATCCATTCCTCAGTGACGTTCCACTTAGGGTTGACGTGCTCCGGGTGGTTCTGGTATAGCTCGGTGACGATGTAGTCTACGATCTTGGCGGTGTCGTTGCCGTGAGCCTGAATGCCGCGCGAGGCTACATCTTGCAGCTCTTCAAGGTTGAAGATGTAGAAGTTCTCGAGGTTACGTTCGAGGAGGTAGACTATTGGGGTGAATATGCCGATTAACACACCGATGATAGTGAGCAGCCTGGCGAAACCGCTGGGAGTTGAGGTATTAGGCGCCATTGCTATGAAATTTAAGAACTAGAAGACACCGAGAACGACAAACAAACACAAAAACAAAAACGACAGCACGCCGACTTTAATTTAAAGACAGGCGTCAAGCTCCTACGATTTATCTCGGAAATTTAACGAAGCTAAAAAAAATTAAAATGTACATAATTTATATTAATAAATATTTTTTTTAATAGGTACGTACCTGTCAGATGGAATAGGGGTCTAAGCTCAGCTCAAATGTGGATCCCGGTAAACCAGACTACCGGATCGCACCATCTCAGGAACACAAACGGAGCGTACCCGGTAGTTATCGTATTCGTACTTTTTATCTCTTATCTAAAGTTATTATCGGCTCACAAATGCATCTCGGAGCAGATCCAGTCCGTCTGCAACCCGCTTACATCGCCAATCACACCGACGACATTTATTAACCCGCGCTCCTATTCGAATTTCCGATCCAATATATCATTAACTACCCTTCTGCTGTGCCGCAAAAGATGACGCAGGCCGTTGCCGTTGCCGTTCCTGGCCAGCTTCTTGGCCCTGCGGATAAGTACTCCGCGGGCGCCGGGACGCATATCCACGACGCGAACTTGTACTCGTCGCTGCTGGGCACGGTTGCTGTTGCGCACCCTGAGAAGGCGTCTGGGCCTGCGAAGAGATTGACGAGGATTGCGGCGCTAGCGGCGGGCAATAATGGCAGTGGCAATAACAGCGGCGGCAGCAGCAATACCCTACCCACGATCTCGGTCTCGCGCTCAGGTGTCTCGGAGAAGCGCGAAGTCCTACCTGAAGTCGGTAACGTGGTACTATGCCGCGTAACGCGCATCACACCGAAGCATGCATCGGTTGCGATCCTCGTCGTCGGCGACACGGTGCTCGAGGCCGAGTGGCAGGGCTTGGTCCGGGTGCAGGATGTCCGAGCCACGGAGAAGGACAGAGTCAAGATATACGAGAGCTTCCGGCCGGGTGATATTGTGCGGGCGCAGGTGGTGAGTATATACATTACATGCACACCTTTTACATATATTTGTCAACGGGCTCTTGGATGAAGAGGATTCATGTCGGCTAATACGCTATGGCAAACACTAGATTTCACTCGGCGACCAGGCTAATTATTACCTCTCGACCGCGAGCAACGAACTCGGCGTCATAATGGCTACGAGCGAAGCTGGGAACCCCATGTTTCCCGTCAGCTGGAAGGAGTATAAAGACCCGGAGACTGGCATTAGCGAGCCCCGGAAGGTCGCAAAGCCGTTTTGAGCTTCGTGACTACTTTATTATGGTCCTAAGGTTAAGAAACGACCTTTTACTACCAGGTATTTCGAACTGGCTTACGACCTAGAAACTATCGAAATGTCTTTTTGTGAATTTTGCTCCAATTCAAATCTCAAATTGGCGTACTCGGATTGTTTCAATCGGCGGATAAAAGTTACAATCTGTGGCTGGAAGATGTTGCCGAGACGACATTGATGGATACCTATATGGGGGATTATAAAATGGTATATCTCTAGTTCTTCGACTCAAGAGAAATTTGACTTCTGTTGGAGCATATCGAGCTAGACCGAGTATGGGTCTTGGTATATTAACCTACTCCTCAGCTAGGTATATATATGCAGTGGCATACCGTCTCGATCGTCTATCGTGAGTATCACACTAGCACCAGCCACGATATAAGCAGTATGAAGCACCTTACCAATGGGTCTAACAGCTTATAAGATAAAAACTCGGAGACCTGGAAATAGGAGACAATCATACGAAAATCGATCCTTTATGTCGAATAGAAATGTTTTGTCCTTACTAAATGTTGCAACGCTTAACGGACGTGCGTATGAACCCTTACTTTGGATCTGAATGATGGGTTGCCGTTTGAAGATGTTTCATAGGGCTTGTTGATCCTCCACAACGTCACGGTCCAATGTGCCTTTGCGTAATTAGCTGCGCCACTTATATGCAGTGTAAATGCTAATTGGGTTTTTGCGATTTTATTAGAGAATGAAAATATTGAAATTAAGTCGAGAAATATGAATATTATAAAAAATCTTTCAGAAAACGTAGATTAATTAATGACATAGCAAGAGGTTTGAAGACAATTTACGCGTATAAAGTACCCACTTACCAAAAATACACGCGCATGTACGTGCAAGACGAATATAGAGAGGCGCAGCATTACTGCTGCAGGGTCCAGTCGTACAAACCTAGTCCCGCCACCACAAATAACTTGGCATCTTATAGGTTAAGTTAGGTTGTTACCAGTTACCAGCCCAGTCTTGTTCCTGCCCGCAGTATTCCGTATTCCGTATCTCGCATAACTTAATCTTGCATTTTGTTTACTACGACCCGACGACGAGGGCAATTGAACTTAGACATTTAATAAAAAAAATACCTAGGAAAAAGGGCACCGAGAAGTCTAACCGCACCATCAATTGAATGTCGACTTAAATCTAAACCCTTTCATTCATTAACCTAGTAACTCACACCTTTTACCCCTCGTACATTATCGATACCTATATCACTAGACTTCAAGCCCGAACAAACGCACTTCGCCATATCTGCCGCACTCCGGAGCAAACACTAGCAGCAACATCTCCAACGAAGCGAACCCTTTTACCCGGCTAAATCCCACATAAAACCGCCGGCCGACATGGCCACAATGACAGTGACTTTCCCACCGATACCCATATCCAACACCATGACAGCCGCCAGCACCAGCACCACCACAACAACAACGTCCTGCTGCCCGAACTGCGGGCTTTCCCTACCCCCCGCCTCCGAAGCGCAAATAGCCCTACTCCAGGCGCAAAAACAGATCGAAGACCTGGAGGCCCAGGTGCGCCTGCTCAACCAGAAAGCCACCGCCGCAGTGGACCGGTGGGCCGACTACGAAGACGAGCTATCGCGGCTGCGCGCCGCGTCGACGACGTCCGTCGCGACGAATACTACTACCACGACCAGCAACAACAACAACAACAACAGCAGCCCGCGATCGTCGTTCCTGCCGACGGCGGCATCCGGGGCCGCGGCGCGGATAAGCCAGCTGCTAGCGCCGCGCAAGTCGGTGCCGAACCTAGCGACGCAGCGGGGGTCGATATCGGCGCCGGCGCCGGTGATGCCTAACGGAGACGACTTGCTGGAGGCGCTGTCGCGGGAGCGGGAGCTGCGGGCCAAGGCGGAGGGCAAGCTGCGCGATACGAGCAGGGAGGTGGAGGAGCTGAGCGCGACGCTGTTCGAGCAGGCGAATGAGATGGTGGCGAGCGAGCGGCGGGCGCGGGCGAAGCTCGAGGAGCGGGTCTCGGTGCTGGAGCGCAGGGATGTGGAGAAGAGGGATCGGTTGGATCGGTTGGAGGGTGCGATGGGGAGGCTGGATAGGGTCAGGGCGTTGTTGGAGGAGCGGTAGGGCGGGAGCTAGCTGCCTACCTAGGTAGGTACCTATCTAGGACGGAAGAGTCTAGGACGGAAGAGAGAAAGGCGTCTAGAGTGGATAAGAGTGGATCGGTCCGGCCGAAGTACCCGCACTCGTCCGGGCGCTTGTCGAGTCATGTCAATGGTCTGCTGGCGGAAGGGATATGGTAAATCGGTCACAGGTCACGGGGTACGAATTTCCTAACTGGTCACATGAGGGTACAGCTAGGCGTACGGATGGGGGATACGAATGGGTACATAAGCCATGGTCCGTCTCCTATTTCCGTAGGGTAAGGCCTCGTCATCATTTGATTTGTATCTGGGTGGTGGCTTTTTTTTTTTTTTTTTTGTACCGTTGTTCAGGGGATCATAGGATGTACAACAACAACAACAACAACAACAAAAGGATTGGTCTATTGCATTTTGCATCTGGGACTTCGGGAGGTACAAAAAGGGAAAGGCAATGAATGGTTTGAGACTACTAGGTATTTAGGTTATACGGTTTTGAGTAATGAGGCGGGTATATATATATATATACCTGAAGCCCTTGTTTCATTTGTTTCTCGCTTAATGTGGAAGCATAAGTTGTAAGGCCATGTCGTGATCCGAAACGAAATTGTGTTTTTGAGATATCTTGCTGATTGCCTTGAAATATTTTAGCCAGCACTCAGGCAATTTTCTTAGTTTGCTCATAACGAGCCAGCATAAACCATTAAGTTCTAGTAGATATTCGATTTCTCATTTCTCGAAGAAGCGTGTCGAAGCCATATTTGCGGTTGTCTCCGTATATGCGTAGTGCTTCTAGCTCGGTTTCTGTGGATAGGCTGAAGTCAGGTAGGGGGCCAAACTGATAATTGTTTCGCGATCGATACTTGGATATCTTGACGAGTTTTGCTTCTACGTCGCTATATAATTTTGTCTCTGATGGCTGCTGGTGCGGTTTATGTGCCTAGTTATCGTGATAAATAGGAACGAGAATTTGCTCCAGTAAGTACGATTACAATCTTTATCCTATATGTCTGAACCCCTTAAAAAGTTAGTAAATTAATAACTTGTTACTATAGGAGGTAGCTTCTCTTACGTATGACCTCAAAGTACGACAATACCTTCGTTATTCTAATGCCACTAAAGTAACATGCATTGCATGTAAATTGGAGAGATATGAATTATAAGCGTCATGTGTTTAAAATACGTGGAGTGATGGCGCAGTCACTTGGTCTTCCCCCCTAATGCGAGTATAAGCCGTTATGATAATCTGAGTTCTACTTTCCAAACTTCACCTGGTACTTGAATTTAGTCTTCTTTCCTTACTTCCTCCCTTTACATCCAGAATGAAGGTATTTACATATCTATTTCTTTTAATAGTAACTACACCTTCCAAAAACCACCAGCCATGAAACTCACCTAGTCGTTAAAAATCCCCCATACCTACCTACCTGTATTTGACCTAAATTATTACAACTATCGATCGTACACTCTTTCATGTAGGGTTACATGGTACTAATACGAATCGCTGTTATTTAATTAAATGTCTTGAATCCTACACGGGAAATTCCATATTCAAGTAAGAACCTGGGCCGCTCATGCAGTAGCTTTATGTTATTGGGTTGAAGAGAAGAGTAGACATGGCCCGCTGTATCTTCTATTCGTTACCTACGACGCCACGCCGGGAAATTCCTATGAGTTTGCAATTTTAGCATCCAATCTTGATCTACTTGTATGTCCTGGTTCCGTAAGTATACACCCATTCTCTGATGGTTTAATAGGATACTAAGAGATGGCTAGTATGTATATCTACGTAAAATCCAGGTAGAGTTTTCCATCTTTCCCTCGCCACTTCTGTCTTATACTTTTCTTATATTTATATAATCTAACGATGGCTCTAGAAGAAATACCAAGTAGCCTAGGAATAACTGTACCGGTGCTTCTTGCCGCTATTTTTATATATGGAATATTTGGGTCGTCACGACTTCCTGACCTTCCCATCGTTGGTGCAAAACCCGGTGAATGGTTCCCGCTCACGAGGGCCAAGTGGCGGAACAGAAATGATACGAAGACGGCTATTGAGTTTGCGTACAGCAACTACCGCCACCAAGCCTGTATACTGCCTATCGCTGGTGCGCATGATTGTAAGTTGAATCAAGAATAACCCCTTTCCCATTTCGCCTTGTAGCTAGTCCGCCTCGAAAATGAAAAAAATTCTAGTTGAACTGAATAGGGGCTACTACTATTAAGATGAAGAAGGCAGTACTAATCGTCACCCCTATAGATGTCCTTTTGCCTGCTAGCGAGTTCAAATGGCTTGTCAACCAGCCTGAATCTGATGTCGGTTACCATGTAGATGACGAAGACCAGGTACAAACGCTTTGTATATGATCGTAGCTAAAACATACCGGCGCTGAGTATATATCTAGCTTGAACATATTTTGTTTCTAAACCAACACCTCCTCCGTACCATCCTTCGTAATCGGCTCATTTCTACGGTCCTAACTAGGGAAACTTACAACCTAGTCCCAGCTCTGCTTGGCGAGATACGTTACACTGTCGATAACCTCTTAGGAACAGACACCGAGAACTTCCACGAGATTTGTGCGCGCAGCACGATACAAAACGTCTCGTGTCGGGTAATGAATCGTGTCTTTGTTGGTCGATCCATAAGCCGCAACGCCAAGTTTAGCAATGCGGTTACTGCGTATATAAGAAATACACCGACGGTCTCGAGGCTACTACGCTTCATATGGAAGCCGCTCCGGCCACTTGCCGCCTTGTTCCTCACCTTACCGGCCCGTATCCGTACCTGGAAGATTTATGATATCCTAGGCCTAGAAATAGAACGGCGGTTAAAGGTAGCCGAGGCAAACGGTATCGAACCGGAGCTCAAGGCTACGGAGAACGATCTCTTGCAGTGGATGGTTGATGGTATAAAGCTGTCTAACGACCCGCGCCGCTTTAAATTCAACATGCTGTTCGGTAGTATTTTGACCTTCAATTTCGCCGCGATGACTACGGTATCAAGCTCCATGACGCATGCGATCGTAGACCTTGCGTGCTCCAAGAAGGAGTATCTTGGTGAGCTACGCGTCGAGATTTCATCCGTGATAGCGAAACACGGCGGCAAATTCGATAAGCGGGCACTGGCATCTATGGTGAAGCTCGATAGCTTAATGCGCGAGTCACAGCGCATTAACACGCCTGTAACGGTTTCTATTCCCCGCTCTGTGGTCAAGAAAGGGGGGATCAAGACGCCATCAGGCATTCATGTTCCACAAGGCGCAGTCATGGTCGTCCCAACGTACTCGATTATGCGTGATGCCGCCATATATCCGGATCCATGTACTTTCAAGCCGTTCCGGTTTGCAGGGGAACCCACTGCGCCTGGCTTGGAAGGCCAAAATGGCAATGCTCAAGGATCGCTGCCGCCGCCGACGAATCCCCCGCAACCTTGGGTTAAGGCAACCCCCGAATATACGGCATTCGGGTATGGGCCCCACGCATGTCCAGGACGACATATCGCGGCCGTCGGGGTGAAGCTGATGATGGCGTACATCATCGCTCACTACGACTTCGAGACGGAAGAGAAGCGACCGGAGAACATCTGGATCGGGCATTCGCAAGTAGGGCCGCAAAAGACAACGGTCCGGATTAGGAGGAGGAAGGAGAAGGATGTTGTTTTTGCTTGATAATAAAGCATGAATAAACCTTGCCTATTATCGGTAGAGTATGGATGGATATATCAGCCGTCGGTGACTAACCTGGAAGATTGACCATTGGGTTCGTCTCTGAGCTCTTCTCTTTCCTTGTTGCATTCTTTTCGGTTTTGCTGTAGTGGATTGATGATAGATATCTGAAGTGGTGGTATATACGAATCATACGCAGGTAGAAGATAAAGGGGTGGTGGGATAGGCAAGACAGGTTTATCAGAGCCCCTTTACTAACGATCGTTGTTATACTAGACATGTTGAGGGTAATTCATAGGGTTATTGACTAGCCCTGCGAGGCTGATAAATTAATTGTAGTATTTGTCACTCTTTTAGATTACTTGGGTGTAGCCTTACCTTTTAGCTAACAATCATTACGATTTTCGCTCGTTTTTATCAATGCCGAATTCAGCTTTTCGTGAGCTATCTAGTGTCTGTTAATACCATCGTGTCGTATAATATTTGGCTTCGGTAGTGTTTGTTTACAGACTTGACAATACATTGAAACCTGTAGTTGAGTGCAAAGATCGATAGTAACCACTCCCGACGTTTACTGGTCACTTATGATTAGGTACCCAGAGAAAATCAACCCCGACTACCTTAGGTACCTAGGTCTTCTATATGGCAAAAATATATATATCTGCAAAAACTTATCTTGTCTTCAATTATCCGGTTGGTTGATATGTAGGACCTACGCTTTGAACCTGGCACGGCGACGAGAAACCAACTTGTTTTGTTATGTCTCGAATAAGACAGAACATTGGCTCTTTTGGGGTTGGGCCATCGTTATTTGTCTTTTTTTTTTTTATCGTTTCTTCTTCTTCTTTGCCTTCTCTTCATCGTCTTGGTTATTCTTTTTTTCCTTCTTAAATTCTTTTTAACCCTGGTTGCGATCTTGGTACTTACTTGAAGTTTCCTCGCATTTAAAGTAGTTACCTATGCTGTTTGCTTGTCAGCTTCGTGATTGAGTTATTGGAATGCATTTTTTTTTTCGCATAATAGTTTAATTAAGCGTAATGAGGTTATTGCTAACTATGTGATTTCTATAGATAGATATATTGGGATGGATTGTGGCTTTGTAAGTTCTCGGACTACCCATGTATGTAAGTAAGTAGATGGGAAGATCGAAGCAACTTTAGCAGTGAATTCTTAATGTGCTATATTAAAAGGATGGATATAATCTGGGGAGGTTATCTTTTGCTCGATTATGATCTTCTGCTTTTTTTTTCTACTTATCGACGCACATTCATCTATACGTATGACAGATGCCGAGCTATCGGGTAGGATCATATCATAATCAGGGATGTTCTTCTAGGTGTCTAATCGTAGCCATATCATATCAGACACCCTGTCCTATCCTGTGTCGTACATGTGTTAGCGGAAAGCAACGTTGTGATAGAAATATTAGTATTCTTTTTTCTCTCTCGACTCACAAAGTGCTACCTACCAATCTACCTACCTACATACATACGGATCTCCGTTCTTTTGGTTATACCTACTTAGATATCCTAGATATGCACCGCATCCCCATCATGTCTACGTAAGATATTTTGTTTGCTTCCGAACGCAGTGTAACGGTACACGGCAGAAAGCAGCCGAGTATAGTGGGAAATGTTGGGGAGAAGGCTGAACGGGGTGGACTCGGCCAAGGCTTAGTTGAGCAGCTCTGTAGCTTGGTGTAGAGGACGGGCGGATAATGCTACGCCGCTATGTATGTATGTATGTGTATGCGTACTCAGAATCGTCCCGTGGTTTCTCTCGAAGCAAACTGCTAGGTTAAGCGTACGACGGTAGGGATACTTCGAGGTGTGAGTATGTAGACGAAGGGGATCTGTTCGGTCTAGACAAGTCTGCATTCGCTAGTGTAGCTGCATTGTTACAGAGCTGGATTGTCCTGACGCAGGAACTATTGCCGCTTCTAGAAAACAACCTGTTACGGCAGGGAGCGACATGCGTCGAGGATGGATGGGGGAGGGGAGTCGGTTTCTCGATACCCTTGACGCAGCAAAAACAGTGCCTGTAACCACGCATGTAGTCCTAAGCCAAGTTGCTTCAAATCCTTAAAGAACAAGGGGAAGGAATAAAGAAGATTGATTATTTCATCGATGGATTCTGGAGAGAGACACGTTTTAGATTCCCCAGAGTACCATCGTTTGGTTAGAAGCGTATCCCTGATCTCTCTCCCCGACCCTAGAGGGGGTAAAGTACGGTACCAAAAGCGGATAATACATACTCGATGACTTCAGAGCAGCCAAGACCACTCAAGCCACGATCTTTTTAGCTTGGGCATTAAGCCTTTAGGGAAAACAAAACCAACTGAGACCATCCCCAGGGTTTTTTAGTACATAGTAAGATCAATAACGATTCGTTCCCCATCCCCATCCGCCCTGGCAGCCGCAACCACTCCCCCCCCCCTAAGGTCCTAGCTTTACATATGTATACTCACTTTCTACCGGTGGCTGCAGTGCTATGTAACAAGAACGGGTTATTTCCCTACCAATGGATGCATATATTCTCCATTAGGGTTTAGGGGGGCCCTCGGAGCGGAGCCTGCCTGCTTGGATTGACAGGGGCTGTTGGCGTGATGGGGCTAGCGAATACGAGATTCTGGTCACCACCAAAGATCGCCGGAGGCTGGGGGTTGGACGAGTAGGTAACAAGCGTCAAAGTAAGTCTGTATGTATGTAGTACAGGAAACTATAATATTTATCTGTCGTGTAAAAAAAAAGTCGGCGAAATAGGAAAATCTTTTGATTAAATCGAGTATAATGTTGACTACCTATCTATGGAATGTGTTTCTCGCCTCCCCCCCTATTTTGATTCAGTATTTGATTCAGTATTTATTGGGTCCGACAACAAGCCGATGGATTTTATAAGACGCAGTAGAAGCTGTATAAGCTTGTCCACATATGCTATGCATTGCCTATCTGCAGGCGAGGTGCGGCATCACATTGGCCGTGTCGTTATGGTGACAAGGATGGGTCATGCAGTTTGTACATATTTGATAGCTTGTACCTACCGTCAACTAGAGCGGACGGTACTTGGCCCATTATTCACCAGCCGTGGGGGAGTTGTTACAACTAGCTAGTTGATCCATCGAGAATAACTACTGCTTCCCTACTAACCGTCGTTAGCTCCTCGTCCCATCTTCTTCCGGCATCTTGCGAAGACGGGCGTATCTATCTCTATATGGTAGGTATCAACTCGAGTGGACGTGGTAGAGAAGCCATACAACTCTAGATTTGAAGATAGGCTATGTAAAAGCTTTTAGTCTCGGAGGTCGAAGTCGATCTGACCGTCTTAAAGGGGGAGGAGAGAAATGCGGATGTTGATGGCATCATAGATCGACCCCTGAGCAAGCATGGGTTCGCTTCAGCTAGGAGACAGAGGATATCTTGGGCACTAATCGTCGTGCTATAGTGGCCTGTAGATAGTCATGATTGGGTTGACGTGAGAGGCGCGCATAGATATGTGATCGTAGAAAGACTACTACTGCACGGACGGATTATTGTAGCCATTTCAAGACCTAGTAAGGGCCGTCATGGATGGTGATTGTTCACAGTGTCTAAAAAAGAAGCTATGCCGTCTTGAAAATTGGGTATTCGTGTAGCGTTTCTAGAGCCGTGTACTCAACTGGTTCGGAGCAAAAATGCCGCAGGACTCAGCTGTGTAGCAATAGTCCTGGGTAGGTACACGCTCGATTGTTTGGGTAGATCAATCCCACGTCTCCCCTATTCCCTACCTAAGTATTAGCGGGCTAGATAGGCGAGAAGGTACTTCCTGAATGAGGCATTGACCGTCGCCCAATGGGAATCTTGCCTAAAGTTCGATGTAAGGGCACATAGTCCCTCAGGGTCCTGTAGATTGCTTTGAGGTCTGGAACTGTAATGCAATCTGTGTAAGTACTATACATTTCTTAGTGTCCATAGGTATATGTAGTCTTGATCTTGTTTTTGTTTTTTTGCTGCTTTAAGGGGTGAAGATGCTAGATGCCAGACGACAGACAGCAGTGGCTTGCTTCAATGACTAAGAAAAACCTGCTCGCGCCGAGGATATTATCGGCACAAAGAAAATCGTAACACGATTATACCCGACGAGGCGTTTCCGCCACGGTAATGGGTTGTGGGCGGCTCCGAAAATCCAGACGGCGAAACGGCGATATCTTAAAAGAACCTGGGCCCATTCCGCCGTTCTCTAAACTTCCGCCACCTCAAGACCACGGCGAAACACATGATATCACAAGCTCGTGGCATTCCGGCGACGTCGGGGATCTAGAACGCAATCCATGTGACATAATAAGCCACTACTAATAGAATAGCATTCGACAATTGCTATTGCACGCTTGGTTAGCGGCGTGGCGATTTGTGGAAAGTCGTTCGAGTGTAACGTCTCATAGGGCTGCATAACTCCTCTCTTATACCTAATCATCTAATGATGTTTTTTTTTTATTGATGCTGTGACATAATGATGGGACGACAAACTCACCTAGGTAACATGAATGGAATGGCGTTCTGAGCTAAGCTGAAATGCGCCTCCTTTCAGATCATTGGTAATGCGAGAAAAATAAAATAAAAAAAGATAATCTAAGAATAGATAGCCTCGTAGTAAAACCTCGTATAACGCGGCTGACCCCCCGGCCATCGCGTCTAATTGGTCGCTTAGTTTGGGATAGCTTTATTATGACCGTCTGAGAAAGCCGGCGTCCAGCCTAATTAAGGTCCGGCCGCTTAGTCTTGCTCAGCCTCCTAAAACCGGTTGAAATAATAATGCTATTGAGGCTTGTGAGTAGTAGAAATTTAGAAGGAAGAATTAGGTAGTAAGACATACCTACCTGACATACCATGGCGTGTGACTTGCAATATTTGACCACTTGACCACTTGACTACCCCTGACACGTTCGGGTCAACTTGTAGGATGTCCGGGCCGCTCAAGGGTAAGAAGAGTAAGCAAAACCCCAAATACTGACATGACGCGGCTCGTCC